GCATGGAACCGTGTGGATACCAATTACAGCCAGAAAAAAAAAAAAAAAAAAAAAAAAAAAAGATAGCGATGTGCTCCTGCACAGTGTCTTCTTCCCAGTGATTCTACATTTCTCTTTAGCACTTTAAATTACTGATTATAACAAATAATAATACATAAAAGAAGGTCGTCATCATCATAAGCTTTATGGACCAAGCATTGAAAACCATTCGTCATTCACCCAGTAAGCATGGTTTTTCTTGATAATGCAGCTAGTTTCAACAAGCCAACCAGTTACACTATCAAAATCTGGTTTATTCAAGATTACTTTCAACTTAGAATGAAGAATTTCATCGGTAATACCAGGTCTAAAAACTATAAGCTGAATTAAAGTTGATATGAGTTTGATCCAAAGCTGCGAGTTGATTTCACCATTCATGTCTAACCATATTCTGGAACAAGCTTTTCCTAATGGGACTGGTTTGTTATTGAACATTGGTTCAAGGTGATCATTATTGCGGGTTACAACAATATCACAATTGAGAACTTCACGATCTATAAGTCTCGATTCGTAGGTGTCGATCTTATAAGGTTTATTTATTCTTACCACCGATACTAACGAGTTTGATACCATTTGTAGAAGACATGCCATTTCTCCATGTTGGATACCGTGGGATAGAATAAGACCTTTGGAGGACTTAGCGAAGTTGCTTAAAGTTTCCCTTAGCAGCTCAGCAAGGTTGAAAAATTTTGGGTGACAAATTTTTGTACTGAGTGCTGCTCTGAACCTTTCACTTAACATAAAACGAGTATTAGAATCTTCTAACGAAAAGTAAACCACCACTTTGTCATTGATTAATTGGGTCATGACTTTTTCAATATCCTCTTGACTATGATTTTCCAAAAGTTTTTTCAGTTGATCTCCAGAGAAGTTTTCCTCTGAGGTAGCCACGATAGATTTAATCAATGTCCTTAATTCTTCATATTCATCTGGTTTTATTGATTCATTTTCTTTGTAAGAGGCTACATAGGCCGATAATATGAGCTCTTTCTGTCTCATAGAATTATCCTCCAATGTATCATAAAGATCGGTATCATTTTCATAGCTTTTCACTATATCGTAATTTTCACGATTTTGTTCAATTGTAGTGAAAAGAGGAGTTTTATCCACTATCTCCAATTCAGAGCTATCAAAGTCCCTCCAAAGATCTAAGAAAAACTGCAAGTCACAATCAATTAAATCTTTTTCGGAAATAAGGCCATTTGCAATACCTTTCATTACAATTTGCTCAAAAGACTGAGTTCCCCTTTCGAGGGCCGCTTGACCACCAATAATTCTTCTGGTAGAATTCCATTTCCTTTTAGCTTCTTTTGCATTATTGATTCCAATAAAACTTCCAATTTCTTCGAAATCAAGAGCTGTTTTCCTGAGGCTCTTACGAATAATAACAGCTCTAAACAATATTGTTGCGTCTGACTTGTCAAATTTAAGAGTAGAACGAAATTTTCTCATCTTCGGAGCTGAAACAAACATACTTTTCTTCTTCTTTTTAGTTCCTGGTTTTCTTCTACCTTTAGAAACCACTGATAAAAGAGGATCGTTTTGAGATGTAGAAGAAATATCATTTTCATCTCCTTCAGCATTTGCAGCTGTTCTTTTAATTTTTCTTTTACGTTTACCACTAGACTCCTTATTGTTTTCGCCATCTGGATCCTCTTTAACTTTGGTTTTACGAGATTTTCTCTTGCTTGCTTTCTCGAGTTGATGGTTATCTTTACTGTTAAGGGATTTGAGTCTATTCTTACCTATGTTCGAACTAGCCAACGAATCTTTAGAGAATAAATGAAGAGTCTTATTGACAGTTTTAGGTAAAGCAGCCTGGCTTCCATGAGTTTTTTCATTAATACATTTAGTCTTTACTTTTTCTAATGTTTCTGGAGACGGGTTTAAACCTTTCAAAATGAGTAGTTTTTTATGAAAGGTTAAAGTACCTCTTGTTATAACAAACGGCTCAACTTCAAGGGTTTCATTTTTGATTAATTCTGAGATATCCCTAGCAATTGTTTTATTATCAGTTGTTTGTTTATTACCCAACGCATCATCAATATCACGTACGAAATTAGATGAAGTATACTGAACTCCACCATTTTTCTTAATCAAATCTACTATACACTCTCTTCTTTTCAACGATTTTATGGATATAGATTTATCACTTGTAGGTATAGGGGTTGGATTAGTAACACGATTCTTCTTACTCGGTCCTTTCTTAACGATTCTTGGAGCAGGCATATCAGCAGCCTTGATGTGGTTAATTGTTTCTTCAATTGGGTTAGATTCTTCGATTGGCTCATCATGTTGCTGTTGTTGTTGCTGCTCTTGTTTTAGTTGTTGTTGGTGAGATATTTCTTCTTGTCTTTTCATTTCCTCTTGTTTTTCTCTTTCTTCTTCTTCAGCTTTTTGTTTTAATTCAGCAGCGGTAGGTCTTCCTCTACCTCTTTTCTGTCTCTTTGTTGTTTCAGGAGTAGTGGAAGAAGTTTGTCTTTTCTTTTCCGGGGCCTTCTTTTCCATTACTTTCTTTTCTAGTAAGGGACCAGTGATAGGTTTGATTTTAGTTAAGAATTTGTGATTCAATTTTGGTAAGTTAAGTTTTTGAATTGTATCTTTAATTGGTTTTTCATTAGCTGGTTTAGCATCTTGAGCATCAACAAATTCACGAGCAAAAAGACGGATAAATTTATATTTACCTTCAGAGTCATAAATTCTCACCACGGTTAAATTTTGATTTGGGTCATTATAATTTTTTATTAATTTTAATCTTTTCCCATCACTAGTGAAACTACAAAAAGATTCAAGGAATCGATTGAAAGGTCTATAATAATGGATTCCGGTTAATTCTCTAGCAAAATCCATAATTGTAGTACCCAGAGAACCTTTAGAAGCAATGAATTGGAAAGTTTGATTTGTTAAGGGGAAGATTCTATTATAACGAGGAATTAAATCATCAGTATTTTGATCCGGATCATCCTCGTCAGTAAATTCTGTGAAATCCATTAAAGAAGTATCATCAACTAAATCCTCATCATCTTTTGGTAAAGGTTTAAGAAATTTTATACAGTAAATGAATTTATTTTCATCTAATTCTGGGATATTGACAAGAATTTTCTTAATATAACCTGATTTCTCAAGACCTTGACATAGAGAATTGTAAAAAATTCTCGATGTGCGATCATTATTTAGGTTTAATTCGAATTTTAAATCTCTAAAACCCCTGATTTGATCGGGAGCAGATTTAACTGCATTCATGATCTGATTTCTAACCGATTTGATACTGCTATTAAAGGGAAGAGCATCGTGTTTTCCATCATCAACTGAATTGGAAGAAGATTCAAAACTATCAGCCGAAAATTTCACATGAACTGACTTAGTCGTATGAACTTTTAAACTAGACTCATAAAAACTAGACTTATTAATAAAGCCCATTTCTTCTAATTTTTTCAACCTACCACCAATGGATCTTGGATCTTGGCCCGATAGTTTACATAGCGTAGGAGTGATCACTCCACTTGGACCAAATTTTGCAATTAAACATAGTAATTGGAAGGGTAAGTCACCCAATTGAGTTTTGATCTGAGAATAATTATCGGTCATGGTCAAATGCTTCCATTGGGTGTCGGAGCTTGGATACACTTGTAACGATTCTTCTGAAACCCCTGTTTCATTAAACATGTCGGGGTATTTCGGGGTAACTGCTTGTTGAATGTTATTGTGATGGATCACCAAGTCATCGGCGCCGGCATCCTTAAAAAACAACCACAGCCAGATGATTTGTTTCTGGAAGTCATCAATTGAGTCCAGGTCGAGTTTGGCGGCCACCTCCCTCCATAGTTCCAGAAGCAGTAAGCCTGTCTGGCCCGAGAACGCCAAGGTGGTGAGGATGTGAGAGACCAACTCTGCTGGCGGACAAAGCGATGCCATATCAATTGGTAGTACGTGCCGTATCAAGTAAAGGAAGACAAACGTGTGCGGTGTAAATGTGTAATTGTGTAAATGTGTAATTGAGTAAATGTGTAAATGTGTAGATGTGTAAATGTGTAAATGTGTAGCCGTAAAAGTGTAGATGGCTTGATATTTATATATTTATAAATGTGTAGCTTTAGATGTGTAGGTTTATCCCGGCGGGTAATCTGAAGGTGGTGAAATGTCGTGGGCGCGTAGAAAATGTCGCGCGAGAACTAAATGTCGCGGTGTCTCAAATTTTGCTACCAAAATAAAAAAAAGGCTTTTTTTTACCCCGTAAAACAAAGAGAAAAAGAAAAGAAAAAAAGCCTAACAAAAAAGAAAAAAGCCTAACAAAACAAAAAAAAAAAGGAAAAAAAAAAAGAAAGACATCGAGAAAAGTATAAAATTTTGCATTTTGATGAAATTTTTAAGTCTTTAATTCATTTCTTCTTCATAGGATAATACTTGAGATAGTATGGACTCGGATGACGAACCCTTAACTTTATCAGTGCACGCGTTAGCGGCTCTTCAAGAATTCAAACAAGAAGAACAACAACGAGTAGAACATTTTGAATCGTTGTATAAGAAATCCGAAGAAGAATTCGATGACAAGGTTAGCATTGATGCTTTCAAAGAGGATTGGCAACTTTCCCAGTTTTGGTACGAAGACGAGACCGCTGAAATCTTAGGAAGAGCGTTATTAGAAGGAGCGGACGAAAATACCGTTATTGCAATTGCAAGTGCTCCTTCGGTTTATGCAGCTATTAAAAAATTACCGCAAGATCAAATTCCAACAAAGCATATTTATTTATTTGAATATGATAAGAGATTTGAGGTTTTGGCCGGTAAGGATCATTTCTATTTCTATGATTATAATCACCCAAATGATATACCATCGAAGTTGTATCAAAAATGCCATCGAGTATTAATTGATCCTCCATTTTTGGAAGACGGCTGTCAGGCTAATTCTGCAGTGGCTGCTCATAATCTTTTAACAAAAGATAAATCGGCCAAAACTAAATTGGGCGATTTACAATATAAGCTTGTCTCTTCTACTGGAGAAAGAATGAGACATGTCATTGCTGAAAACTATCCTGGCTCTCACATAACCGATTTCTACCCCCAGCATAAAAACGGTTTGAGTAATGAGTTTAGGTGTTATGCTACTTTCGAGTGTTCTCTCTGGAAGTTTTCTGACGACAATTAATTTCTGTTTAATACATGCTTGCTTTAAACTGCTGTAGTACCATACATATGTATGTATATTTATATATATATATATGGTGTGGTGTACTGGTGTTTTTGCCGTGGGTTACCCGCATTGAGATGTGTGCTCAGATTTACTGTTAGTGTTTTGGTGCTCATCACGGGTAATTGTGAGCACATCCCTCCCACGTTAAAGCCCTAATAAAAGATTTAGTGAGAAGTTCACCACCATCGATTTTGGTGGAAAATTTTTCTTTTTTATTTCATCGTTTTTCCATTTCTGTTCATATAAATTGATCTTTTAAACTTTTCTTTGATCAATAATTCATAATCTCATATAAAATGTCTTTCACTGATTTCTCTAAAGTTGAAGCTATTAAATCCTTAAATGAATTTTTAGCTGATAAATCTTACATTGAAGGGTATGTTTCTTTTATTTCATTTACTTTGATTTGATTCAATTGTGGAAAGGTAATTATAATGATGATCATAATCTTTGGTCCGTGTTTATGAGGTGGATTCAAGACCCACCGTGTGAGTGACAAAGAAGATTCAAATCTATTTACTGATTTATTACTTTATATTTTTTGGAAGAAAAAAAAAATCATTGATTAAAGGAAAAATTTCATTTACTAACATTTTTTAGTACTTCTGCTACCCAAGCTGACGTTACCGTCTACAAAGCTTTCCAAAAAGAATACCCACAATTCGCCAGATGGTTCAACCACATTGCTTCTTTCACTGAAGAATTCGACACTTTACCAGCTGGTAAAGTTCCAGCTGGTGAATCTGCCGCTGCTGCTGAAGATGATGATGAAGTCGATTTATTCGGTTCTGATGATGAAGTTGATGAAGAAGCTGAAAAAGTTAAAGCTGAAAGAGTTGCTCAATACGCTGCTAAAAAAGCTGCTAAAGGTCCAAAACCAGCTGCTAAATCTATTGTTACCTTGGATGTTAAACCATGGGATGATGAAACTGATTTAGAAGAATTATTAGCTAATGTTAAAAGCATTAACTTTGATGGTTTAACCTGGGGTGCTCACCAATGGGTCAGTGTTGGTTTCGGTATCAAAAAATTAACCATTAACTTAGTTGTTGAAGATGAAAAAGTTTCCGTTTCTGACTTACAAGAAGCTGTTGAAGAAGATGAAGATCACGTTCAATCCACCGATGTTGTTGCTATGCAAAAATTATAAGCGTGTTTTCTTTTTCTAATTCCTCAATTGTATAGATACTTAATTTGTATAATTTAGTCAATATTGATATTGTCTTATTTCAAATCTAATGAACAGAAAATAAAAAAAAAAATTACATTAAAATATGTACTAATACTCTATAAGGGGAGATACTCGACTCCTTCATCTAACCAATCAGTAAGAACCTCTTCCTGGCTCTTTCCTTCTTCCCAAACTTTATTAACAATATTTCGAAGTGAGTGAAGAGTACCCATTTGCGCATTACGATATAACGTATCCATAAAATTTGTCAATTTACTCTTTTCATATGGGGTACGACATGCACATCCCATTGCATACACTGGCCAAACCATTTGAGTTACCGTTGGTGATAATGAATCCATTGATCCATAAACATCGATAAATTCATGAAGTACAAATTCAATTGTTTTTTCCCAATTTTCTGGCTTAACAGTTCTTAATAATGTAACATAAACTGCAAGTGACCAACATTGAGCTCCTTTTAATTTTAAAATATATGTTTCTCCTCCTGTTCCAATTGGAATATAATCTCGATAATTAAATAGTTCAATTTTAATTCGATCAAAGTTATCTTGAATTAATTCCACATCGAATTCATCATCTTCTAAATTATATAGTTCATGTCTTAATACACAGACTTTGGCCATTGCCTTGAAAACTTCTCCTGGACATCCCATCATACTTAATGTAGATATATCTTCGTCTTTTGATCCATACCATTCAGGATTAGTAAATGGTAATCGACATTCAGGAGACACAATGGCACTAACGGTATCATACCATGAAAGAACAACAACTAATGATCTCTTTTTATCATTCCTCATTAAACTTTCATAAAATGCAGAATTTTCACAAATAGTTGCAAAAACTTTGAAAAAAAATTTCGATACCGAACTCACTCCCTTTTCTAAAACAGCAAATAGTAAATGAACATTTATAAGTACTAATATTACAAAAGAACTTACTAACCGATTTGGTGAATCTTGTTCTTCCTCTTGGGATTCATTATTGCCTAAATTCCCCTTTTCTTTTTCTCTATGGATTATATTTTTGAATTGATTATCTAATTCTAATGTCTCTTCAAATTGAGAATTATCTGATGCAATATATCGAATTAAATACCCCATAGTATTATTTATATGAGCCATTCCTTTTTTATAATATTCGTTCCCCCCTTTTCTACTTTCATAAATATGAATACATGCAAGTGATATAAAACAACTTCTAGCAATATCAAAATCACAATATTTCAACGCTAAATCTGGCCATGGTGAATTTGGATGGGCATCTAATAAAGGTAGAAGATTTTTGAAAAAATGTCTCAACATCATATTTTCTTCTTCATAAGATAGTGAATATAATGAAGATTCATTTTTCTCTAGAGACTCAACATTATCTTTACTCAATTCTTTTTGATTCGAATCCGAATCAGATTGATCTAGTCCATTCAACCCTGAGTCATTAACATTTGAATCAGCCAATTCAGTTGAAACATTTTTTGAAATCATGGAATTATCTTCATTAGATTCATTAGCTTCATGGTAATTGAAACCAGGGGTTACACCTTTCATATCGGAAACGATAGAATTATGAAAGCTGAAAGCCTCAAACTTAGTCGAATTGATGAGATTTTCTAAATCTTCGAAAAGTAATGCCCCAAATTGTTCTAAATTTTTATTTGAATTTTTAATGTTCATGGGAGTCATGTTTTCTTCATTGGAGCTTTTATGTTCTTCAGCTTGTGACTCGATCGTCTTAGTTTCCAGAGGAGCCGGTGTTAGAATACCCAGCCTCAATTGAGGATCTACCATATCTTGAACCGGGGACGATTGTTTTATTGGTTCATTTTCAATCTTCAGCTCATTCTTCTTAGAGTTAGTCTTTTTAGACTTGGACAGACTCCTATTTATATCAAAGAAAAGACGGAGTCCATACCCTTCACATTTTCTATTAGTCTTGGTGCAATTGTTGCACACTGGTTTCGTTTCATCACACTTTCTATGTCTTTAAGATTAAAAATGTTAGTAATTTGATTGGAAAAAGAATCGAATAATACCTAGCACATACCTTTTCTTGCAAGTCCAGCACCCAGTTCTCACTCTTGTTATTTTTGCCATGATTACTATAGTATGGCATGGAATAAGTTAGTCAATAGCTTGACCAAATCTGTTATAAGACAAAAACAGCCTCTTTAAACCTTTTAAATCATCTCGTTGGTCCCAATACTAGCTTATCAGCTTTCTTAATTGGGTTAAATTTTCCGCCAATAAGTTGCGATTTCGCACGACCTTCGGTTGCAATGCCTTTTTTTTTCTTTTTAGCAGCAAATGGACATAAGATCAAGTAACTTCTTTACAGAGAAACAAACAAAACATTTAATCAGCCCATAGATATGGGGTGGATTACTAGAAATGGAGAAGAGAATATTTAAGACCTTTTTTTGAGAAACTGGTAGAGCTAAAGTTGAGCGAATAATTAGCTCTAAAAAGTTAATCAATAAGGCTCAAGGATAATTAGCGGGTTATGTGTTTAGATCAGACCTCTATCATCCACGTACGTCAAGAGGGTGAACATAGCTTCCTGGGCTGGCAACCATAACACATGCGATAAGATCTTAGACTGATACGAACTAAGTGATTGGTACGGGATTAACTTATTACAACTAATACTAAATAATAAAAACCAAATAGATTTATTTACAGAAGAATCTCTCTTTGGTCCAAGAACTCATACTTTCATCAATGAACACGCCATAAAGAAAAGAAGTATTCATCACATTCCTATATTAATAATATATAGGATGTCTTTGCGAAGAAGTATCACAAACAATAGTTTGTTACAAGTATGGTTATATTTCATATTGATGGTGATCGAAAGATGATCGACAGACCTTTATTGTCTGGCGATTAATATCCTTAAAGACTTTTACAAATTTAAATAATGGAGACATTACTCTCTATATCCGATCATATATCAAAGTGATCTTGAAGATCAGTCATTACGTGCTCCTCAGCTGAGATGAGAACACAAGGATGCGAAAAGTGAAGATACTTGATAAAAATATTGTCAAATAAAAACATCTTTTATGATTCTTAGATAAGTGTTCTTATACCCTTGGATGAGCTATTTTTGGAGAATAAGAGGAATTCTTTCTGTATGCTCTTCTCATTGAGTGAAAAGTGCAAAGTCCTTCAATACACAAAAAAAATTTTAACATCAAAAATTAAAGAATTTTAGCTGCACAAAATACAATATAGGTTGTGCTAAGGAAGAACTATTTGCTTTTAGGATTATATAGATGATATTAGCAAAAAGAAAGGTCTCACCCGGATTCGAACCGGGGTTGTTCGGATCAAAACCGAAAGTGATAACCACTACACTATGAAACCTATTGTGTTGGGGGTCGACATTATTGAATTTGGCTCATTCACTTAACCTTTTTGACTCATTTGAAGCTCCTATCAGTTCTGGGGCACCACCAACCATTTCTATCACATCACTTAATTCAACATGGGTTTTCTTGACTAAACATAGTCTTTCCCGCTCTAGGTATATATTAGTAAATAACTATTAAATATATATTCTTATACGTCAAAAAAAAAGCCGTTAAAATGCATTATTCAATTAAACTTGATTTCCCATTAATTTCAGAAGGACATTTTGACATCTCTGATAAGTATTGGTGTTTGGTTTGTTTCTGAATACCTTTTTTTTTTCATCAAATAACTAAAAAAATCATTCAGGTGACCTGATATGAAGACAATTTAGCTTAAAATAATAATTGGAAATAGTAAAAATGAAAGAGTAACTACATGGGAATGAAAATGAAAACCATTGTTGAAAATAAAAATGGACGAATGTCAAGCATTTTCAATATACGAGAAGAAATGCTTTCGAAAAAGATTGGTTTACGTCGGGTCTACCTAGCTACATAATCTACAAAATAAGATGGAAGGATTGAAGAAAAGCTCGAAAGTCATCTCTTCGAGAAATAAATGTAATTAATCTCCATTTAGTAAATATGATCTATGGTTATATCTTGGCTCTTTTGTCGGGTCAACCTAAGATTCAGCCTTATAAGATGAATGCTGATATTACTCATAACTATATTAGAAAGAAAAAAGTATCAAGTGACTATAGTTCCTTCTCCTATTGAGCTCGGTAATTCGATTATATGGTTTTTCTCATAAAAAAGAAATCGAATCAAAACTTTAATGTGATGAACTAAGACAAGGCAGGTTGAGTCGGTATGTCTTGGGCATACAAGTATTTGAATATACTTGTAAGATTTGATAAGGTTGTATTTTTTTTTTACTAGATGTATGTGATTTCAAGTGGAACTTCATAATTTGCAGCAAAAAGTAGGATCTTAAATGTGAGTCGGAATCAATAATTATAAGAATTCATGGTTTTTTGGAACTGTGAGCCATTTGTCATTTGTGTTAGCACACTAGATGACATCTTAAGAGACCGGACCCAGCTATTGAAAATATTTAAAAAACCCGTAGTTGCAATGTAGACTAAATATACAGTTAACACCTATATGTAAAAAGAGAGGATTCTAAGCTTCTAAATCAAATAGTTCATTCAAACAATACTCCCAACTTTAAAGAGTTTTTTGGTATGGTTCTTATAACACTACACGAGCCCTCGAAATCTACCTTTTTCTTTTTTGAGATCTGATTAGAATCCATCAAGGAATACATGAAAACGAAAGCTACAGCTTTTACAAGCGAAATCACAATATCAATATCGATGAAGCACTTTAGATTTTACAATTCACGAAGTATATCATTTCATACAAATACTCTATCCATTTATGTGTCTGTATTTTATCAGTGAGAAGTTTCCTCCTAAAAACTCTTCTGCTCGATTTAAAGTATGGATTTAGCAGGCTTCAGTTAATTAACTTAGAACACTTTATATACTTCACATACTTTTGTATAACTGTTAAAACTAACTATATCAAACTAATTGAGTTTCTTCGTTTTTCGCAGCAAAATAGAAAAAATTCCAACTTTCTTTTAAAATAAGAATTGCAACCGACCATTTCTCCTCACCTTCTAGTACTAAGATCATTCAAGCAAATGAAGCTAGCTATCAAAACTGTACCAGTTAAATGAAAAACTAAAATTCAATGATTAAGTCCTCAACTGTCCTTGACACAAAAAACGAGACCAGTTTCTATTTTCACAGTCTATTTTACTCAGATGTCCACAATTTATTAAACGTGAGTTTCAGTAAGGTAACTATAAAAATGTTTTACGGCTCTGATTATTTTACTACCTAATTTCTTTGCAATAATCAGTAAATTCCTGCAAACCTTCGGCATACTTTTCGAGAGTGCAATCTCTCGCTTGGCTTATGTGAGTATTTTGAATTCATCTTTATGAAAAAATCAAATAGAGATATACTCCTTACCACTGTCCATGTCTCCTTGTTTTCATAGCTTCAAATTAAAAGCATGGGTAGTCCAATTGATTCTCTAACTTTTCTTCGTATTGAAAAATGTTTTCTACAACGTTAAAATAAGAAATTTCCTATTCTTCAATTTTTATCTAGTCCACCAATAATTTTGCAAGTCATTTTCAAAGTATATAGTTAGGCTTATTATACCCTTTTTTTACATCAAAGGTACTCCAACGACAATATCGTAATTTTTAAATAGACTAATATGTATTGATGGCTAAAAATTGAAATGCAGCCTGAGAGAAAGAATCGTTGGGAGTAGTCAAGTTCGAATGAACTGATCGATGTTCTTAAAAAAATTCAAAAGAAGGACATAAATTTAGTGAAAATTTAAAAAGGGGCACAAGTGAAGGAATCCATTGGCTCATAAAATTGTAGAAAATAAACTAATAATCTACATTGTAGTTAAACCACTGTGTATACCTCAAGAGGAAGAAGCTATGTATGAGATTCCGCTTGCCAAAGGAAAAATAATTCATATTAATGAAAGGAACTTTAGTGGTATGAAAGGATTCAACTGATTCATGGTACTATGTTTAAAGGTCATCAATACCAAACGCACCGTTAATTCAACTTTTACCTTCTATTAAAAATTTAGCAATTTGAACGGTCTCAAAATTAGGGACTATCTCTACATCTTTCTTCGCCTGGCAGAGCTTTTCGATAACAACTACTTTGAACAAACTCTTGAGTATTTTACAATTTTCTAAAATCTTAATTCTTTCACTTTCCTAACTAATCCCGAGACATCTAAACTTTTTCATATATTAAATTGTATTATTTTTCTTTTCATTTTAAAAGTATATCTATTATTTATTGCCAAAATAAACAAGTACAGATCGTGTGCATTTTAGGCAAAAGTATTAATAGGGCTAATCGTCTATTTCCAAGTCTTTAATAAAACAATTGTGACTAAACAGTCTCGCATTTATTAGAACCAAGCGAAGCGTATGAGGTTTCCACCTAACCATTTCCCGTTCTGATAAATTCAAACTCATTAGGACAAAAAGTAATATCAGACTTTCGACTGAAATTTCTAAGACCTCATTGCAGCAAGTTAAAGCAATAAGTCATTGATTCAGCTCTAGAAATTCACTGTGCAAGTTCGATCATCTTTGATGACGGAAAAGGATACTTATAGCTCGAACATACATTCTGCCTTTAGCCACCAAATACGCAGCCAAATAACTTGAAAAATCTTGTTCTCACAAATTCTACGCTGACTTAACTAATCATGAACAATCACTGTAAAAAACAGAATAGTTTAATGAATAGTATGGCAACTTTTCCCTTAAAACCGTAACTCAAATCTAAGTCATAATTTATAGAATATTTTAGTAAGTCGAAGACAATAAAAAATGGAGAGATTTCACCTCGCAACAAAAGATTAACTCAAAATACTGGAAAGAATCCCAAAGCATCATTAGAAAGATGCTTATACATTGAGAATAGTTCGTAGATTAAATTATTCTCAATCGCCCCAGTACAACAAACAGAAGGCACTGTAGGCTAACCTCATGAATGTGACAGTTCAAAAGAGCTGCAATTCGAAAGGTTATTTGTAGCATTAAGATCATTTTTGTAACATTTTAAAATATAACATTTATTCAACTAAGAAGCAACTGTCGAAATCCTAATTATTCCGACTCATATTAGAAAAAAGTTAGTCAGGCATAAACATGGTTAGCGGGATAATATCAAAGGATATATATACACTGTTTAATTTAAAGACAATTCAAAACTCTCACTTATTAGAGCGCTAATACTGGTAGAAAAAAACGGCCCTGTACTATATCAACATTCACTTCAGTTGCTTCACCTAAAATCTATAAGAGATTCTTACTAAATCGCCTACAAGAAAGTACATATATCAAAATAAGTTCGAAAGTTATCAATAGAACCCAAGTCTTCGAAATTTTTCTAAATTGATTGATCCAAAACTAAATTACCATGCTCATATAGATATCAAGTACCTTGGCTCCCTAATTCATCTCTAAGCAAACCTTAGTCAGGCCCATTTTAGGAGTTATAAAATCTTCAGCAATCGTAGACAAAATATTTTCAATAATTAACGAAGGTAAACATTAAGTTTAAACAAGGACCTTATAACCATCCATAGGTGGTCTTGGTACAATCACGGACATAACAAATAGGTTTAAAATATCTAGTGTCTTCCGTCAACTTCTCTTGAGCGCCGTTTTACTCATATTGATCTTTTTGGTATAACCTCTAAATCTATTAACTATACAATCAAGGCCCCTTGATTTACTGAATCTAGAGACTTACGCGAAGTAAGATATAAATTCGTTATTAGGAAATGTGAGTAACTTGAATGTAAATTTGCAGAAAGTAAAAAGGACATGAACCAACAAATACTACAAATAGTTTTGAAAGTGACATAAAGTAGTAGTTATACTTATGGAAATTATAGTCATTAATTCCTCACCTGTTGGTTCCTTCGCGCAGACCCTGTGGAGTCAAGTAATTTTATAGAATTAATTTCGTACATTTAACTGAATCGCAAGAGATATCTCTGCCATTTTAGCTATTTGTTATCGTACCCAAACGCGCTAAGGAGTTGGGGACAGCTGTGAGAGAGCCTGCTGTTCTGAGTCTTCAATAAGTTACGAAAATAGATAGATCTTTCCAAATACTATCAACCATATTTGTAAAAACTGATTTTAAAACAAAGGATGGTATTGACTATTAAGTTGCGATAATTTTGTAACATAAGCTAAAATCATTACAGAGCTCTCAATTTGAGGCTTAAGGAAAGATAATTTTGAGTTCGGGCTTAATGTTAATCGCAGTTATGGGGAGTATTAACCTCTCTTCTCTCGTAGGTTGTATTGCTAAGTTAAGAAGCTTAGAGCATAAATTGATACTTTGATCTAAAGCATAAAAAATTTTGATTCTTTGTGTATTCTCCGACAGTGTGTAGTACATGCACTCGATACCTTTTGATAAAAGTTATTCACTATCGATGATCGGCGAATGTAATATACCAAATACAAAAAAAAGGGATTAATATTCAACTGAGATAGATCAAGTAACCAATAAGTTCCCTTGATGAAGAATTATTTTTGAGAAGAAACTTATCTCAATTACGCCTGGGTAGCTCAAGTATAGATAAAAGACAATCGATACCGTTGTGGTAATAGGTATACGAGCTTCGCTCTTATTATTTAGTTCAATAGAGCCGAACGTAAGATCAGTGTAGTATATGCACAAACAAATACTATTTTCACTAAAAGATACTTGTGCATCTAGTGGTTGTAGATTTTGAAAGCTGTATCCAAAATTCATATTCAAACTGAATTTCAAGAAATGACGCTAACAGCTTTATTTATTAAAGAATCTCCCCTCTAATTATTAGTTGAAAAAGCTCCAGAAAAGTGTACTAGTACTGAAAGATGGTGGGGAATGATTGGAAATAGATATAGGAGATTAACAAAGCAGGTGAAAACCTTAATACAAACCAAGTGTCTTGAAAATGCACCTTGGATTCTGAAAAGTGTATGTTTTAAGTTTATTTGCTGTTATTATATGCTCTTTCTATTCTGTTTTTTTACAATAGTTTGTATTCTTCTACTTACAAAGATTAGTATGCAAACTATACATAGTAAAAGCTTTATTAAAGTATTAAGTTATTAATATTTAGAGTTGTTAGAGAAAGGTGGTTGGTTTAGCAGCGGTTCCATCAGGAGTAATTTGGCTGATTTTTTACAGATGCTGGCTTCTTTATACGTTATTCAAGTAGAAAGTAATGAAATTATTTATGAAAACTACTTTATTTTGATATTCTGTAAAAACGCTAAAACTTCTGTGAACGGTTATATAGTGGCTCAACCCGAATTTGAGATGAAGAGATTGAGGACTTTTTGATTGTTTGCTTGTGAGTAAAATATTCATTATTTCAGCTGAAGTTTCGCTGAAAGCTAAGTTCATTTTTCTCTGCTCACGGTTATGTTTTCCAGGAAATATATATGGTACGTTTTGTTTGTTTTGTTTTTACGTGAATTAAGGATTTTCTACTTATTCTATTTATTTGACTTCATAATCGAAGAAATTTTTACATTGGTTAATGGTTGGCTACATAGTTTTATAAATGTACTACAGCACGAGAAAGATATGTTCCCGTAGAACAGAAAACTACCTTGAAATAATCCTTGCTTAAGAATTAGTTATTATTGAAATTTTGTATTTTTTATGCACTTCAGAATATACAAGATCTTTTGATCGTAGATATTGATAAATCTTTTATGATTTGTTTCTAACGTGGAACACATCCAACAGCACAGAGCTCAGCTCTTTGATGCTTCCAGAAGCTTATCGTAGAATTTTTACATGTTGGTTCATACTCTGCTGGACTTCATCTACTGTTTCTAAACATTGCAATTACTGACGTTAACTATATAGTAAACAACCACTCAATTACCCTAATCAACCCTGTTGTCTTTTCTGGGATCAGAGGATGAATTTATTGAAGATATATGGACTTTTTTTTTACGTAACAATTTTCGTATACGATTTGCAAGAGATACTCTATGAAAATAGAAGCCGAAAGCTTAGCTCTAGTCAAATTACCAATATCACGTTTTATTTTGTAATTCATTTTATGTTCTGCTCGAAGTAGCCTTTCAAATGGTTGTTATGCATTTCAGCCACCTTTTTGGATACCTTTGAATGGCTCTTAAAACCTGTTGAAAAATTGACTCTTCACTGATTCTCTAGTGGTTTGGGCAAATCTCTTTTTTTTTTTCTTTTAGCTAGCATATTTTGGTAATTGGGTAGAGTGTCATCCTCTGTTAACATGGCAATTATTTATTTTAATAGTTTGAAAAAACATCGATATTACAATTATCAGCTTACTTCAAAAGTTTGATAGGTTAGACCTTCATTTTTGGAAGGGCCAGCGCCTAATGTCACCTTTTGTTCCACAAGCAACCCAAAAGATAGTGGTTTTATTTAATATTTTTGATGAATGGAAGACAGGATGCTTCGGCATATTCACATTTCATTAGTCTTCGTAATCTGTGTATTTCATAGAATTGTGCAAATTTTGAACAAAATCCTCTAGAAATGCAAGAAAAGGTTGCAAAATAATTTTCGTAACGGTCTTTGAGAACGGTGGAAATGATTTGGAAGTCATACTTTATTGATATAAGTAGCTTCGGTCTACGATGGCAACCCGATTTACAAAGGGTACTCATTTGAAGGAAGAACGAAAGGAAGAAGTAAATACGTGTACTTGGTTTTGTTCATACTCTTGAAAGGTATCAAAAAAACTTCGCAGAGGGAATAGTGAGTCCTATGCTCTTTGCCTAGTTACAACCAAACGAAGGTCCATGTCAGCATCTAGCTACGTATTTCATTGTTTCCTGATATGAGGAATCGTTTTTCAACATCTACTTAGTTTATGGGGTTTACGAGCTGTTTTCATATTGTTAATAATTCTTTTAAACAGTTTTATTAAAGCCATTCGGTTCAGCAAAGGACTCTAAATTGAGCGTGAATGTACAATTTTCGATAACCGAATATCAAACTTGGCTTATCCTCTTGATTTGTATAAGTAGATATATATATACACTATTTTTAAAGGAAAAAAATGACCGGTCATTATCTTAAAGCCATTTAACATAAGGAGCATCTCAAGAAAGTCAAGAATAAATGGATATCAGAACATTTTAAAAGAAATAACGAAGACTTTGCCCTCAGTTTGAGCTTCAGCAGTGAAAAGATTTCTATTGTAAATATTCCGTCAATTTACTCGTAGAGTAAGGAAATAAAAACTCAATAAGACTTATGAATACTACCCTAAGGACATTAGCTAAAAGACATCCTGGGGAAACAAACCTCTTCGATGGAAAAGTGAAATCAATGAATCCACAAGCCGACAATGATACCACCTTCGACCTATAAAACATATCTGTCTACTGAACTGATAAACAAGCACTTAATTTGTATAGACAACTCCAGTATTGGTATTGAAAACCAACGAAACCATTATTTTGCAGCTAATTCGGTTCTTCTCCATGTGGTTGCGTAAAAAAAAAAAAAATTGACACCGCGACCTTTTTTTTTCAAAACTTCAAAGGTAATAAACAAAACGGTGAAGATCAATTCTTTGACAGCAGAACACAGCAATTCAGCATATATACATAGTATGGCACCCACAGGTAGCTGGAGAGTTTATATTCTATGCTTCTTGTCACATATAATAGGTCTATGTATATTTCTTAAGGGGTTTTTCCCTTCAAAAGTTGTTTTACCGGGACATAATGAATTTTCCATTCCAGATCCATTTGTCCAATCCAATGGAAAGGCACAATTTGAAAACGTTATTGTAATGGTTGTTGATGCTATGAGAGCAGACTTTCTCTTTTCAGAATCACGTTCAGAAATGAAATTCGTACACAGCTTGATTAATCAGAACTCGGCCCTTCCGTACACTGCATTTTCAACCCCACCAACTGTCACCTTGCCTAGATTGAAAGGGATCACCACGGGTGGGACTCCAAACTTCTTAGATGCCATATTGAATGTGGCAGATGATAAAGATGACTCCCAGGGTCTTTCTAGTCAAGATTCTTGGGTTCACCAATTCAAATATTGTAACCCAACAAACCGTGAACTTCATTTCTTTGGTGACGATACGTGGTTGAAGCTCTTTCCCCCAGAAGAATATTTTGAAAAATTCGAAGGAACCAATTCATTCTTTGTTAGTGACTTTACTGATGTCGATAACAATGTTACAAGACACTTGAATGAAGAATTGTCTAAGGAATCAAACTGGAGCGGATTAATCCTCCATTATCTAGGACTTGATCATATTGGCCATAAAGGGGGGCCCGACTCGGTGTTCATGGGCTCAAAACAAAAGGAAATGGACTCTATAATCGAGAGATTATATAATTATATCATTGGAGAATCTTCGAAGGAAACGCTTTTAGTGGTAATGGGTGATCATGGGATGAACGAAATTGGTAATCATGGTGGGTCCTCTGTAGGAGAAACAAGCCCAGGTTTACTACTAATATCCCCTAAATTCCAAAAATTGTCACAAGGTTTGAAAAGCCCCCTCAAGGACGATCCTCACTATCAGTATTATAGAAATATCAATCAGATTGACTTGGTGCCCACATTAGCGTCTTTGCTTAACTTTCCTATACCGACAAATAATCTCGGAGTAGTGATTGAAAATATCCTTGGTTTATGGGATTCCAATGAAAAGAAACATGCTATTCTTCTAGAAAACTGTCAACAATTCAAAAGATTAGTTGAGGCTAAGTATTCATCCACTGATAATGAATATTCGAACATAATGTCCAAATGGGAAAAAATCCAAGGGCTTGATCACGATTCAGCTCAGACTAGTCCTTATTATGACTTCTTATATGAAGTTCAAGATATTCTCAGTCTGTCTGCCACAAACTATAATTATTCGGATATTTGGTGTGGATTTTTAATTTTAACTATTTCGTCACTCTCAACTTGGTTAATCAGTAGCTATTACTTTTTTATGGGCAGCCAGCTTAACAAAGCTCTTTTAGTGGCTTTCCAGGCCTGCACAGTTCTTTATTCAGTTCACTTTCACGGATCCTCTTTGATCGAAGAAGAATACCAAATTTGGTGGTTCTTTAGTATGATCTTCATAATATTTTTATTTTGCTACTCGAAATTTAAAGGTATCCCTTACTTCATACTTCTCATTACTGGATTTAGGTTAATAAGGTCCTGGAACAATTCCGGTCAAAAATTTTCTACACCTTTTACAACAGCAGCATATTTTCTTAATAATGTCTCCGTATTATGGTCAATAAATTTCATCGTTTTCACAATAATTTCCTTTAAAATTTGCTATCAAGGGTATTTTGTGAATTGCTTTAGTATAGGAACAGTTACCGGAATTAAACAGAAGATAACTAATGTTGGTGGTTTTTTGGCATTTGTATTAACGCATGTCGTATCGTCGATATCTTTTGTATTCAAGTTGTCTCAATTTCACAACGATGGTAATAAAGTGCCCGAATGGGCACTTTGGATCATCAATTATACATGTGATTCGTTTGGAATAGATATAGAGAATTCTAATAAAAACCAATTTCAAGAGATGAATATTCAATTGGCACAGATTTCATTCTACGGAATTTTCTTCCTTCTGCTTTTAAGGATACTTTTGGGTAACCTTAGGAGCTGCAAACAAGCATTAATTACTGATTTGACCAACATCATGACTATTTTATTGATGCAACAATCAAGATGTGAAAATATACCAATATTTTTGATTTTCTTTATTACAGAGTGGTCTATTTCAAAAATTTTGCACAATGACGGTAAGAAATTAAGAAAGAACCTTGATGAATTGATCATTATAAGTACATCATTCTCATTATGTGTTCAAAATTTGTCATTTTTTTCAATTGGGAATACTAATCTGTTAGCTACTGTTGATTTATCGAATGCTTATAATGGAGTCAGTTCTTATGATGTATTTTTGGTGGGCCTACTAACTTTTATTTCTAATTATGCTGTTGTAATATTTTGGTCTTTTGTATCTTTAAAGCTCATTTTTGAAGATAGTTTTATCAGATTCTCAAACGATTTGAGTGAAAACTTGATTAATTATCCAACCATTTTCAAGAAAAAGATTTTGATCGTGAAGTCATTCTTGACACTAACATTTTACGGAATATCTGTCATTAATCTTGTGGGATCTTGTATAAATTTAAGGTTTCATTTGTTTATATGGACAGTTTTTTCACCAAAACTACTCTATTTTGCCAGTTGGTCAGTTTTGATGAATGGCTTAATTGATTTTTTAGTTGCAACAACTTTAATAGCGATATCATAGTTTAAGGTACTCAAAAAATTAAATATAATGCACGTTTATTTATATGACTATATATTTCACTTAACCTACTGTAATAACTGGTCTCTGTAATGAGGTTGGTTATTAATGAACTTAGCAGATCTTCTATCATTAATATCTTCTCTTTTCTTTTCTCTACCCCAAGCCCTCTTTTGAGCAGAGACTTCGGCCTTATCTTTGAAATTCATGAAATGTCTAGTTTCTGCTGCAATAACAGTACCTTGACCTTCAGATAAGATACGGTCTGGTGGTAAGTTTTGTCTGTAATATCTTGCTAATGAACGGTGTCCAATTACCGCACCAGAAGGTAAAACAAGTTCTTTATTATTTTGGTAAAGGGCATTATTATCATTTGGAGGTAACTCTTCGTCATCATCGTCACCTTCTTCACCACTAGAAACGTCTTCCCAATCACCTTCTTCCACATCACCTTCATCACCATTAACTTGTACAGCATTAGAGTCATAAGTTGAGCTAAAATCATAAAATTCTGATATTTCTAATTTTTCATTTTCAGATTCGTACGGTATTTTCATATGTCTTTTATTGAGCATATGCTCTCTAACGGCTTCAACGTTTCTACCTTGATAATTACATACAAGACAAACATTACCATAACCGATTTTTTCGCCCAAGTATTTAATCAAGCCTTCTTTGTCAACCAAATACTTTTGTTCTGGTATATAGAGACCATGGTGGGAGAACATATGACTTTCATTTTCTTCTAAGCTTTCAAAATTAGCACCTTTCTTAGCATGACAAAATAAACATGTAGTAATGGGTATTTCAGTACGGTTAGCAAGTTTTTCTGCTATTAAACGTTCTTGGACTTGTTCAGGAGTTAATTCTTCCTCATTTTTTGGCTCTTCATCTTTCTTCTCTAACCCATCCTTCTTTTCAGCTCCCTCCTCTTTAATTTCAGCTTCAACCTCTTTAATTTCAGCTTCTTGTTCCTTTATCTCAAAAGGCTCTCCATTTCTCTTTGCTATCATGGCCTGTCTTGCAGTCTCTAAAATCTGTCTCTTCTTTTCTTGTAATGCCTCTTTTTCTCTTCTCCTTAATTCTTTTTTGGTTAATTGTTTATCATTGGTAGTATTCTTCTTACTTCCAGAGCTCTTAGAGCTATCTTCATTGTCATTCAAAGATAATGCTGCAACTTTATTGTTGAAAAGATCTTCATCTATAGGTGGTAATTGTGCAACTCTTCTCTTAAGATTATAACGATGCCATTCTGATTTCATATGTATACGTTGATCTTCCGGCGTGGGGAAGGCCAAGTTACACGAGTTACAAGTATATTGCATTATGGATATGGTTGGTAAAGACCAAAAGAAACCGAAGATATGCTTATGCTATCAAATTTCTAATACAAAAACTGCAACTCATCGATTGAAATTTTTTTTTTTTTTTTTTTTTTATGTCTTGAGAAAATGACCTTTTGTGCAGGAACCTTGAAAAGTTTCTAACAAAATCAAAAAAAAGAGAAGAGCAGACACTGAATTTACGTATCAAGACCGGATTGAACTTGGTGATATACATTGGGATAGCCTGTAATTTGAAAGGGACCAAGAGATTACCAAAGAGACAGGAAGAATGTCAGAGGAGGAAAAAAAACCGGGTGTTTTCGATGGGGTATTACCAAAAGTAATGCAAACCATTCGGGCATCTAGTGCCTTAGCAGCACAAGACGTCAATTTCTATAAATCATTGGATGCCGAAGTTTCCAAGCTTATAGATGATAACGGAGGACAATTACTAGATATAGTCAATAGTATGCTTCAAAAAACATCCAAGGAAGCCAAATCTATTGAATATGGAAAGGATCATGTAAGTTCTGACATCAGTTGGAAACCGATTTCCAATGCATTGGACAATGTTTTTGAAAAAATTGATATTTTATTTGATAATGTTGAAAAAAATGGCAAGACACTTCAAAAGGAAGATAAAATGATTTATTTGGAAGAAGGAGCTAATGATAATGTTAATCAAACCAATAGTGGAAAAAAATTGAGTAAACCACAGCTCAGTTTTAAAAACAAGATAGATAATAGTGAAGCTAATCCTTTCAAGCCCAAACTTTCCAAGAAACCAAATGCATTGAAGAGTTTAGAAGAAGTGAGTGAAATTGTTCCAGCTGACACGATTTTGAATGAAGAAACGGGAGAAACTTTGATTGATCCTGCTCATTATGTACAACCATATGAATATGAGATTGATAATCAACCGTATCCAGAATCCATTTTACAAAAAAAGGAACCGACACCATCAAAAGATTGGAATGAAACTAGTGCAATTTGGATTGAAACAAAAGAAGGATTAGAAGAAATGATTCAAGATTTAAGAGAACTGAATGAGATTGCAGTTGATTTAGAACATCATGATTATAGAACATATTATGGTCTTGTATGTTTAATGCAAATAAGTAACCGAGAAAAAGATTGGATTATTGATACTTTAAAATTAAGAGATGATTTAGAACCATTAAATGAAATTTTCACCAACCCACAAATTATAAAAGTATTTCATGGTGCCTTCATGGATATCATATGGTTACAAAGAGATTTAGGTTTATATATTGTATCGTTATTCGATACATTTCATGCATCTAAAAAATTAGGATTCCCAAAATTTTCATTAGCATATTTATTAGAAACCTTTGCAAATTTTAAAACATCGAAAAAATATCAATTATCAGACTGGAGAGTTAGACCATTACTGAATGCAATGAAGGCTTATGCTAGATCAGATACTCATTTCTTATTAAATATTTTCGATCAACTTAGGAATAAACTAATTGATCAAAGTGAAAAAGATCATGATAATAAACTTCAGCAAGTATTATATGAATCACGTCAAGTTGCTAAAAGACGATTTGAATATACTAAATTCCGTCCACTTCAAGATTCCTTGGTTACCGCACCAATAATGTCATCTAATAGAAGAGAACCATATAATCTGATAATGTATCAATATAATGTACCCAGGGAGAAAAAACCAATCATGGCTACACTTTATGAATGGAGAGATATAAAAGCTCGAGAATTAGATGAAAGTCCAAGGTTTATAATGAGTAATCAAGTCATGGTGAGCTTAGCTCAATTGACCAAACCAGTTGATGCAAGTAAAGTTTTAGGATCATCTAGTTATTTGAGTGAGATAGTTAGAGTCAATGCAAATGAATTGAGTAAAATAATGCAACAGACAATGGAAAAAATGGAAGAATTAGAACAAGAATGGGAAATTCCAAGAGATGGGAATGATGAAGATGGAGATTTGATTAATATAAATAAGTTAGCATTCACTACAGTTGCATTTAAAAAATTGATTGAAAGTTTTGACCAACCAATACAAAAGGATTTGATCAAGAATAATTCTCAAATCTTATCTAGAGTATTTAAGAATGGAGAAGATGAGTTTCTGATTGAATACGATGGAGATGGTAATGTCATCCATCATCACGGAGAAGAGTTCATTGAGAGATACAACTATGCCATGGAGCAATTCGATAAGATGAACCAAGTTGAATTCGAACAAGACAACGAAGACTCAGAGGAGAAACCGGACTCGAAACAAGAAGAAGCAGCAGAAGAAGAAGCAGCAGAAGAAGCAGAAGCAGAAGCAGAAGAAGAAATTGATAGTAATGAAGTTATAACGTTGAAAAAGAAGAAAATGCAAAAGAAGCAACCAGTCAAGTCGAAAGAGGAACAACCAGCGTACGACTACGAAAATGCCGATAAGGTATTACTTGATATGAACGATCGTCGTCGTCAAAATAGACAAGAGAACAAAAAGAAGAGATCGTTTGATCCGTATAATAAGGAACAAGGAGGACCCCAATCAAGTAAGCGTAGTAAGAGAATGAATACAGGTAAAACAACTACTTTCACCAATAAGAAAAGATAGTCTTCACATATAATATATTAAATATACACCGATAATCTAATTCTTGTAATGAGCAGGAGGAGGCCCATCAGGTCTTTGGAAATCACTATTATCGTAAGCACCGGACGATTGGTTATTACCATAACTACTTATCCCACCTTGATTATAGTTACCCCCTTGGTTATAACCACCTCCACCATAATTGGTACCACCAGGCCCATCATTACCATAATACCCACCAGTCTGTTGAGTTTGTTGATAGTATTGATTATTTGGAGGTGGATACTGATCATGAGGCTGGGGATTCACTTGAACTGGTCTCTTCTTTCTTCTTTTACAACAAAAGAATAAAATCAACAAGAAAATCACCGGGATAATAACCAAAATCCAAAGTAACCATCTGTAACGGTACCAATTACTACGGTATCCTCTATTGGAATAGTAATATCTTTTGGAGAGTTTCGCACCTTCAGAGGCAATTGATTGAATATCTTTAACAAACATAACTGAAAGATAACCCTGCAAAGAAGTAATTGAAGAAAAAAAAAACAAAAGATTGGGTTATTTATAAGAAAACTGAAAGCAAAAGAGAAAAAATTGGCAAGCTTGAAAAAAAATTTCAACAATAATATGAGATGAAATTGACTTGCAAATTGAGTATTTTCAATGATGTTTACTGCTACAAGCAAACCAAATGTGCATCAAACGGCTATACCCATTTCATCTTTGTTTGTTGCTCAAACAGACCTTTGGTTTACGGTCATTAATTCATGCTTAGCCTACAAAGGGTGCAACCTGCAAACACACAACCTGCAAAAATGTAATCTATAAAATATAACCTGTAAAATGTAATCTGCACATACTCAACCTGCAATTACATAATCACATAACTACAAAAGTGTTGATGATTCAATCACCACTTCCTTCTTACACCTTGTTTATCACCCTTGAAACAGTCTTAACACTCATAGCGGGTTAAGCGAATGGTACGTGCTACCTGCACCGGAGAGAACTTGTTTACTTTCTTCACTTTATTGCTTTTAAGCCATTACATGATTCTACAGCACCCAACGTAGTCTGACATTTTAGCCGCTCAAAGTTTATTTGCCTCATTCAAGCAATTGTTACAGTTGATTGTTAGTCAATCCATTCAATTGACAATCAAATAGTCGAGATTGATTCTAGTCAGTTGGCCATTCACCCTGTTTGCTTTGATTGGTTATTTTATCTTGAAAACTGGTTGTTTTCGTTGATTTTGGTTTCGTTATTGGGGTTGTTTCTTTTACCGCCTCAAAAACTACAGTGTGACTTTTTTTTTTTTGTTCTTTTGTTCTTTTTTCTATTGTTACTACAACTTGTTCTCGCTAGCTTTGACTTTATTCGTTTATATGTATGAATGATTAATTTAAAACCAGCTTCTTGTCGAAAATTGAACAAAACTATTCAACAAGCCCAGTGGATCAAGTCAAACAAAACTAGTTCCTTGAAAAAACACCCCTTGAACTGCTCAATCTAATCGGCCCTGTTCGATATCATTCCAATCCAGACAAACATTACGCATTCTCCACCCCTCACTACGTCATTGCAATTTCAAGGTTTATACGGGGTTTATTCAAAGACTAAACCAGTTTAATTTTTACGGTACTCAATAAAAGATCTCGTTCCCTTTTTTCCCAGTCTTTTGTCTCTTTTTTTTTTTTTTTTTTCTTTCTTTCCCTTCTTTCTTTTTTTAGCTAATACTCGTTTTAACCTTCTATTTACTTTAAACTTTCAATCCTTCTTTTTTGTTACTCTTTCTTCTTCTTATTTGACTCTTGCAATTGCTTCATTTTCAGCTCGGATTTTTTTTTTCCACTGTTCGCTGTTAGTCCTGTCAGTCTTCAAACCATAGAGAAACCATGAGTTTTTATATGGTTCCTACGGTTCTGTACCAAACCCAACAAAAATTGAAAAATGCAAAACAGAAAAAGAAGAAGGTAAATACTCATAAGAAACATCATACTAATCATCACGATGAAAACTCTATTTCCGATTTAGAGTCTCCTAAAAGTTCAAGTCTGAACTCTAATTCTTACTCCAATCACAAAAAAGACCCGACTTCTAACTCTCCTTCAGAAACACCGGCCAATCACTCTACTTTATCGACTCCTACTCCAAATAGTTTTCCAAATCCTTTCTCTTCTTCTCCTTCTCCAAATTCGGTATCTGGTGTTCATCCTTCCCCTCCCTTAAGTTCTCACAATCAATTTCAAAATAATTCAACAATCGATTCTTTGCATTTTAATTATAATAATCCTTCAACTTCCTCGAAATTGAAAAATAATCTAATGAATGAAGAAAACTCAAATATATCTCCTCCGGAGTCTTCCAAATCAATTTATTCTTTCCAAATTAATAATCCAACTAATGATCAACAACCTACTCCCCAATCTTCTCATTTTAATCAAGGCGATTTATCTCCCATGATGCCCGATACTCATCATGCTCCTTCTACAAATAATTCTGCTTCTCTTCCTGGATCAATATCTCATCAAGCTACCGATCATGATTCTCCCTTCATTTCTGATTCTCATAACCGTTCAAATTCTTCTCTTCCTTCAAATATTGCTGCTAAATTCTCAGAACCAAGACCAAATTCCCTGAATAGTACCTCTCCTTGGTCTCATAATCTGGATTCAAATCCCACTCCAGATTTTAATGACCACAAACCTCATTCTCCCTTTAGTGGCTCGTTTGATTCCAATTCGGTATCTCCTCAAGATGATAATCAATTTCGTCAAAATTCTTTCTCATCTTCAGTTTTATCTTCCCATTCTTCTGGTTCATCATCAAACGTTTTCAGACGTAACTCTTCTTTAGGTAGCTTTGGTCCTAGCTCAAAACAAAGTTCGTCTTCTCAATCTCGTTTCACTAGAAGATTATCCTCACCTTTCTTACATGATAAAGCAAAACATCATTTGTCTTTTCATAATAGTTATGGCAACCGCAAATCAGAAAGCCCCTTGCATTCTCCCAATCTGCCAGGGAATACTTTTTCCAATGCTAATACGGTAAAAGAAACGGATGATTCCAAAACAATCCAAGGTCATTCTGGTAGTAGTGGGACTTTGGTTTTTACAAATACTGATTCACCAAAATCTCCTTTCGGAATGTCCTCAATAAAGCAAGATTCTTATTTTTCTTATAAAATTCCTCAATTTAAACCATTAATTGATTTAGAAGGTTTGAATAGTCCCGAAAGATTACAAAAAAATTTGCTATCGCCAGCTTTTCAAATCTTTCGTTTTAATAACTTTCTTGATATTTTATCAGAGCATCAAACTAATGATCCAACTAATTTTGCTAAAATTAGACACCATTCCTTAATGAAATTTATACAGCGTCATGTAAGGACTAAATATTTGAAGGAACAGAATTATGATTTCAATCAAACGGAAGATATCAGATCTTATGAAGCCTTGTTAGCTTATGAATTATTGTCTTGCCGCTCATTTCTTCGTCGTTTAATCCATTTGGAATCAAAAGCATCTTCTAAACATACTATTGTCAACTGTGAAGAATTGGTTCAAGTGAATTTTGTCAATTATATAAGATACATTCTTAACTTACCGAACTTGGAAGATTTAGCAACGAAACCTGATGATTTGGATGATATTACAAAAAATCACTATAGAATTAAGGAAATTTTTAACACAATCCAAGCTGGTCTTTATCATTTGAAAAGAGAAGATAGTGGTGATGAAATGACAAATTCATCAACTATTGTTCATCTTTTATTACAATCCATAACTAAAGTTTCCTATGAATATATTTTACTCGAAAAGTATCATATTCATATCATTACTAAATTGAAAAATAATTCTTTACTAGAAAGTCGAATTACAAAAAAATTATTCAATTTGTTCCATTTACATTTAACTTTGAAAAAATATGAATCTATTAAAGTTTTGAATTATAATATTCATTTTAGTGCCCAATTTCTGTGGTTTTTATCAATAACAATTCCTTTCATTAGAGTATTTGAATCCAATATATATGCCGAAGATGAGAAATTGATCAACAATTATGAGGCTTATTATAATCATCAGCAAAATTTACCCCAACTGGAAATTACTTCTTTCAAAGAATCAGATGCAGAATTATTTGAAACTTTCTATAAACATCTCAACTTTAAGAATGATTATAACTATTACCGTGGACTCAAATCCAAACATTTAGTTAATTTACACCGTCAAATTGATGATAAATCTCCAAGATACGCACATACTAAAATCGCCGAACCTCTGACTACTTATAGCCATAAACCTATAAATTTTGAATACTATTCAAAATCTTTATCAACAATAGAACTGGAAACTTTTTATGCTATCCATAGTGCCGATCCAGTCTTACAATTCACTCCACTGAACTATAAAATTGTCTTGAGAGAATTTTATCGTATTTTGAAGGTAGGTGGAGTATTGGAACTACCCATCTATAAACTTGCTCTTAATGATATCAGGGATATAAGTAAATTGCAAAATGAAGCAGCCAAAGATTTTGCTAGTCAAAATACTGATGAAAATAAAACCATTAATCCATCGGACTATTTGGATGTTGATCTATTGATCAAATTTAATTTGATTCCTAAATTCACCAGAACTTTATTAAAAGAACTCAACGTTGTCTTCGGAACAAAGAACTTAAAATACACTGTGCTTCTTTTGAACTCGGCTACTGAAGTAAATCGTTATCTTGTCAGGCATGTGGCCTTAACTATGAATGAAATATTTGGACAAACTGACAAGTTTGCCGAGAAATACGGTCTCGATGATACTAAGCTGGAAGCTATAAGTGATGGGGTTCATTACTACTATTACATCAAGGCCGAAAAAACTGAATCTTGATTTTTTTTAAGTGATAGTTTTATATTCATTTCTTTTTTTGTATTATTACACACACAACACTATCATGACTTAACTTATGCTTTTTGTTTGAATAGTCGCTACTCAAACAACCCTATGTACATAATTAATAGACAATTAGATTTAGAATTTGTATATCGCAGGGTACTTACTGCAGTATCTTTTTTGCAATCTTATATTTGTGTAGTGAAAAAAAAAGTAATGAGTCAAACCCATAGTGCGACAAGAGTCAACAAAAATTGAAAAAAAAAAATTCATGGAGAAGATAGATCTTTTACTTTATCTTAAGTTGAATAGGTAGAATGACTCAAACAGTTCATATCATTGACGTTGAAAGTGGGAACCTTCAGTCTTTGGCAAATGCCATCAAAAAAATCGGTGGTTACGATATCAAGTACATCCATAACTTGAAAGAATTCAATGAATGCGATAAAGAGATCAGCAAATTGTTATTTCCAGGTGTAGGTAATTATGGGCATTTTGTTAAAGAATTGCATGAAAGAAAGTTGAGTAAACCACTTCGCGAATACGCTGAGAGTGGTAGATCATTGATGGGGATCTGTGTTGGTTTGCAATCACTTTTAAGTAGTAGTGAAGAAAGTGAAGGTATTGACGGATTGAATTTTTTGGAATTAAATTTACGGAAATTTGATAAAAAAGATGCAGTCTTTGTTGAAAAAAACCAGTTAAAGTCAATTCCACATATTGGATGGAATAGTATTACTAAACTTACCGGTAAAAATGGAGAAGAATTATCAGCAAAGGAATCGTTGTACGGGATGAATTTGGTTAATAAGTATTATTTTGTTCATTCATACGCAGCAATCTTAAAGAATGAAGAAGACTTTAATACTATTAAGAAAGCAAGTCAAGAAGGTTGGGAGTTTGCTTATGCTAGATACGGCTCAGAAGTATTCCTAGCATCGGTAGCGTATAAAAACTTTTTTGCAACTCAATTTCATCCAGAAAAATCAGGTATTGCTGGTTTAAAAATATTGAAGAGTTTTTTAGAAGGGTCGAAATATTCTCAAGTTAATGAAAGTGATGTTCAAACCCATCAAGACGATGTTGAAACTACCTTGAGTGGATTATCAAGAAGAATAATTGCTTGTTTGGACGTTAGAACCAACGACCAAGGTGATTTGGTTGTTACTAAAGGTGATCAATATAATGTTAGAGAATCTGGAAGCGATGGGAAAGAAGAGGTGAGAAACTTGGGAAAACCAGTTGAATTAGCAACTAGATATTATTTACAAGGAGCAGATGAAGTCACTTTTTTAAACATTACATCATTCCGTAATTCACCAATTAAAGATTTACCAATGTTGCAAGTTTTAAGTAAAGCTGCGGAAAACATTTTCGTACCTTTAACCGTTGGAGGAGGTATTAAAGACTTAGTTGATCCAGTTACTGGTGAAGAATACCCTGCAGTAAAAGTTGCCCATTTGTATTTCCGCTCTGGGGCTGATAAAGTAAGTATTGGTTCAGATGCAGTTACCATCGCAGAAAACTATTATGCAAACAATAAGATAAAGACTGGCAAGACTTCCATTGAATCTATCTCATCTACATTTGGTGTCCAAGCAGTGGTTATATCTGTTGATCCAAAAAGAAAATATTTGAGTTCACCCCAAGAAACAAGCATGCAAACAATTGAAATCAAAGATCCTTCCAACTACGGGCCAAATGGAGAAAAATACTGTTACTATCAAGTCACTTCTCAAGGGGGTAGAAAGACCCACGAGCTTGGTGCTCTTGAATTATGTCTTGCATGTCAAGATTTGGGAGCCGGTGAAATTTTACTAAACTCAATCGATAACGATGGCTCAAATAAAGGTTATAATCTCGAATTGTTAAGTCAAATAAAAGAACAAGTTTCAATTCCAGTTATTGCTAGCTCTGGTGCTGGGAAACCAGAACATTTCCAACAAGTTTTTGAATTGGATTGCGGTATCGATGCTGCTTTAGGTGCTGGTTTATTCCATCGTGGTGATTATGAAGTCAACGATGTGAAAAAATATTTACAGTCAACTGCTAAAATGGACGTTAGATTAGATGATACCGTTGAATTATAATAACTTTATAGACTTAATCATACATATAGATTACGAATCCGTCGATTCACCGGGGAAGTTTACTCAAAACTTTAAATCTGGTTGACGAGTAGATCACAATACCCTTTGTAAAACTTTGTCCCCCCACACAAGCCTTTTTGGGTGCCAAATCACCAGGCAGAAAGTACTACAATTCTACGCCAAACCGTGTAGCCCTCTTTCCTCGAACATACGCTCTTCGTCTTTTACCTTTAAGCTTCATTCTTGTTGCAAAGATCAAAGTCGTAAAGTGATTTTTTTTTTTTCTCTTTTTTCTTTTGGGGTTGAAAAGCAGCGAGTTTCAAGCAGCTTTAGGCTTTACATCTTCTTAACAACACGTTTACAATAATTAAGAATACTCTGTTGTTCTTTATATGCTTAAGCTTAGTTGAAATTTGGAATACATGTGTCTGTGATTGAGCTATTGGAACTGGCTAAAGTTGTGTCATTTGAAAACTATATAATATCCTTATGGACTATAAATCCAGATAAAGATCCAGCAAACAACAAGACTCTTCGATGGATATTCCTAAGGCTAATACCAATCATAGAGGATCTACATCAGGCTTGCTAGCTTCGAATTCCATGAGTGGAGGTAGTGAATCAAGTTCTCCTCAAGTTTCATCGATTAAAAAAATCAGCTCATCACCAATTCTGTCAAACCTTCCACGTATCTATCATAATTTAAGAGGCTCTGATAAAAGCAACCAGATAGGAAGCTCGAGCAGTAATGATAGCACTCCTTCGAGTAAAACCAATTTTCTCAAGAAGATCTTGAGTGGAGGGAGTAATAGATCTAGTGAAGATTTGAATGAATCCATTTCTTCTCCTTCTCCACCTCCTTTGGCTAACACTCCACCAACACCACCGACTCTTTCAGTGCCTGCTAATAATGAACATACCTTCGAGCAATCAGATAATCCAAGCATGCCCCTTGGTGCATCAAATTCGTCTTCAAATGAAGCATGTGCTGGCACCAATAATCCAGAAAGTCGGCGTCCTAGTACTGAAAATCGTAGAAGAAGCATTGAAAGTAACTTAACATCATCATTAGAGAACGAGTCGAATTTTTCCCAAATCAAAAATAAGGATCACTTGAAAATCCCTTCTGTGTTTTTAAATGAAGGTCTACCCTTACTTAAATTCTCCCATAAATCAAAGAAGAGAATATACATTAACTTCGATCCCCATAGTCTTTTATTTTCCTGGAAAAGTGCTCCAACGTCGGCATCGATGCTTACTTCTACCAGTAGACTACTTATGCCTTCAACTTCCCATACTCTGAAGTCAAAAACCTACGAATTTTCAATAGACGAAATAAAAAGTATCACTTATCAAAGTGACGCTTCTAATTACAGAGAAGAGCTTCATGTTTCCAAGAAATTTGAAGATCAATGGCTTTCAATGATATACTATGATAATAAAAAGAAAAAATTGAAAACTTTACATGTTATTGCAGATACCCAGCACGATTTTAAAAAACTAGTAGCAGTTATAGAAATTGCCACTAGATTGAAAAACGACTTGACTAGAAATTTTTTCATTGATTATGAAGACGCTGATGATTTGAAGAAAAGTATTGTTATGGGGAAGGCTATCGAGGAGAAAGACAAACAAGTTAAAGAATTCTTAAGTTTCAATGATATTTTGAAATATCTGAAAAGGCTTAACATTAACATAAATCCAAACTATTTGGAGAAGATTTTCAATCGTGTTTTGTTATCTAATTCTTCCACCACTAACTTATTAGAATCTCAAAAGACTTCAGAGGATGACTCTTGTCACTTTGAAGCTCAAGCTTTAGAACAATCTTCTCTGCTACCTGTTTCAAAAAATGTTAATTTTACTTCCTCACCCACCACTTGCTTAAATTTTGAACAGTTCAAAGAATTCGTTTCTATCTTGAAAACAAGAGAAGACATTAATTATATTTGGCAAAACTACTGTGATAAGTTCTCGCATGTGATGTACATTAATCATTTCAAAAAATTTAGTTTAGAAGTTCAAAATGAATCCTATTCCAACGAAAATTTGACTAAAATTTTTAGGAAGTTCAGTGGGACATCAAATGATTTTTGGGTACCGGAAAATCTTAACAATTATTTATTATCAAAATATAATACGCCCTTCAAAGATGTTGACTCTGATGAATCTTATTTTGATCATCCTTTAAATGAGTATTTCATATCTTCATCTCATAATACCTACTTAATGGGTCGTCAAGTTGCTGGAGATTCTTCAGTGGAAGGGTATATCAAGGCATTACACAGGGGATGTCGATGCGTGGAAATAGACGTTTGGGACGGTACAAACGATGAATTGGGGGACCTGGTAAGTGAACCCATAGTAAGTCATGGGCATACTTTTACCACCGAGATTTCATTTGAAAACGTGATAAAAGCAATCAAGAAATACGCTTTCATTACCTCGCCTTATCCTTTAATTATCAGTCTAGAAATCAACTGCTCCATAGAAAACCAATTGAAAGTTGTTCAAAGTTTAAAAGATATTTTGCGAGAGACTTTAATCACCGAACCTCTTGACGACACAAATTCGCTTCCAACTCCATTGCAGTTGAAACATAGGATACTTGTCAAAGCCAAGAAGACCAGTCCTTTTACAAACCTTGTGGGGAATGATATTGGCAATATTATGTCCACCAGCACTACGACGTCCTTCAGTGAAGATAATAGCACCAATAATGGAACGACTCCAAGCAGAAGATCGTCTTTTTCTAGTTTAAAAAGGAGACGAAAAGGAGCTAAAATATCTGACCAACTTAGTGACTTGGGGGTGTATCTTCAAGGTATCAAGTTTCGAAATTTTTCCTTACCCGAATCAAAAACATTTAACCATTGTTTCTCCTTGAGTGAAAAGTCATTCAACAGCATGTTGAAAGACCCTGTCAAGCAGTCCTCAATAGATAAACACAACCGAAAATATTTCATGAGAATATATCCTTCCAAAATGAGACTACGGTCTTCGAATTTCATTCCGATACAATACTGGTCCCATGGCTCTCAAATGGTAGCTACTAATTGGCAAACTTATGATTTGGGTCAACAGATCAATGAGGCCATGTTTGAATCAGTCCGTAAAAAGGGTTTTGTACATAAACCTCTTAATCTAAGAAAACCATTGCTAAAATCAGAAAAACATCCAATGGAAGATACAAAAGAGTATAAGTTTAATATCGAAATAATAAGTGCACATCAACTCCCGAAACCGAAAAATACCGTTCTCGCCATAAACCCTTTCATCACTTTTGAAATCATTGGAGCCCGAAACGTCTTTTGGGATCCTGATTCATGTACTCTGAAAACCCCAATGGTCTCGGAAAACGGATTCAATCCGATTTGGAATTCGACTTTCAGTGGGAAAATCGTCAGCGGAAACGAGTTAGTCTTCATTAGACTTCTTGTCAATTCCTCATCGTCTTCAAAACCAGAAGAAGTTACTACTCTTGGGATCTTTGTCTCCAGACTATTCGATCTAAAAACTGGCTACAGATATCTTCCGATCAACGACTTATTCGGTGAGGAATTGGTTTATTCCTCTCTTTTTCTCAAGATAAACTACGAACATGGCTCTTAGCTCCTCTATATATTCCTTGAACCAATGACCTTATGACTATATACTAGTTTATATTTAATGATATGCTATTTTACATAGACTAAACTAGAAACGTTATGAGCTCGTGCGCGACTTTTTTTTTTTTTTTTTTTACTGATTTTTTTTTCCTCATCAGAAGATTAGATGAGATGGAGATATCAAATACAAGCTATAGACTCCATTTACAGGCTCAGAAAGGTCGATAGGATAGACGATGGGTAAAATATCAGTTTCTGAAAGCAAGGGTAAGCAGCGTCATAACCCCTTGATGAGAGATATCTCCAGTCAAGGAGGAAATTTGAGGGTGACCCCAAGATCAAATAACGAATCAAATGGTAAGGAAGAAGAAGAAGGATATTTGGATGCAGCCACTTCAAGAAAGATTTTGCAATTAGCAAAAGAACAGCAAGAGGAGTTGGATGCCGAAGAAAACCATGTTGAAAGTAGACCAAGTTTTGCTGAATCACTCAGAACTCAAGACAACGAAGAAAGTGAAGATGAAGAATACTCTGATCTTGAAGAAGAAGAAGAGGAAGAACTTTACGATGAAGAAGATGTGCAAATTGATGAAAAAGATGCAGCTTTGTTTGAAAAATACTTTCAAAATAATGAAAGCTCCAATAACGATGGTTCTATAAATTTAGCTGATAAGATTTTAGCTAAAATTCAAGAAAAAGAATCTTTTAAAGAGCAACAAGCAAACGGTGGAAGACCAGAAGATGCCGTTTTGTTACCTCCTAAGGTGATTATGGCATATGAAAAAATTGGTCAAATTTTGTCTACTTATACTCATGGTAAACTTCCAAAGTTATTCAAAGTCTTACCATCGTTGAAAAATTGGGAAGATGTTTTATACGTTACCAATCCTGAAAAATGGACTCCTCATGCAGTATATGAAGCCACAAAATTATTTGTTTCCAATTTACAAGCTAATGAAGCCCAAAAGTTTGTTGAATCTGTTTTATTGGAAAGATTCAGAACCTCTATTGAAGATTCAGAAGATCATTCATTAAATTATCATCTTTATAGAGCATTGAAAAAATCTTTATATAAGCCAGCTGCATTTTTCAAAGGATTTTTATTACCCTTGGTTGATTCTCATTGTTCAGTAAGAGAAGCTACTATTGCTGCATCAGTATTAGCTAAAGTTTCTGTTCCAGTTTTACATTCTTCAGTTGCATTAACTCAATTAGTTCAAAGAGATTTCAAACCTCCAACCACAGTTTTCATAAGAGTTTTAATTGAAAAAAAATATGCTTTACCATATCAAACTTTAGATGAGCTTGTGTTTTATTTTATGCGTTTCAGAAGAGCTGCTCAACAAGAAAATGATAATATGATGGAAGAAGATAATCAACCAAATAAAAAGGATAACTTACCACCTTTACCAGTTGTTTGGCACAAGGCCTTTTTGTCGTTTGCCCAACGTTATAAGAATGATATAACTGATGATCAAAGAGATTTCCTTTTGGAAACCGTTAGACAAAGATTTCATCATGCCATTGGACCTGAAATCAGACGTGAATTGTTAGCTGGTAAGCCAAGACTCACTTCTGAACCAGTGAAAGAGGCGGTTATGATAGATGCCTTTTAAATTAAATAAATCGTCATTGTCATTTTGAAAAGTGTATTTTTAGATAATTAATGTTTTAATATTATATTAGAATGAACAGGTTTTGATCGTAGAAGCGAAATACAATTTAAAGAAACAAATGTTTCCTTACAGTCATGAAGAAAAAGTATAAATAAGTATTCATTATCTAATGTGAAGTCTCTGACAAATATAGATGCGTATTTTTTTTTTCTATTTAATAGTTCAATAATTTGCTCAGACATGGCCAGCAGGACTAGAAGTTCTCTTGTGAGCTTCATCACATAACTTGTCAAAATTGGCAAATAAGGCATAATAACTTTGAACAACCCCAATGATTGTTAAAGCAACTGTGGAACCAATCCAAAGACCATGTAAAGATCCCTTCCATTTAGAGTAGAACGAAAGATATATGGATAAAGGAATTCCTACTACATAATATGAAAATAAATTGACAATACCTCCAATCTTTGTCTGACCTTGTCCTCTTAAACAGCCGGCAGAATTAGCATTCATTGCATCGGAAATTTGCATAAGAGCAATTAACCACATGATCTTTTTAACTGTTGAGATAACAACTTCATCGTTAGTGAAAAGTTTAGCAATTGGAGTTTGGAAGAAGTACAAAGCTGAAAAGTTTAAGACTGAAATGAGTAAACCAAAACTTAATGCAACTTGAGTTGATTTTTTAGCAGCTTCACCTAAACCGGCACCTAAAAAGTTAGCGATTCTGGTTGAAGAAGCAATTCCAATAGCAAAAGGAACTTGGTATGTCAATGATGCCATTGTAGAACCAATTGATTGAGCAGCGAGTTCGATAGTACCCAAATAGGAAGCCATTAAAGTTAAAATTTCAAAAGCCAAAAATTCAGCTTCCAACATGATAAGACCGGGAATTGCAAGATATATCAATTTATCCCAAGCTTTGAATGCACCTTTGATGTCTATACCACCCCAGCAAATCAAAGGATGTAATTGAGAAGGAGTATCCTCCGCTTTGACAAAATAAACGGTACAAATGTATAATCCTATTGCCATGAGCCAGTAATTTATAGCAACTGCCATTGGGGCACCTAAGTACCCTAACTGGTTAACGAAGAAAATATTCATCAAGAGGTTAGAAGGAGCAGCGAATAATAAAACGTAGGTTGAAATGTGATAAATACCTTGAGCTTGCAAGAATCTTTTACCACATTCAAAAAGTATATAAGCAGGAATACCTGGGGTAATATACTGAAGATAAACAGCAGCATATTTTGCAGTTTCTTTATCTGGAAGAATAAGAGTGATTAATCTATATCCGAAAAACAACCAAGTGATTAATATTGGTAACATAATAACAAAGATTAAGGCAGTACATTTTTGTAAGTAAACCCCAACCAATCTATAATTCTTAGCACCAAATGCTTGTGGACATAAAGTATCTAAAGCAGTAGCGATACCTTGAATTGTAGCATAACCAGTTATATTTGCAGTCATGGCACCCATAGAAACAGCTGCTAATTCAACTGCTCCTAAATGACCCACTGTGAAAACAGAAACTGTTGAAAGGGAATTTTGTAAAAGAAAAGTTAAAACTAATGGAATTGATGATTTAACCAATGATTTTAATTCAATAGATGCAGTAGTAGAACTTATCTTATGAGATGAAACAGCATTTTCAAAAGTTTCAGCTACCTCATCATCATCATCATCATGTGCAATAGGAATCTTATTATCTTTTAAAAGTTCCCTTTCTTGTTCTATTAATTCTCTCGAGATGCTGGATTTACGACGAACTTTCAAATTAGAAGTTCCAGCAGAGCTTCCCAACAAAGGAGCGGTTTCAGTAGCAGCAAAAGCAGAGGCATTGGAACCAGCGTATGCCAAAGGTTCGTTATCGTCAGCATCAATTGCTGAATTTTTAGGAGAACGAATAAAGTCTGAAGGAAGAAATAAGCCCTGCTTACCCACCGAGCCGTACACGGTCGACGCTCTTCTCTCGGAGTTAGAATGGGTGAACTGATGAGACTTGTCTGTTGAGGACATTATCTCTTATTTGTATATTCAAAGTAATCAAACAAGACCTCCTTGTTTTAAAGCTGGTTTAAAAAATCTTCATGGGAAGATGGAATTAGGACTAATTTTTTCTTTCCAATTGAACTATACACCCGTACCGCTGAAAATTCCGTACTCTTTCTAATAGTCATAAATGATAGAAAAGTAACTTACAGAAGGGTCCTTGATAGAGATGGAGAGAAAAGCTTAATATACATTGAGAGAGTTTTAAGTTCTATACTATACTATACAAGAATTTTATTTAAAAAGAAGCTGAAGACATGGAAATTCATTGTTAATCATTGATATTGGATCATTGGTCGATATTGGATCATTGCTGATCGTTGATATTGGATAAGAGTTGGGCCAAACATCTTTTGGTGGCGATATCATCTTGTAAGATGAGAGAGAAAGTGCCATCTCTTAATGGTTCAGGTAAAATGTTGGCCAAAGCTTTTCTAGCTTCTAAATTATCAGATAATCTCATATAACATCTAACCACATGTTTTAATAATCTGCAAGAGCTATTAGAAGGTTGTTGTTGGGAAGCTTGAGTGGTAGTACTTAATTGTTCAATCATTTTAGATAAAACTGAAGCCACGGTATGGAATCTTTCATAAGTAGTACATATATATGATAAACCTTGATCATCCAATAAAATTTTTTGTAAAATAAAGATGGCCACGGTTTTAGATAACTCAGATGATATTTCCATAATATTTAAACATAATGGAACAATTTCAGTTGTTAATAAGAAATTAATAACCTCAGGAGTATCATTTTTAACTAAAGCTCCAATAACTCCTAAACTAGTAAGTCTCAAATATTCAAAAGATCTTTGCCTTGCATTAGTTGATAAAAAGGGATATAAATATAATGGTAAGTTGGCACTTAAGAACCAACCTCTGGTTTGAACATTTGACGCAACACATTGAAGTAAAGCTAATGCATTACATACTCTATTTGAAACTGATGCGGTTAAAACTGGAGGATTTAAAAATGGATAAACAGAAATTATCTCTTCCAATAAAACAGTCATTACCCCAAATGAATTCCATAAAACTAAAGCTAAATCATCGTATTGTTCTCTTTTCTTACCCAATTCTAATAATGCTCGTTCTCGATTGGTACCTGATACCAATTCGGATATCCATTGGTAAATCTGTCTATCATTCAAAGCCTTATTCTTCGAGCTGGCTCCACTTGCATCTGCAGGGTGTACTTCTTGCACTGGTGGTGTAACTTGATCTGCCACCTGTGGTGCTGCTGTTGGGGCTGCTGCTTGCGCAGCTGCTGTACTATACATTTTGTCTATTCCAACAACTTCCTTCTCTCAAGTGTTCCAGTGTATTCCTTATAATAACACAGCAGCTGTTGTTCACTTATTCAATTTGTTTAGTTAAACCCCTTTGTAGTTTATAATAGTGGTGAATTGTTGTTGAAACGAAGCTTGAAAAAGCAAAAGGTTTTAGTTCTCAAAAAAAGAGAAAATTATTCATAAAGACCCGTACATTCATTTGGATGTATTTTGCCAAAAAAATTAAAACGACCTCGGAGAGGCTCGAACTCTCGATCTTGAGATTAACAGTCTCACGCCTTAGCCAACTTGGCCACGAAGTCGCTTTGTTGAAGACCTGCCCCTTTCCAGGCATCCTCATGTGCTCTATTTTCATTGCCTTAAAATGTTTGTCAAAAAATAAAGTTATTTAAAATAGCTTTAAATCAAATAATTAAATGTTTTTTCATTGCACCAGGGTAATTAGAGATGAAAACAGTTATTTTTGTTGCAAAATAAAATGTGCATAGGATTTTATAAGAAATAAAAATTAAAAAAATCACCAAAGTTCTAAAATCTCACACTTATTTACATAGAATTCAGGAAATAACCGAAACGGAATGATTTACTCCTCAATTCTTTTCTTTTTTGATCCTTCTTTGCTCAACTACTGGAAAATAATCGATAAATGCTATGCTGCCCGATAACTTATAGTATATATAATATTGCCTTTTTGATCGTATAACAAGCTATGGGGTTTACTGTAACTATTTCATCACATCCTTCAGCTTATTGCCTGTTTTCCAAGACTAAAAGGCTGAATTCGATAGTTCTTAGATTGCAAAATTCAAAGCATGCACGTATTTTAGATATAGAAAGTATGCAATATTTTAGCAGCTGAAACTTGTTTCGACAAATTTTTTTGGTATTTCTAATTGCAAAATCAAGCAAATTTAAAACGCCATAAACGTCATTTTGTTGAATATTGTCACTTTGGTATAAGACTTGATTCAGAAACAAACTTGGTGCCAAAAAAAAAAAGGTTTTGTAAAAAATTGCAAAAAAAATAGAAATGTAGCAAAACTTTAATAATTGACCTGAGATAGTACATGAAGAACCTGGCTAAAATATAAAATTCATTAAAGATGGAAAAATTGACATAATAAAACAAAATGGAACTTTTAAAAATTAAAATTAAGAGACTATAATTTACAAATATTTTTTTTTTTTAAATCTATATAATTTAAGGCGAAGCATCTAAAGCTGAAATTAAAAGAATTATTCATCAATTTCTTCATATTTTTCTAATCTGTCTTCTGCTTTATCTTCGTCAGTGATTTTAACACCACCACTAACAGAAAATTGACCACCAGCACCAATGAGTTGAATATCGTGGTATTTGGTGGCAGTATTAACGATTCTGGTTGGTTTTTCAACATCACCATCTAATGGACCTAAACCTGGAGCATAAGTATCACCAAAACCCCATGCATAGACCATACCATCATCAGTGATGGCAAAAGAATGATGAGAACCAGCACCAATAGCTTTAGCTTTAACTTTACTTTCTCTCTTACCAAAGTGAATAACGGTTGGAACTGGAACAGATCTTTCCTTACCATGTTGATCTTTATAAGTGGATTCAGGTAATTCATTTTTAGGAATACCAATTTCTTTCATATCATAACGACCCCATGCTAAAACATTTCCATCAGAAGTTAAAGCTAAAGTATGATGCTCACCACATGCAAATTCAACAATGTTTCTATCAGATAAACTAGGAATAAGAGTAGGTTTAGTTATTAAAGAACCATCTTCTAATTCCCCATTTGAATCAGTTAAAGCACATTGACCAAATTGATTTAATCCCCAAGCAAAGACTTTATCGTTATGATCAATAGCGAAACAATGGAAATCACCACTTGCAATATATTTGATATTATACAAACCAAATTGTTGTGGTTCTAAAGAGCTTAAACGGTGTCTTTCTAAGATACGACGACCTAATTGGTATTGTTGTCCATTACCCCAAGCATAAACAATTCCTTTAGAATCAAGAGCTAATAAGTGATCTTTACCAGCAACCAATTGAACAACATTGTGCAATTGAGTAATTTTCTTTGGAGTAACTTGTTTTTTAATATCTTTCAAAAAACCTAATTCACCTTCATTACAACGGAAGGTACCCCAAGCATAAACATCCCCATTACTATATAAAACAGCACTCAAGTTATCAGTGGCTGCCAATTGAACAACTTTAACGTCATCGGCCAACTTGGGTAAATTTTCAACTAAACCTGGAGTAGCTTCAGCTTCATTCAAATCACCATCTTCATCTTCAGATTCATCTTGATCCATATCTTTCAAAACTTCTTTAGCTCCACTAGTATCTCTACCCAAAACCTTACTATCATTAGTACCCCAAGACCAAACCCCATTATCAGAGTCTAATGCTAAAACATGCATACCACCAACGGCAAAATCAACTATACCTTTGTTACCAATTTTTTCACTGGTCAAATATGGATTCAATCTTGGTCTCTTGACCTCTTTGGTACTGGCACTAGGCCCTAAACCTAATTCACACATAGATCCAGTACCCCATACAAATACATCCAAAGGTTGGGTCTTTGCTGACTTAAATTCGTTAACATCTGGTAACTTTGAATATGAATGTAAAATAAAAGATGAGGTAGCTGCTGATTTGGTTCTTTTGGCTCCGTTTGCTTGAGGTGAATCCTCTTTTCTCTTTCTTTGCAAAGCCACCATGTTTCTGATCCAATACTATGCTAGTTCGATATGGATTTCTGCAATATAATCTCCTGATATAGTATCTATTAACGAAAATTGGGTGATGATATGATCATTTATGTCTTGAAATCGAACAAAACATTTTTTCTTTTCAGCTCCGTACTGCACAAAATAAGGAAAAAGGCACGGGTGTTTTACTAATGCTTATATGATTTTTTTATATTTGTATGATTTTATATATTTATATGATTTTATATAGTTGGGTATTATTAAATGAATTAGAAGAAAACAAGAATGGGAAACACTCGGGGCGAAATATCAAAGCGAGTGGTTTTCAGGAAATGAAAAGGGGTAGATCAAAAGTAAAGTAATATAAAGTAAGTAGAAGTGAAAAGGAAGAGACTAGACAGATTTATCTTGGGGTTCGTTCAAAAGGTTATCTGTTGGAGAAGCATAGCCTTTCTTTTTATGTAAGAATTTATGTTTATATTCCACGAGGAATCTAGCGTAGTTCATGATAAGATAACCAAAAGAACCAATGGCTCTGAATAAAGCTAAAACAGCAACCATCCATAAGATGAAGGCCAAATATAAGTTCTTTTTGGTTTCACCGGCAGAATAAACTTGTAACATAGTCATAATAAAGATCAAGTTTGACATCAACCAGATTAAAACCACTCTAGTACGAACGTCTTTAGCATAATCTTCACCTTCCATTTGGAATTCAGGAGTGACAGCTTCAGAAACTTTTCTATTAGCTCTTTTAGTTCTAATATTATATAAAGTTTCGAGATAAACTTCATCGACATTAACATCGACAACGACAGCATAATCACCTTCATCACTTTTTTGAATTGTATACTTGTCTTTTTTATCATCTTCAGGATTATTATCACCTTTTGTACCCCAAGATACATCATGAGTATTACAAAATGCAAATATTTGTAAAGTACAGGTATAGGAAGGAATCATCAAGAAGTATTGTACTGAACAAGTAAGCATGTGCCATGGATCCAAATACAAAATGGACATTAATGTATAAAGACCATAAGTTGATAATAAGGAAACAACAATACTAACAAAGACATAGGTTGAAGAATCTCCCATACCAAAACTTTTAATACTATTGAAAACGAAAAAGAAACCAACAATCAATGCATATAATGCACATACTGTCAATAATATAATCAATGTTTTAAATATTGTTCTTGAGGCTTGTGGTCTATTACCAATTGAAACGATAAATAAGGATGTTAGACAACAAATACAAAGATAATTGAAAATTGTGAAAATCCAAAAACCACCATTATGACCAATATGCTTAGTTGAAATTAAAGAACCAGTTAAAAAGTAAAAAGTTAAATAGAAATTACTCAAGGAGAAGAATGAAAATACAAGGGTGAAAAATTGGTACATAAATTCAACAGTTAACCAAAACTTTCTCATAAAAGAGTGATTTGTATTCCAAATTCTTCCACCATGACGTAAAGAATATAAAGCTGCAAAAAATGCACCATTAATCCAACGTCTTCTTTGAGATAAAAATTCAGCAATACTTTCAGGAACATCAGTTTCACCAGTAGCCAGTTTGACAAATTTAAGAACCCAATTTTCATTTTTTTTAGCAACTAATTCCCAACATAAAATTCTATCTTCTGCTAGATACATATTTGCTTCGAAAAAATTAGTTTTACTATTAGTTTTTTTATTATCCTTTTGAGCACTCAATAAATCTTCACCTTTGAAATAAGAAGCTAATGGACCAGTACCATCTTCATGATTTTTCAAAGCAATATATCTATAAGCAGATAAAGCCCCTGGTAAAACTGAAATATAACCGAAAAGAGATTCTAAAGGTTTATCAAGAATATTCGACATTTTATATTCAAAATTTTGTGAAGCAACTAATGGATTAGTTAAATTAAGCCAACCTTTACCTTTCATAGCTTTAATTTCACCAGCAGCACCAGCAACGTTTGAATCTCTATCAAAAGCTTTCCATAAATTATAAATTGCATTATCATCAGGTTTAGTACCAACATCTAGTAAAACAACCACGTTTGGATCTAAGATTGGACAAAATGCATTAAATAACCATCTATGAGAATTAATTTTCTTTTGATTACTTTCTTTTAAACAAAATAAGACTTGAACTGGACATAAAGATCTTTCACTACCTTTAAATTTTAAATTTTCATCAATTGAAATTTGAGTAGTATATTCAAATAAATGAGCCTTAACTTTTTGATCATTAACATAAGGTCTAGCTAAATTTTCTTGATAACAACCAGTTGCAGTTAATAATTGTAAAACAGATTCATTAACTTTATTTCTACCATCAGCAACAACGATAACTTGAACTTTTTTCCAAGAATCTCTACCCCAAGCAGTAGATCTTGGTCTTTTAACAAGATTTGCAACATTTTTCATAACTCCATGCATAGTTCTAGCAAAAGCAAATTCATCTTCATTATACATGGTAACACAAACTACAATTTCAGTTTCACGGCCATATTTAGCAGCCCTTAAACTAAAACCTTCACCAATATATTCATCAGGTTCACAAGTACAAGCAGTATAAGTCATATTTGTAAATTCACCATGTTCAGATTCAGTTTTAGTAAGAAATTGTTTTAATTTATCAGGAATTGGATTTTCTAAAACTAAATTACCAGTTTTACCACCAACCAATCTAACTTTACGTTTAGTAACTGTTTTAGCTCTATGAGGAACATATTCATTATCAATATTATCCATCATATTACGATCAATATCACTAGATCTATCACTGAAAGTACCACCGGGAATAGACTCAACATAATCATCATCAGCATAAGAATCTCTAGCATAAGTATTACCAGAAATGGTTGAAGCTGCTTCAAATTCTTTTTGGTAAGAATCATAATCATAATCATCTTTAGCAATGGCAACTCTTTTTTCTTCTCTTGAATCATTAAGGGCAGTGGTAGCATCATCATCATCCTCAGGTTCATCATCATCGTAAGGATTAGCTTCAGCATAAGTTCTTGGAGAAAAAATTGGTTGAGGAGGCTCTAAAACTCGATCACTTCTAGAAGAACTATGAATAGATCTTGCGCCACCACCGTACAGAGAACCAAAAACTGAATTATTCAAATCAGCAGCCGTATTAAATATGCCGGGGTTATTACCGTAACGAGAACCAGCAACTGAACCTTGATAAGCGGAACGTCTTGGAGAACCAGAGAAAAAATCGCTATCATCATCAAGATCATCACTCATGAGCATTTCGGTTTGTTTTTGTCTTCTTGGAGATTCTCTCGAAGTGAATTGAGCTCTTGGAGTGGAATCAGAAGTATCAGTAATAGAGGGACTGAATTGCAAATTTGGAGTTGAGTCAAGAAGATGAGTACTTGGATTTCTTCCATGGGCTCTAGAACTTCTAGAGAAGATATTTGGAGACTGTTTTGGTTGTTGTCTTTGCTGTTGAGGACGTTGTTGGGTTGATTGTGGGAAAGCCATGAAGTTTGATTCTTCATCTTCTTCGTCATCGAGATCTATTTGGTAAAATTTTTTGGGAGAAGAACGGTCACTAGTGAAAGCGGTACTTGGTAAAGAGGGATGTCCTTCATCTTGATCCCTGAAAGGACCATCATCAAAGGGATTCGACATATCTCTTGAATGATACACTTAAAAGAAGTAGTTTTAAAGAAAAGATTCTTATTAGGATAAAATAAGTTTTTTATAATTAAACTAAACAAGTAATATAGAAACGCAAGATTCACCCCGTAAGCCTGAAGCAGTTAAGAACAATTGAAATAAAACTTGAAATTGAAAAAAATAAACAAAAACTAATTATATTAAATCAATTACTAGTTGACATTGCAATATCACCTTTGGATGATTCTGCCTATTCTTGTACCATTGCTACACAATCACTAACCGCTCTTCTCATCTGCCTGGTGAGCGGGCCTGCTGTTTACCTTTTGCTTGCTTCAAGTAGTGGGTCTTTGTTTGTTTTGTTTATTCTGTTTACTACTTAATGCTTTGTGAAGTTGAAGTTGTGAAAAATTCATCACCAAAAAGGTAACTCAATTGGTGCAAAACATAAATAATGGCCGATGTTTAAAGACCCGTGCACCACATGGTAAGACTACTAATAAGCTAGCTAATTCTATTGGACTCGATATACTCTTCCACACAGCTTTTCAAGCAAAGGTTGGGGTAGCATTGCTTCTTTGTTAGGCGTTCTCTGGTGAAAGGGTCGGTTTGGGATTTTTCAAGGTGGTTCCAGAGCCAGGATTTCTCATAAGACTGGCCCGAGGGGGTGATGACCGGGTCCATGAATAAAGTAAAAGATATTGGATCACATAGATGGTCGGGATGATCATCTATTGGGGGTTTGATCAAGGCATGGTTATGGTTGTTTTCGAATACCGCCACCAAATCCTTGATATCCTTATTGTATTTAAGAGATAAGTTTGTGGTTGCATAATCAAATGATTTTTTATCCAATTTTTTCAAATCATATTCATCTAGTTGTTTGTGATAATCATGTTCAACGTATTGAACTAGTCTCTGAAATAGCCCATGGCAACTGAGCACACTGTCTTTCAATCTTTTATCAACTATTTTATGTTTCACCTCCAAGATACTTAAGTAGATATCTCGAGGTAAAATGTATGCTTTCTGGTATCTCCCCAGGTAATTGATAGACTTTTCGTATACTTTGTAAAGGGATTTCAACCCGGTTTCTGGAGTTTGGTCCCCGTAAACTTTTTCTAATGCTTGGAGATATAATGCATCCAAGTTTTCATGATCGATCTTCAATGCCGACTCCAAATCACTCAGAATCTTCTTCCACTTCACCGCTCCAATACTCTCGGGGTCGGTCCCGCCACTCGAGTAGCTGTAGTAACTGGCTTTGGCTCGAGTAGAATATAGTATCGACGAGGGTTTATTTGAATTTTTCAACGCAAGCGAATAGAAATTTATTGCCTTGACGTAATCTCCTTCTTTGAAACTTTCAATTCCCTTTTCAACAAAACTCATATTGACCAATGCTAGTCTCAATATCCATATACCTACGCCAATGGCTTAAGAGGTGTTCAGTTTGAAGACAACAACGAAAAAAAATTGGTTGATTCTGCGCTAACAAATCAAAAAAAAAAAAAAAAAAAAAAAAATCAAAAAAAAAAAAAAACTTTCACAAATAAAAAAAATTGGAAAATTTTTCATTTTTAAAGAAAAAAAAAAAAAAAAAATAATAATACCGAAATAATTAGGGAACAGATACTACTAGTACAACCCTTTCTTCAGCTTATCACTCCCTCCGCTTCGATGGAAGCACGAAGACACTCTTACGAAATAAGATCCAATGACAGGACTATGGAGACTCCAGGCTCGAATAACAGAAACTCTACGCCCATGAACCCAGCCACGTCCCCAAGTCAAGACAATAATACCGACTTTTATTCCCATGCAAACGATAGCTCCTTTTCGACCAATACCTTGGCCTATACTAGCACCAACAACGAGAACACCGGGCCCGCGGCGCTGGTGGCAAGCGTTGGGTTCAACACGTTGAAGAAACAGAGTACAAATGCTTCATCCGCTTCGAGTATCAATACCTTGAATGTCAGGTCAAATCCTTTGGTGAGGTTTTTCACCAAGAATCGGTCGACTTCTACGATAAATCAGCAACAACAACAGCAGCAGCAGCAACAACAACAACAACAACAACAACAACAACAGCAGCAGCAGCAGCAGCAATACCTACAACCGATTAAATTCAATGATGATAGCTTCATCTACACCCACGGGAATAACAGTCAAGACACGTCTCTCGATCCCAGCTACATAGATTCTACAGCTACTCTCACTCGCAGCCACTCTGCCGGATCAGGGTCAGGGTCAGGGTCAGGGTCAGGGTCTGCTTCTATTTCGGCGTCAGGATCAAGCTCGGGCATTGCATCGTCGGACCCCAATAACGATAGCTCTCGTAAAAACTCATCGCAACAATTATTCAAGTTATCAAAGAAGAACATGAACAAGTTGAGGTTTTCGAATAAATCAACCAACAGTAAACCGGAGTTGAATATTCAAACCAGTGGTCATCATGGCTTGAAAGTTCCTAAAAAAATCTTGACTGATCCCCTGTTGGAAGAAAATTTAAATCCAAACTCCAAATTATCGTCTAATAGGAAACCTTCGGTCAATTCTCCAGTGACAACAACTTTCCATAACTTATTTCATAGATCGCATAGTCACACTCAGATGAATAATGACCCACCAACTTTAAATCCATTAAATGACGAAGGAGTCCTAGCCCCTAACCAATCAATAAGTAGTAATCCCAACAGAACTGCAGTGGGACTATCTTCAAATAGTTCGAATTCATTTATATCTGATATTTCATTTGCCATGATTTATAATTTTACCGATCCTGATTACTCGGTTGAAAACATCGAAAATAATGAACATACTTCATTTCTTGATATTCATAGAAAATTGATGGTTCCCACGGATCAATTTCTACTGTATAAACTTCATAAACATCATAATAATGAAGTAGGGTTGGGTATATCAAACGATGGCGAATCAAATAACGATGAATATTTTGAAAGATATTTAATTGACTTTGGGAAAAGTAATGCTAAATTTTTCACTAATTTATTAACAATTACTAGTCCTTTGTTTTTACCTTCCCAACAAAAACGGTTACTGAATGGGAAAGTCCATCCTAATTTAGCAATGTCAATTGAAGACGTTGCAAACTTTATTAAAATTAACTACATAAATGATAATTTAAACTCTGTTACTACCCCGGCCGGACCGATCATTCTATCAGATACCGAAAATAAATCACCTGGTAAAAGAGAAAAATTGAAAAAATTATCGAGCTCAAAATATAATACTAGTCAATCATTCAATGCTTTCCCCCTTATTGATAAATTTTCCGAAGATCATTTGGATGACTTTAAAATTAGAGAAATATCCCAAGATTTACTTACATTTTTTTATAGATGCATGATCATGTTCCAAAAAGATTATCAAGCTCAAGCCAGACAACAAGCACCAAGGAAAACAAGCACCATAACTAACTATAGTAGTATAGATGAGTACAGAATTCCTCAATTTGAACAAATCGAATCACTAGAAAAAGATTGGGAAATTATTAGCCAACAGTGGTCTTACTTCAATAATACCATCCGTTTTAATATCCTTAATATGTTCTATCCACTCCAAAGCTATATTTACAATGTCTCAATCCAAAGATATAACACCGATCCTCAAAACTCCTTTGATATCGAAATTGAAAATATCTTACTCCTTGCATTCAGAGACGTTATCATTTTACCAGTGCTAATGGCCCGGAAAAAGATCTACGAGGACTTTAAACACCAACAATTATCACAGCAACAGGCTCCAACATCTACCTCGTCTTCTATCCAGCACCAAAATTCCATCATAGAAGATGAACAATATGCACAGAAAGTGAACTACCCTAATGGTCTCCCAATGCAATCGTCGGCGTCTTCAATATCCTTCTCTCCCTACGATTCCTCCCACCATAAGTTGCGAGCCACTCCTTCAAGCAACAGACAACATGCCTCCAGCTATACGAGCCGAGACTTGGACAGACTCAAAACGAAGGAGAAGAAAATCTTCCAGAAAGACGATGGCCGATTATCTAGAAATATAATCAACTGTTTTGGGGTCATTGTGTGTCATTCTTACGGCGAATCTGGTAATACAGACGGAGAACAACACATCCGTGACTCGATCTTCAACGACGCCTTCACCTGGATCACCAACATATAGCACTATACCTCTATTTTGTACATAGAATATATGTATTGAGTCTCAAGTCTGTAAAGTAAATCGCAAAAACGACTGGGAAACGCGTCGCTTTTGAATTTTTTTTTTTATTGAAAAAAAAAATGAATAACCTTTCTTTATCAAACTTTGAAGTTACCCAAGTCATCTTATAAGTTGATTTAGCACTCTCAAGCGATACTCTTATATAGTGGCAGGAAGAAATAGTGGAAAATGGTTTTGCCTGCTCATTTGAAAAACAATTTGATGCCCTCAGAGATCAAGTTTATTGCCGAAAATGAGCTCATTACAATTTTACCCAGATACTCGATGAAAAAGATTGAATTGATAGGAGTATGTTTGATTTGATTACAGAATGGATTGAGAAGATACTAACCAAAATATAGACTACGATTCCAGCGTTAAGAGGTATGAGAAGAGAACGAGTTCCGATTTGGGTGGCTCTCATTTTGAAATCCCAAGATAAGTGTAATATCGTGCCACCAGAATGGATGAATGTAGCTTATTTGAAAGAAAAGTATGAAGACGAATTGAAAACGCCGTATAGGTTCAGTGACTTACCAAGTAACTGGATTGAAGTTTCCAAAATTTTGCTTACCAAAGCTGCTGATGATTTAGCTGATCCGTCACACCAATTACGGTCGATAATCCAAGACTTACGTGAAATCAGACTTGTGAAATCCCGCAGAGGCTTGAAAGAGTTGAATGAATCGAATATCGAGTTGCTTGGGTTGTCACTGCTAGAAATCAATGAATTACGTCCGTTTGTCCTTACTGTCATGAACAAACTAAGACAACTCCACGATACCCTGAAACCAGAGGATGACTCTACAAACGCAAACAACTACGAAGACTCGGACGAGGACGAAGATATGGATAACTAAGAAGAGTAAGCTCCATCTACAATTCGTGTAGTAGTCGTGCTTGGGTGGACAATTTTTTTTTGTTTATTCCCTCAACGAACTGAGCAGAGACTGGGGCAACTGGATTTGACAGTATATTCCTGAGTTGAAGTCCCCAAGAAGAAGGATCCTTGTATTGCTATGAGTAAATTGAAGAGTTTAAATCGGGAGTTCATATCAAATCTCAAAACTCATAAGATTGTCACCAATGCGAAACGAAATCTCATCTTATCAATTTTGAAATCAACTACTACAAAGAGGGAAGCCAAAACATATTTGAGTAAATATCAAAATCAATTTGATTTTGCTGAAATAACTTTTGGTAAGGTTCAAAGTGACGAAAATTCTTTAAATATCAGAGATAATCAACGGGAATTATTTATAAATCGTTTTCTCAACAAGCAAAATCCATTTGTTAATATATATGATAATGAAGATACTAAACTACCCAAGATACCTTTAAGGTTGGCCATATTCAAGATCAAGTTCCCGGATATCCTGGCCTACACCTGGAAGCAAATTGCAGAAACATTTAGAAGGTTAGTTCATCTTGGAATTTCTCCAATTATAATGCTAGATTTTGATCATCTACCCAAAAATACTTTTGCTCATAATGAATCATATATGATAAACCAAACTAATAAAATAATGAATCATTTGGGTAAACCAGAAGATGATTTCCATGATTTGAAAACTTCGATGTTGAGGTCCACTTTTTCAAGGAATTCACATGGTGAAATTAAAGTAGATAGTTTAGAACTGATATTGATACCATTATATCAAGGAATAATTCCTTTGGTTCAACCAATTGTTTACGATTCAGAGTCAAGTCTACAGACACTGGGAAATTCCCATGACTTACTCTATGCATTATGCTCGTCTTTACTTGATAGAAATGATTTATTAACCATTGAGAAAGTAGTGATGATTGATCCAATTGGTGGTATACCTTCGATTGAAAGAAATCAAACCAGTCATGTTTTCATAAATTTATCTCAAGAGTATTCTGATATCGTTTCTGAATTGTTCATAGGTTTCATCGATCCAGATGTTCGTGATTTACATGTATCCAACTTAAGAGCCATGAATAATATTCTTAGCTTAGCCTCAAGCAAATCTGGTCGTGACGATACTACAGGTATAATTACCACTCCGCATATCATGTCAATCAATAATGATCAATTAAATCCAATCATATATAATGTTCTAACTGATCGTGCCGTTATATCTTCGTCGTTACCCTCATCCCAAGGAAGAACCCCGCAACTTTCAACTTCGATATTGAAAAAGGGTATTGACGTCACAATTCTTGATGCCGACAATTATATCGGAGAATTTACTTTTAACAACCTAGTAAAGGATGGTTTGGTGGATAAAGACCGAATGGTTCATCTAATAAACGATTCTTTTGGCAAAGAGTTGAACGCATCAACTTATTTCGAAAGAATTAACGAATCCATTGCCACCATCGTTATCGTTGGTGACTACGACGGCGCTGCAATAATCACTTGGGAAAACATCGATGACTCAACAGATTCAGCAGCTTTCTCTTCAGGTAAAGTTGCATATCTCGACAAGTTTGCCATTGCCAAAAAAAACCAAGGGTTACCGGGTCTTGCTGATATTATCTTCAAAGTTATTTTACAATCGCATTCGAACGAGTTGATTTGGAGGTCTCGAAAGAATAACCCCGTCAATAAATGGTATTTCGAAAGATGCCGTGGCTCAATAAGCTTACCTGATTCTCAATGGAAAGCTTTCTACACCGGAGAGATTTTCAATAAGAAAATTGATAAGTCCAAACAACGACAACAAGTTGGCGCTGTTGACATCAAGAAAAAGATCCATGAATACACCAAAATCGTGGAAGGAATTGCTCCTTCTTTCTAAAATTAATATACATATAGAAATACAGCCTATTTATCGTCTTTAATCTCGTAGTATGAAGTTGTTGGTTTTGTTGCAAATTTGTTGGAGAGGAAAAAATCAAACGAAAGCCAAAAAAAAAAAAGGTTGAGAAAGCAACTGGAACCAACTTATACTAGTATATTCTCTTCTTAAGGTAAGTAAGTATGTCCATTAGACAAAGAACCGCTGGAGCAGAAGACACAGGCAGTGGCAGCAAAACGATGGAACGTCCAGCCACTCAATCGACGAATCGACTTTCTTTCTATCATGAATTAGAAGAATGGCAACAGGATAATCATTACATTAGATCAGGGTATGTGAAAGGAACAAATAGTTTCCAAGAGTGTTTGAAATCATTGCTGTACCTCCACAATGAGACCGTCAACATTTACTCCCATCTTATTCCTTCAAGCATGATAATGGCGGCAGTTATATATTATGTCAACTACCAATTGACAATTTACCCTAATTACTTGGGATTCTGGGAAAAACTTAATTTTTTTCAATTTGGATTAGCTAGCACCCTCTGTATGTTCATGTCATCTACATTCCATTGTGTTAAAGCCCATTCCCACCGGGTTTCAAGAATTGGAAATCAGTTGGATTATTTTGGTATAGTCATTTTGATCACCTGTTCGTTAATTTCGATTATTTTGTTTGCATTCTATGATAACCCATTCTGGAAGTATGCTTTTGTTGGACTATTCTTGACTCTTGGTTCCATTTGTACGGTTGTTACTCTTGATCCTAAATTTTCAACGAATACCTATCGTCCATTTAGGTCGCTCATGTTTATATTGTTTGGCTTATCGGGGGTATTTCCAATAATTGCTGCCATCAAACTATACGGATATCAAAACGCACTTGAACGGTCTACGGCCAGATGGCTTGTTTTGGAAGGGTTCTTCTATATATTTGGGGCTACTTTATATGCAATGAGGTTCCCAGAAAGATGCACCCATAAAGACATGAGCGAAGAGGAACATTCGTTATTGGAGCATCCAATCAAGGGAACCTTCGACATATTTGGCCATTCTCACCAAATCTTCCATGTAATGGTTGTCATTGCTGCTTTTTGCCATTGGCTAGCCTTAGTTGGCTGCTATCACTATTTGCATCAATATACTTTAGCATAGAACACCCGAACACCAACAACGCCTACACCTATAGAAGTAATGAAAAAAAATTAGATAGCCAACTAGTCTACCTTTTTCTAAGAATTGAAGATGGTTAATCACTTGGTTATCCTACCATGTCATTCTATCTGGGCACCCCTTTCTAAGGAGTCTGTTGGTTTAGAACGAGAAGAATGGCAATTGGTCAATTTCCAGATTGAAGGCTATGATCATTTATGCTTCAAGGAACATATTAAAAAAAGTATTGAACTAATTAAGGAAGATGAAGAAGCACAATTAATAATTTCAGGAGGTCAAACGAAGAAGCAGTCGGGTCCCATATCCGAATCACAATCATATTATCAATTAGCATATAGACTTTATCATCAAAGTATAGATGAAAAAATATGGGATAGAATAAGCACTGAGGAATTTGCCAGAGATTCATTTGAAAATGTCATTTATTCATTATGTCGATTTTATGAATTGTATGGAAAGTATCCTGCTAAAATCAGTATAGTTGGATTTGCATTTAAAGAAAATCGGTTTATCAAGCACCATTTAGGTCAAGCTTTAAGATGGCAGAATATCGAACAAACAGTGAAGTATGTTGGTAATGCCCCCGATCCGCGAGATACCACGGACAAAACGGGGTATTTCAGAGATTTGGATGAGAGCGAAGATAAATTTGCTGTTAAGTTATTTGAGAATGATTGGTATTGTTGTAGAAGTAAATTATTGGATAAGAAGATGCAAAGAAATCCATTTAAGAGGTATCATGGATATGGGAATAGTAATTTACCATTAGAAAAGTTTTTGAAAGCTATTGATGATTTCACCGATTCAAAATCAAACGAGGAGATAAGTTTATTATTAGAAGGATTACCGTGGACTACGAAAAAGAATTAATAGGAATATTTTGTTTATTAATGAAAAAACTTTGATTTCAATGGCTTCAAATCTTAAAATAATTGTATAAATAAAGTAAATAAATAAAGATAGAAAACAACAAAACAAAATTTTCTTTTTTAAATTTATATACAAAAAGGATTTCTAATCTAAGCGGAGGCTTTCTTAGCTCTTCTAGCTTGAACAGCTTTACTTAAACTAGTTAACATTTCAACGGTAGAATCCCAACCGACACAGCCATCAGTGATGGAAACACCGTATTTAAGACAATGTTTATCTTGGTTACCGGCAGGCATGGATTGTTTACCTTCATTAATATGAGATTCGATCATAACACCAATGATGGAATCTTCACCTTGAGAAATTTGATCAACAACCGATTGTAAAACTTTTGGTTGATTTTGATAATTTTTTTGAGAGTTATCATGAGAACAATCAACCATTAATTTAATATTTGGATTAGTTGATTTTGAAATGGCTTCTTTAGCAGCTTTAACTGATTCAGCATCATAATTAGTTAATTTTTTACCACCTCTTAAAATGATAAATCCATGATCATTACCTTTAGTAGTAGTAATAGCAGCAACACCATCTTTGGTGACACCCATGAAATGATGACCTCTTGAAGAAGCTTGAACAGCATCCAAGGCAACAGCCAAACCACCATCGGTACCATTTTTGAAACCAATTGGGAAAGATAAACCAGAAGCTAATTCACGGTGTAATTGGGATTCAGTGGTTCTAGCACCAATAGCACCAAAACTTAATAAATCACTAAAGTATTGAGGAGAAATGGTATCTAACATTTCAGAACCAATTGGTAAACCAACTTTACCGGTTAAATCAGCGTATAATTTACGAGAAACACGTAAACCCAAATTAATATCAAAAGAGTTATCAACGTTTGGATCGTTAATTAAACCTTTCCAACCAACAGTGGTTCTTGGTTTTTCCAAATAAGCTCTCATGACAATAACTAAATCTTGGTCTAATTCAATTGCTAATTTCTTCAAACGAGTAGCATAGTCTAAAGCAGCTTCAGTATCGTGAATAGAACATGGTCCAACAATAACCAAACAACGATCATCATTACCACCAATAATTTTGGATGAATCAATACGTCCTTTAATAACGGTTTCCAAGGATTCGCTGGTGGCTTTGATTTCGTGTTGTAAAAGGGCTGGTGGTATCAAAGGGTCGTAACCTAAGATTCTAGTATCGTCGTATTCTTCAGGAATTGGAGTTTTACTCATTTTCAGTCGTTTGTAATGAATAAAGTAAAAGAAAAAACGGACTCAATCAAAAATTTCAAAGAAAGGAAAAAAAAAACTTTAAAAGAATTCAGAAGTAGCACTTGCAATATATTTAGTGACTCAATATCTTGTTACTGGGGGACTTTGGGACAAAAGTCAAATTTTTCAAAATTTTTCACTTTTGCGCACAGGCCATTTTTCACCTAACAGGCGATGAGCTGGACGTAATTACCTCCAGACCGTCTTTGCTCCTACTACTTTATCTTGCACGTTGCACTAGTATCGTGTTAGGGGATTACTCATACTATTACTCATAGTATTACCCGTACTATTACTCATACTAGTCGTACCATCCGTGTCCTGATTATTGCCATTTGTACATGCGCTTTTTAGGTCATTTCTCGTCCTGACGCAGCCCATGTCCAGAATGGATACCAGGTCAAAATGGTCAAAATGCCTTTACTTATTGCCATATTCGATGGACTCGACGGTATGCTTGGAATATCGGAAAAACCTGGCGAGACAACCTGCAATAGTCTTCTGCCAACCTGTAAACACTCATTTGCATGTTGCATTGGAATAAACTGTAAAAATGGTAATTCAAACTGTAAACACAAAAACGCAGGTTACATTGGTTATCTTACAGGTTGTGTTATCACGACTTTATGGAAAGATTAGAGGTAAATAAAGATAACACCTATAAGACGGTAGGAAATGTTGATTATACCAGAGACACGATTGATATTCATATCGTTTTTCATATTCGGGCTCTTGAATAACATACTCTATGTTGTTATTTTATCTGCAGCAATTGATCTTGTAGGATCGTCTACCCCCAAGGCAATTGTCCTATTAGCAGATATCATACCTTCGCTAATGATAAAAGTAAGTGCACCATTTTTCATTCACAAGATAGCATACCAGGTCAGAGTATGGGGGTTAGTTTTGCTTTCGACGGTAGGGATGCTAATCATTAGTTTTTCACCTCAAGCATCTATTTCCGCTAAGATATTGGGGATCTGCATGGCATCACTAGCTTCGGGAATGGGCGAAGTGTCTTTTCTACAACTTACCCATTTCTATCAGGAGAAATATTCGATTGGAGGGTTTCTGTCCGGGACGGGAGGGGCAGGGTTAATGGGGAGCTTTATCTATTTGATTTTCACCAATGTAATTGGGTTGAAAATATGGATTTCTTTACTAATTTTTTCATTACTACCTTTTGGATTTGTAATTTCATTTTACTTGATATTACCAACTCCAACCTTAACCGATGAATTGATTTCGTATCAGCAATTAAATGATGAACAGGATTCAAATCATTTTTGGAATACCTTAAATAAAATTAAACCTTTAATCAAACCTTACATGTTCCCATTATGTACGGTCTATATATCGGAATATGTAATAAACCAAGGTATTTCTCCAACTTTACTTTATCCTTTAGAAGACCTTCCCAATTGGTTATTTTCTTCTTATCGAGATATTTACGTGGTTTATGGTTTCCTATACCAATTGGGAGTGTTCATTTCCCGTTCTTCAATTAATTTTGGTTTAAGATTTCGCCAGCTTTATTGGCTCACTTTACTTCAATTCTTAAACGTTTTATTGACTTTACATCAATCGATTTATAATACTCCTTTCACCTCTATTTGGCCTCTCTTATGTCTTATTCTATACGAAGGCTTATTAGGGGGATTTTCCTACGTCAATACTTTTATGTCCGTTAGTGAAGACGTTCCAAAACTGAAACGAGAGTTCAGTATGGGTTGCGTTGGTATTAGTGATAGTTTTGGCGTAATGATGGCCGGATGTATCAATTTTTGGTTGGAATCTAAATTGTGTTCCATCCAAGTTGAAAACGGCCGTGATTGGTGCTTGAATGGTTGATCCATAGACATTCTAATAAACATGTTTAGTACATTATTCGTAGTAAAGTTGTAAGATGATGAGCAGGGTTTGGCGATGAGCCACAGTTTCCGGCATTAGAAAGAAGCGGAATCGGGAGTTTTGAGAAAGTGAGATAGGAAAATTATACAATAATGATTAATTATCACCAAATCATCCAATTCTTCTTTAAAGCTGAGGAAAGTAGATGAATTTTTTTTCAAAACTGTTGCCTAAACCTTCACTCTTGAATAAACTTACAAGAATCAATTCAAAGATGACTTCGTCCTCTGCTGCTTCCTTACATAATCCATATTTCAGTCAAAACTCTGGTCAAAAAGATATTTGGTCTCTTATTAATGAGACTGCTGCTGCTGCCCAGGCCGAATCTGGTAAGCCAATTGTTAACTTGGGTCAAGGGTTTTTCAGTTATAGTCCTCCAGATTTTGCAATTCAAGCTGTTAATCAGACGATTGAAAAAGCTCAATTTAATCAATATGCTCATGCCAGAGGTAACCCTAATTTATTAAATCAATTGGCTAAGTTATATACTGAAGAATTGGGTCGTGATGTTTCTACTGATAATTTACAAATTACCACTGGTGCTAATGAAGGTATTTTTTCAATCTTCTTTGGTTTTTTAACTGGTGGCGATGAAGTCATTGTCTTTGAACCATTTTTCGATCAATATATCCCAAATATTGAAATGACTGGTGCTAAAGTTAAATATGTTGAATTAAAATATCCTTCTAAATTTGATTCTCAAAATGTTAGTGGCGATGATTGGGAAGTTGATTGGGAAGGTTTGGAAAACTCAATTTCTGATAAGACTAAAATTATCGTTATTAACACTCCTCATAATCCAATTGGTAAAGTTTTCAATGAAGAAGAATTAACCAGAATTGGTCAATTGGCTATAAAACATAATATTATCCTTGTCAGTGATGAAGTTTATGAAAATTTATATTATTTACCGAAATTTCCTCGTCCTGCTAATTTACCTAATTTACCCGAATTAGCTGAACGTACTTTGACTGTTGGATCTGCTGGTAAATCTTTTGCTGCCACTGGCTGGCGTGTTGGTTGGGTCCATGGTCCAAAAGACTTGATCCCTTATGTAACTGCTGCTCATACTAGAATTTGTTTTTCAACTCCTGCTCCTTTACAACAATCAGTTGCTGAAGCGTTTGTTAAAGCTTCTACTAATAATTATTTTGAAACTGTAAGAAAACAATACTTGAAAAAATATGAAATTTTTCAACTGGTATTTGATGATTTAGGTTTACCATATACTACTGCTCAAGGTGGCTACTTCTTACTAGTAAATTTTGCTAAATTGAAATTACCAGATGACTATCAATATCCTCCAGAAATCTTATCTCGTAAAACAAATGATTTTAAATTAGCTTATTGGTTAATTAAAGAAATTGGTGTTGTTGGTATTCCTCCAACCGAATTTTTAACTACTGAAAAGAGAATTGGTAATGGATTAGAAAATTCTATTAGATTTGCAGTTTGTAAAGATGATCATGTTTTAGAAGATGCTGTTGAAAGATTAAAAAAATTGAAAAATTATTTATAACCTATTTATTTGTATAGAACTATATTTTTTTAACAAATTTCTTGAATGAAAACTCATTTTCCCCAAAATCATCGTAACCCTTTTCAATATTTTCTTCTTCCACTAAGTAATTACTTTCACTCATTAATTTCCAAAGTAAGCTTCTTTCATCTTCAAAATTTCTTCTTAAGGGAATTTGTAATAATACTCTTGCTTCACTTTTATCACTCAAGAAAAGATTTATCATATCGACAACCCAATATGGATGCATCGATGAGTAGATTGGATCACTTAAAATAATTGTATCAAATTTGAGTTCCCCATACTTATCTAAGAAACTATTTGGATTTGACCAATCTAATTCTTCAACTTTCATTATATCAGATAATCCGTTTAAATCAACGTTATCTTGTAAGTTTGGTGTAATTTCTTTTAGATCAGTCACCAAAGTATCAAATCCCAACATGGTACTGACCATCCCAACTAATCCTGTTCCTGATCCTAACTCCAATACCAGTCCGTATAAATATTTTTTTTGTGATTGTCCTAAAACAAGCTTATTAGCAAGTATAAGTGCAGACCCCCAAGTCTTCAATCCCAAATTATCACTAGTCAACGATGGTTCCTTTAACCGTATATATTCTTCTTGATCTTTAGGTATTATTGACGGAAGATTTGGAATACCTATTTTTCTAATAATTTCCGGTTGGGCAGTTCTACCACAATTTTCTGATATCCTCAACGATGCTTGCTTAACTATATCTGCCTTCATAGTTTCATCTTCTACCCAAGCCAAATCACTCGATACGATCCTAGTTAACCATGAATTATACTCTCGTTCATAAGTTCGTTTAAGTGAGGCCCCTAAAAGAGAAATCGATGCTAGTTTCAAGTCATTGTCAAAGCGTGGGTTGAACTTAATAAGCCAAGGCGATGCATTCTGTAGCTCTTGAACTGTTACATTTTTTTCAATGAATACCTGAGATGGGTCAATTGGTTCTTCTTCAACATTCTTATCTTCACTTGAATGTGATCGGGTTGTGAAATTGTAAACCTCGTTTGGAGCCAATAGTTTTAAGAATACGAGAATAACCTCTGCTGGAGGCTTGAGCTGCAATAAGGGCAAATCGTGGACGTGTATTGGTATCAAATGGTCAGCATCAACTTCTTCACAGGTCCTTATTCTTTCCATTTCGAAGTCCGATGGACTAGTTGATGCGGACGTCAAAAAGCTATTACTTGCACCTTCCAAAAGATCAGAGGCCTCAAAGGGGTACTCCTTGGTTGGAATAGGGGTGAATAGTGAGAGTGGATCAAACTCCATTTTGGTTTTCAAGTGTTTCCGATCTAAATCGTTATCGTATGGCTGTTCAATTAAGCTGTTAAATCAGATAGAATTTTTTTCTCTTCTTTCTTTTTTTGTTTGTCTCACTTTTGATCTTTACGATTTAGTACTGATTTATGTCTGGTGACTGACAAAACGACCAACCATAAGAAGTTGCCCAATAGATGAATATGGTCATTATTGTAAAGATATGGTATGGCTTAATGGGTTTGGTTATTGTATATATTGACGGTTGTTAAGATCAAACCAACAAATAAAAGGAAAATGATAATAAAGCGGCCAAACAGAATTAACGAAAGCACACCAGGAGTGAACTGAAGAGAGCCTGGAGTAATTAAAGCTAGTAGAAGAAAGCTGTAGCAAAGAAGAACCAGCCAAAGCAGTATCAAGCCAAAGCCTGATCGAAGCACCACTCATGATTCACTAAGGGACATTCAAGGAATGAACCAAATGACTAGAGCAATGAGACGTCAGCTTTATATTGTAGACAATGGGGTAGTCCAGGATGAAATAGGCAGTAACATTTTCTCGGTCTATCAGTCTTTTTTACGCAAGATAACGCTTATGCTGTTTAATTTGATGGTATGACTTCGTATAACCGATGCTCCATTTCGAGAAGTTATCCAAGAATCAGAAAGAGGAGAATACACATATGAAGTGGGTCTTCTGGAGGTTAGACTCTCTAGTTTGCGTTTTTTTTTTTTTAACAGATTAAGTGTATATTAAGAGTTGTCTATAACTTAATCAACTTATAATGATAAAGCAACACCAGCAGCAGCGGCAGCACCGAATAAACCGGCACCAACAGCACCAGAAGCAGAGACAACAGAGGCGGCATTTAAAGCGATAACAACAGATTTGAATTGCATTGTAGATTAATGATTTCGAGTTGAGCCGGCAAGATATGGTAATCTGTGGTAAAACAAAACGTATATTTCGCACACAAGCTTAAACACATGAATTTGGCGGCTCGTTGGCTCATTTATAGTTGCATTATAAGCTAGTATAATCAATTAGAAAATTTTCAAGGTGTTTTTGCTTTTTTTTTTTGATTTTGCGTTTTTGAAAGAAAATCAAAATTTTATGGCTGAAATAGTAGGCAGTGAGGAAAACCAGAGGAGTGAACTTGATAAACACACGCCTGCGTAGCGTAATGGTTAACGCGTTTGACTTCTAATCAAAAGATTGCGGGTTCGACTCCCGCCGTGGGTTTTTTTTTTTTTTTTTGCAGCCTTTTGGCTTATTTGCCATAAAATACACCAGTTCTATAACCAGGTTTAAACAACCATGTAAACGACTTTAACAGTTGATGAAGGTTTTCGTACTGCTACATTTATACAAGGCGCGAATCTACAGCTGAATAATAGTACCCGAATTTATATTAAGTCAAATTAATTAAAACGACCCAAGACTCTAATGACCCAATAGACCCCAAAATATACAAAAGCGAACGGCTCGACTCTATAACGATTTCAAAGTTGTTTGTGTGTGTGTGTGTGTGTATATATATAAACTTTGAAATAGTGTATCCCCCAGATTAGTTAGTGGTTTGTTTTTTTTCAACTTCATCAACATCTTCAGGTTGAGATTCGAAATTTCTTTGAATTTTAACTTTATTGAATAATTCTTCTTGTTCAGCCTTGGTTAATTCATGTTTCTTTTTACCTTTGATATGGTACATTGGGTTCAATTGAACCATTCTCAAGTTTTTACAGAAAGGTAAGTGGCCGGTTTGTTCTTCGTAAGCCATTAAGGCCAAGACCAAGATTATGACTAACCAGTAGATATTATAGGAGATGACTGAACCGTAAGTGGCGGAATTTTGCCAGCCCAATAAAGAATTAAAGACATCCCAACCGTTATCGGTTTCAGGATTACAGCAGTTGACGTGCCAAACTGATTTGGTGATATCGTAAGTACCAGGACCGGAACCATTTTCTGAAGCGTCCCCACCGGTTTTTTGATTAAAGACATAAGTTTCAAAGAACCAAACCCCTCTTGACAACAACCCAGCTGCAATAAGATACAAGATACAGGTTGAAATAATAAGAAAGATTTGTAAAGAAACGGTGGAACCGGAGAAATATAAGATAGAACCAACTGCAATACCAGCAATCAACCCCACGATAACGGGGATGGGGAAAGAGGAAGCAGGCGAGCTTAAACCAACCCCACCAACGAAAACCACTGCTTCCAAACCTTCTCTTAAACAGGTGATGAAGGGTAAGATGAACATACAGTATTTTTTAGTGAGATAACCAATCTTAAAGCGATCCTTACCCTTTGGAGGAGCTTTAACTAAAGCCTGGGCCAATTTAATTCTCCATTTTTCCTTCATTTTATTAATACGCAACATGGCAATACCCATGAGCGAGATCAAAACCGTAGCGATAATACAGAAAATACCTTCCCATAAATCTTCGGAAGCAGACCAAATATCATTACCTAACCCGTAGAACGCACCAATGAATGCACAACCAAGAATAAGACAAATCAAGACCCCTAGAATCGATCCTAGCCAGACTTGTTTTCTCAACCGTTTATAAGTCGTTGGATCATTATCGGCATCACCCAACCCTTGTTTCAAAAAGGCAAGCAAAACAGAAACCACAACCACGGCTTCTAAGGTTTCTCTGAAAACCACAAAAAAAATTTGAACGTTGAAAACGTTAACCATTTCAATCGGGGGGTAAGTATATTGGGTGAAGAGTAACGAGCAAACCGTCTACACTAATGCTGAATTTCCCCTAGTTTATATAGTAAAAAAAAAAAATTTCATATGGTGAAAACTTTTCCGGTAAAGCTTAAACAAAGACCTGCAGCTCTACCTAAGTTAATTGGCTCGTAAATCGCCGGTATTTACGATCCAACTGTTCATAAGCCACCACCCTCGACCCTGCTGTCCTGGGGCCTGCTTCTGGGTGCTTACATGGCCAGAGTATGGGGGTTCCAGAGCCTTGCTCATGCTGAACTACTGGTGAACTGCTGATGAAAGTATTGCGATTGATTAATCTGATAATCGCTGCCAAGATACTGTCAAGGGCGCCTTTAATTTGTGTCACCCGTCAGTTCTTGGCCATCTCATCCTCTATTCCTATCCCAATACCAATGATTGTTACTACCAGGTATGCCCAGTGTGCCCTGTCTATGCCCCAGTGTGCCGTGTCTATGCCCCGTATGCCTCTACCTACTCTATAGGTATATACCTACTATATATATGTCTACTAGGTATATAAGTTCATGTGCCTGGCCTGTCAATGTCAAATATTCTTGGTATCCCTACGCCGTACCAACCGGGTGACAGTCGGAGGACTCCCTTACTTTAATTGGCCAGAGACTTTATTGGCAGGTTGTTATTTGTCCATACATTATATTCTATATACATATACTATATACATATGCTAGGCACACTTAGTGGAATTTAGTCCATGGGAACAATTTCCCACCGGGGTTGACTAGTTCATTGTCGTTTTTGGAGTACGAGTTACCAAAGTCCCGGCCGGCAGCAGAAACGGCCCACAAATAGAACAAAAACTCGTCCAAGACGAATCCTTGGGAAACTTTCATCATTTCATTGGCTTTGGCAAGCAACTCGTCGGAGGTGGTGTGTTTGACTTGCAAAGAGACCCCGTGATCGTTTTCGAATTTTCTGGCAACGTCTTCGTAGGTGATTTCGTCGGATTGCATTCTGAAAACATCGGGCATTTGCAGAGGGTCAACACTAACTAAAGTAGCCACTGCGTTACCCACGTCTGGAAGATACGAAATGGCAATTTTGGTTTGTGGAGAATCAGCATAAGTTACTGTTCCCGCATCTCTGTCGATACCGGCATGGGCAACGATTTCGGTTAGGAAATGGCCTTCGCCAATGAAGTACGAAGTGACGACTTCGACCACCTTGATACCCTGGGCCCTGACTTTATCAGCATGGTCGGTTTTGAGGGTTTGGAATCCCGGCAATTTCTGCTGGGCAGGACGGAGGTCGGACCCAAACTGCGATGGGATGTATACCTGGGGTCTGACCTGGGTCAAGACGTTTTCGAGAACGGCGTTGCCTTCGGGACTGGGCGAGGCCAACGAGACAATCACATCGCGTCCTTTCAAGACCTCGGCGAGCTTGGTTTCGTTACCAAGGTCTGCTTCCACGTACTTGAGCGTAGCAGTATCCTTTTTATCGGCTGCGCTTCTGGTGACCACCTGGACCGGGAACTGGATTTTATCTTGGAGATCGGATCTGCTGAAGGCTTGGAGTAAGGGGGTACCAACCAATCCGGCACTACCAATAACTGTAACTGAGGGTTTTGACATTTTATTTATTATTTATGATATTTGACTTAATCTTTGACTTAATCTTTGAACTAATATCTGATTGTTATTTCATATTCGAATCGATATCTGATCGATCTGATAGTCTTATATACTCCAGTGGTCGATGGTGGCGACGGTAGAAGCCAGTAAAAACGACGGAGAAGCGATTAAAAGCGACGGTAAAAGCGATTAAAAGCGAACAGATGATTGTCTCTGGCGTTAAGCATGCCATGGCCATTGTCAGATCGATTACAAATCAACAATCTATTTAAAACTACTATGACCCTGGGGCCGATGAGGCATTGGCCTACAAGTTCTCATAGGTCAATGCCATTCTCATTCTTGTAGACTAGGCAGTAGGTTTTATGGATTTAAGTGCGAACGTCGACGAATATCGGTATATTTCACTTATTAAACCATCATGTCACGATACTTTGAAACCGCCAGAAAATTCTTATGTATTGGTCGTAATTATGCTGCTCATATCAAGGAGTTGAATAACCAGGTTCCGAGCGAACCCTTTTTCTTTTTGAAACCGCTGTCTTCGATATTACCTCCAAATTCCAACTCTCCATTTTTAGTACCCAAGGGAGTTATTGTTCATCATGAAGTCGAATTGGCTTTTGTATTGAATAAAACATTGAAAGATTTACCGGACTCGTTTGACCACCAGCAAGCATTGGACTCAATTGCCGGTTATGCTTTGGCAATCGATATGACGGCTAGAAATGTTCAGGACGAAGCTAAAAAGAAAGGATTACCTTGGTCAATTGGTAAAGGATTCGATACTTTCTTACCGTTGTCTAATTTTATACCAAGGGAAAAGATTCCTGATCCGTATAATGTTACTTTGAAGTTGTTAGTTAATAATCAATTAAGACAAGATGACCAAACCAATTTAATGATTTTCCCAATCCATAAAATCTTATCGCACATGTCTAGAATTATGACTTTGGAAAAGGGTGATGTTATCTTGACTGGAACCCCAAAGGGGGTTGGTCAAATTAAACCAAATGATTTTGTCGAAGCTTATTTAGAAGTTGATAATCAAGTTCTTGAAAAAATTGAATTTAACTCAGTTGAAAAACCCGGTCCTTATAATTATATACACTAACATCTATATTATATAAATAACTCTTCAATTGGTGCTTTATATTGTCTCAATAAAACATTTCCTTCTTTTAATACTAAGGCACTGGCATCGTCCATAGAATACGTTTGCGAAAATACAACTTCTTTAATCCCAGTTTGAACTATCTTAACCGAACACGTAAGACACGGACACGTATTACAGTATAAGATCGAATTTGATCCAATTCTATCTCTTCCGGCTTCCAATAATGCATTTTCTTCGCCGTGTAAACATAAGCATGTCGATAACGAGCTTCCTTGAGGATTTCCCTCATTACATCTAGAACATCCTCCTTCATTACAATTGGTTAAATGTCTAGGGGTTCCATTATATCCAGTGGCCACCACTCGGTTCTCTTTAACAATCACACACCCCACCCTTCGTTTCATGCAATTCGATCTCAATGCTGCTAAATCGGCTAATCTCATAAAATATAAATCCCATCCTGGTCTTAACCTGGTTTGATCCCATAATTTACTCTCTTCCAACTTTTCCCGGATTTCTTGTTTATCATGAGACGTGAAAAATATCTTGAAATGCCCTTGATTGTTGATCTTCATCGGTGACATCTTGTCGTCTAAACTAATCGAATCAATCTCTTCGATAAAAGCTTCAATACTTCCCTTGGTCCTCTGGCTCATATACTGTCTATGCTTAAACAGAATCGTCGAGTCAACACTTATATGTAAGAAGAATGGCCTTTTAAGTAATAAGCTCAACTCTTCGTCATCTGCTATATCTGCTATAATGAAATTAGCTAACCAATTCTCTGTTATATAGTTGTAAAAACTGTCAAAATCATTAAAATGTTTCGATGACTCCCCATACTGTTCCCGATACGCTTTTTTCTCGGTGACTCCTCCAACAGATAACAACTTAAATCCTTTTTCGGTCAAGTAGTTCACGACAATATCCTTCCCCGAGTATAGGGATCCTGATATACCTATCAACATGCTTGTTGATTGTCCGTGTAGTACGAACTTTTTTTTTCAAATTTCTGCGACGCGTCGGTGATGCAAATTTCTCGAGATGTCCCTACGAGTAAAGAGTATCTTGATGAGTTTACTGTTGGCTCTTGACTGTCTTGAAGCTATCATTAGCTAGACTCTCCCAGCTTCAAAAACCACTACCTAGTGTAATCTGCAGTAATCTCCGGACATTCAGCTGTTTTCCCATCTCGTATTTCTCAATCACTCGATGAACTCATGTATTCTCTATGTACTCATGTATTCCCTATGAACTCGTGTATTTCCTATGAACACATTCATTCTCTATGAGCTATTTCATACTCTCGAAGTCCTGGTCGATGATATATAGCTGCTAAATGCTGTAGATTGCTTCATTGATTTTTATGGTGTACGGGGGGCTATTGGAGTGATTGGAGTCACAAACTGAATAAAAACCCCTTGGTCTTATCAACAGAATAAGTGACCCAGTTCTTTCTGTTAAAACTACCAATTGACAAGAATGAAGCTATTTGGGCTATACTGGCTATGGCTCCTACTATCACTTGCTCATTATTCGAATGCTGCCCAAAAATTGCTCACTAGTAGTGAAAAGGTTATCCATGAACCAGGTTATTGTTCAATGTATGACAACTGCGGTAAGAAGTCGTTCTTTGGTGCTCAATTACCATGTCCTGCTAATATCAAGGCTGTCAAGCCACTGGGTGAGTCGAAACTGCTTTTGAATAAGATCTGTGGTGACGATTTCCCCACCGATAGAGTCTGCTGTTCACACGATCAATTAATCAATTTGGAATCTAATTTGAAGAAAGTAGATCCATTGATAAGCTCATGTCCGGCTTGCCGAACTAACTTCTATGACTTTTTCTGTAAATTCACTTGCTCTCCAGATCAGTCTACATTTGTCAAGATTAATAAAGTTGGTCAATCAACTGATACCCATCAAGACATAATTACTGAACTTACTCAGTACGTTGATCCTGAATATGCCTCTGACTTCTTTGATTCCTGTAAGAATCTCAAGTTCTCTGCAACAAATGGTTATGCAATGGACTTAATTGGCGGTGGTGCTAAAAATTATTCTGATTTTTTGAAATTCTTGGGAGATGAAAAACCATTATTAGGTGGGTCTCCATTTCAGATTAATTTTAAATATGATTTACATGATGACAATGAAAACTTAACTTTAAGAAGCGGAAATATGAAATCTTGCGATGATCCCGATCCAAAGTATAAATGTGCTTGTTCAGATTGTCCAGACTCGTGTCCTGTTTTACCTGATTTGAAGAATACTAATAAGAAATGTAAAATTGGTATATTACCCTGCTTTTCGTTTTCCATAATTATTATATGGGCCATGTTGATCTTGGTTTTGGGATTATACCATATGTGGTTGGCTAAAAGGAAAAGAATAACTTTTGCCCAATTAAATAATATTTTAGAAAACGATATTGAAGAAACTCCTCCATCGTCTGGTACAGGTTATTTATATTCAGTTAACCAAAGTAGATTAATAACCGACTTTCAGAACAGGATTGATAAGTTACACATTTCCCATATCAAGCTAATTGAATTCATTAGCTCTACATTTGCTAGAATTGGTTATTTTTGTGCATCTTTCCCAGCATTGGTTATAAGTGTTTGTTTTGCATCAAGTATAATTCTTTCATTAGGATTGCTAAATCTTAATTTGGAAACTAATCCAATCAATTTATGGGTAAGTCCTGATGAACCGGCTTTACATCATTTACAATATTTTGAAGAGAATTTTGGAGAATGGTTTAGAATCGAACAAATTTTTGTAAGTAATCGAAATCAAAGTGAACCAATTTTAAATTGGGATAACATTGAATGGTGGTTTAGTAAAGAGCTCGAATTACAATCATTTACAAATGAAGAAGGGAAAAATTTAGAATTGGGTAATTACTGCTATCAACCATTGGAAAATGGTGCTTGTGTAATTGAATCTTTCACTCAATATTTCCAAGGAAACATTGGATTCATGAATCCTTCTAAATGGCAATCTCAACTAAAATCATGTGCTGAATCACCAGTTAATTGTTTGCCTCCATTTCAACAACCATTAAAGAAGAATTTATTATTTTCAAATGAATCAATTTTAGACTCTCAGGCATTTACTGTTACAATATTAATCAATAAGAATCTGTCAAATGACGAATATACTAAAGAAGTCATTGAATATGAACATTATTTACAGCAATGGATTTTTGATTTACAGAAGGAAGTACCCCACTTAAAAATTGATTTTAGTACAGAAGTATCCTTACAAGAAGAATTGGCAAAATCTACCAACACCGACATTAAAATTGTTGTGATATCCTACTTGATAATGTTCTTGTATGCTTCTTTGGCATTAGGTGGTAAAATACCTACTGGAATACAACTAAGAAATTTCGTATTAACCAGATTTCAATTAGGATTAGGAGGGATTATTATAATTTTAATTTCTGTTACATCGTCGGCTGGGGTTTTTAGTGTATTGGGGATTAAATCAACATTAATTATTGCTGAAGTAATTCCATTCCTAGTTTTGGCAATTGGTATTGACAATATTTTTCTTATTGTTCACGAATTGAATTACATTAATGAAAATGCAACAACCCATAAATCATTAGAGTTTAGAATTCTGGAGGCATTGGGTAATATTGGACCATCATGTTTAATAAGCGCAGTATTACAAGTTTCAATGTTATTATTAGCTACTAGAGTAGCCATGCCAGCAGTACGTAATTTTGCATTCTACTCCGCTGGTGCGGTTACGTTTAATTTCATCTTACAAATGACCGGATTTATATCATTTTTATCGATTGATCAAAGACGGTTAGAAGATGGACGAGTTGATTGTTTGCCATGGATACAAGGATCGCCAGAAAACATTCAATTAGCTGAAGAAGACGATGACGAGTCACCTCAAGTAGTCAAATCGCATTTTGAATATGATTTTTCTGGATTTATCAAACACCGTTATGCGCCATGGTTATTGAAGCCACTGAATAAAAGAAAGGTCTTAACGATTTTTTTAATTTGGATCGGAGTATCATTAAGTGTGATACCGGGGATTAAATTTGGCTTAGATCAAAGAATAGCTTTACCACAAGGCTCGTATTTGGTTGATTATTTCAATTCGGTGTATGACTATTTAAATGTCGGCCCACCGATGTTTTTAGTTATTAAAGATTTGGATGTTACTCAAAGAGAAGCACAACAAGAGATATGTGGGAAATTTTCAACTTGCAACGAGTATTCACTTGCCAATGTGTTAGAACAAGAATACAAACGGGCCAATGAATCTAGCATAGCAGAGCCTACATCGAACTGGTTAGATGATTTTTTGAATTGGTTAAATCCTAATTTAGACCAATGTTGTCGACTAGTTAAAAGTTCAAATAACGTATTTGAAGAGCAAAAGCAATTTTGTAAACCGACAACTCCAGATCGACAGTGTGAGACCTGTTATTTGAACCACGATCCACCGTATACTCCTAGTATGGAAGGGTTACCTATTGGAGATGAGTTTATGTTTTATTTCAATCAATGGATACAAGAACCCAGTGATCCATGTCCATTAGGAGGGAAAGCCCCGTACGGAAATAGTATAAAAGTGAATCCAAAAATAAATCGAATCAGTTCGAGTTATTTCCGTACCAGTCATACGCCATTGAGGTCGCAAGATGATTTCATACAAGCGTATAGGAACTCTCTACGCATAGTGGAAGAAATTGAATCATATACTGCATCAGACAACAAGGAAGTATTTGCATTTTCCCCCTTTTATATTTTTTTTGTTCAATATGAGAGTATTGTTCGGTTAACGTTCAATTTATTGGGGGTTGCAATGGTGATTATATGGTTGATTGGATACTTGTTATTGGGAAGTATTACCGCTTCCACTATAATGGTTGCGGTGGTGATGCTGATTATTATAAATATTGGAGGGGTATTATCACTCTGGTCTATCCTGTTAAATGCGGTAACCTTGGTTAACTTGGTAATCTGTGTGGGCTTAGCGGTTGAGTTCACAATCCACATCACGAGAGCTTATGTCAATAATGAAGGAGCAGAGCTAGATCAAGACGACGAACTGCTCTTCAATGGGTTTATGAGTACTAACCAATCACCACCTTCCGATAATCAATCTTCCAACCAGAACATCAAAGCGTTCAATGCCTTGGCCAGCATTGGTGGCTCGGTGCTAACTGGCATCACCATTACAAAATTCATTGGGATTAGTGTATTGGCCTTCACTAAACTGAAAATCTTTGAAGTGTATTACTTCCGTATGTGGTTATCCTTGGTTGTGATTGCAGCCCTCCATGCCTTAGTCCTCCTTCCCGTCATGCTCAGCTACTGCAGAACCAATTATCCAAAAATAACTACTTGAATAACTCATTGAATAACTACTTGAATAACTAATTGAATAACTAATTGAATTACTTGAATAACTAATTGAATAACTAATTGAATAACTAATTGAATAACTAATTGAATAACTACTTGAATAACCAATTGAATAACTAATTGAATAACCAATTGACTAATTAAATAAACTAAGTAACTAAATAATGACTGCAAATGGCCGCGGTGCACGGGCCTTGTTCCCGCTTTCCTGAATTGGCGGCAGTTTGGCTCTTTTGGGACCCACACGCCGCGCTCTTGCGGCTAGCGAGATCCAACCTGCAAACCCCCGGGTCCCAACCTGCAAACCCGCCCCAAAACGATAATTGCTGGTGTCCCAAAAGGGAAAGGCTCGTTTTGCTAACAAAACGAAAAAAAAAAGCGAAAAAAAAAGCGAAATAAAAATCCACAACAAATTGAAGTCACATTTTTTTTTGTTTAGAAAACAAAAAAAAAAAGAAGCACTAAAAATTTAAAAATTTTTTATAAAACATCTCTCATTGCCGCTCGACTCTTTATCAATTGCATTTTACGCCATCACCCACTGTTTGTTAGTAGTGATTGTATAAACTATTCCTTTGAACTGCCGATAGTCCAGTGTCTGTATCACTTGTGTTATCAACATCGTGTATTTACCGGAGAGAAAAGCACTGGTAGTATAACAAAAGCCAAATTTCCCGCCCTGCCAGCCTTACGTAACTAAATGTCAGCTACTTATACTTTTAAATGGTATGTAAAGGAGAGGAAGAGGTATCATTGACTGCAAAAAAAAAAGGAGGTGCTTTGAGTATTGGTTATATTCAGTACTGGTTTGTATCAATGGATGCTAATTTCAGGACCCCTACAGGAATGACAAAATACTAACGAATATATTTATAGGCCCCAAGGCCCAAAAGAGGTTATTTTAACTGGAACTTTTGATAACTGGTCAAAATCATTGTATTTGATTAAACAAGCCGATGCCAGTTTTGAATTGACTGCTCCTTTACCGTCGAATGAAAGTAAATTATATTATAAGTATATTGTTGACGGTGAATGGCAAGTTAATCCAAATGAAAAAACCACTAATGATGATTCGGGAATTGAAAATAATGTTTTGGAACCATCCGATTTGGTCAGTGCCAATGAATTGTCTGGAGTTCCAATTCCGGAAGCCGGTGGTTTAGCAGTTACTGGCACTCGTGCTAATTTAGATAAAAATCAAGTTAATACTACGGTTTTACCTTCTTCCGAAGGTAAACATGCCACCATTGCCGGCGAACCAGGTATTCATATTCCAAAAGATCCTCAAGCTTTGGCTGCTTTTGAAACTTTTGAAGGTGATGAGAAAAAGTTAACTCCTGAAGAAGAAGCAATTGAAAAAAAGAAACAGAAAAAGAAGGTTAAAAGACAACAGTATAAAGCTAAAAGAAAGAGTAAAGCTGCCGCCGCTGCTGCTGCTTCCGGGTCTGCTGTTCCTGAAACAACCACCACTGAAGGTGAAACTGAACTTGAACCTACTCCTGAACCGGAATCAGTTGCCGATACCACCATTGACTCAAATGATAAATCGTTGGGTAAAGAGGAAAAATCAACTCTTGAAGCTGCTTCCATTGCCGGTGCCGGTGCCGCCGTGGGTGCTGCTACCGCTGGTGGGGTCGCTTTATCCAATGATGCTCATCCAAGTACTTTAGACCCAAAAGCTTTATCTCAAACTTCTCCTGAATCTTCAAAACCTTCGGATAATTTGGTCACTGAAGAATCTTTTGAACAACCAACTACTAATAGAAATAGTATTGCTCCTGTTTCCGGAGCTGATATTCTTGATAATTCAAAACCAATTAACGATTCTGAAGAAAAGAAAGACCCGGTGGTTGCTGCCGCTAAAGAAGAATCTGTTCCTGCCATTGTTTCTAACCCGGTTGTCCCTAATGACGTTAAAGATTCTGCAACTGCTCCAGCTAAAGATTCTGCTCCAGAAAAAGAAGTTGATGCTTCCCCAGTTGTTAAAAGTGAAGAACCAAAGTCCACTGGTACTGCTGCTGCTGCCGGAACTGCTGCTGTCGGTACCGCTGCCGGAACTGCTGCTGCTGCCACATCTCCAAAATCTAAAAATCTCGCTTCTGAAGAAGAAATTGTCATTGCTCAAGGCGGTGAAGATTCTAAAAGTGTTAAAGAACAAATTGTTGCTGCTAATGGAGATGTTACCGTTGAAGAAATTCAACCAACTGAATCTGAAGCTCAAAGATTAACCGAAGAAGCCAACTTGAATAAGAAAACTCCTTCTCAATCTTCTAAGAAGTCTGCTGCTAAAACTGCTGCTCCTGCCACTGCTGCTGCTCCTGCCACTGCTGCTGCTGCTGCTCCTGCTGCTGCTTCTTCTCCTGCTAAAGATACTAAAACTGCTGCCCCAGCCAAAGATACCAAATCTACGGCTCCTTCTACTACGGAATCCGATAAAAAAGATAAGAAGAAAAAGAAGACTTCGCTTTGGTCCAAAATCAAAAAGGCCTTCAAGTAATCTATCTCTGATAGTTATTCCCGTCACTTTTTTTGAAACTTCTTTTCGTTTTATTTACTTTTCTTTTTCGTTGTTAATTCAATGAATTGACTTGCTCTTGTCATTTTTATAATTGATTTATGGATTCGTCCCTTTTTTTTTTTTTTTTTTTTTTTTTTTTCTTTTAAATTTTTTTTTTTTTTTTTTTTTTTTCCTTTTTTTCTATTTCATATCATATTAATACCTCGTCTTATAATATTTTCTTTTCTTCTTTTAGATATATTTTCATTCCATAAATACATTTTCTTTTTTCTCTCTTGATTAATAATTTAATAAATAGTCTATAATATTATAATGCCTACATTGTGGGGAATTACTGTAACATGCAAATTATAAAATATAGAAATATAAAATTAGAATTAGAATTCAACTATAGTACAACTTATTAATAAGAATCTTTACCTCAATAACAGATAACGAAAAGCATACAACTTAACGGGCTTCGAATTGCACCATTCTTCTGGTTCTTGCTTTATAAATAACCCTATGACCACATTCTTTACATCTAATGGCATCAGCTTTACCCAAACTGAAAGAAGCAGCACATTGAGCGCAGTTATATTTGACACCCAAAGACTTATTGGAAACTTGACCGTGAGCAGCGTGCGAAATGGATGCCGGGACAGAAAACCCTTCTCTTTGTGGGGAGGACATGTTTATTGGAAAGACGCTGTTGTAACAAGGACTCTGACAAGATGATTAATGTCTTCAGATTTTCAGTTTTTTTTTCTTTCTGGTGATGATATTGGTTGGTGCACGGACCCAGAAGAATCGAAATGGTTTGAGAACGACTTTTTTGATCTTTCGAAATGAAAAAAAAAAAAAGCTGAAGACTCCTACTGACTTGACTTGGTTATTGAAGCTAGAGTTATGGCTATATAGAACCAATTAAGGATTGTTCAATAGGGAAGACCAGGAATCTCAAATGACCAAATGTTGTCAATCAAAGATTCGATCACACGGTTGAGTAAAGCCGTGCGACAAATTGAATCAATAACGCCCGTTAAAAGATCAGATAAGTCGAGTACCGAGTTTAAGAAGGTTGACGGGAGTAAAGAGAAGACGGTGAGGTATAAGTCGGACCGAAGTATCCCTGTGACTGATCTTCGGAGGTTTAAGCCATTGGCTCGAGAGTATAATCAGGGGATGTTCAAAGAGTTTTTGGAGCCATTGAATATTCCAACGTTAAAATCGTTACAAAAGGAAAGAAATAGATACCCGGTGGAGAAGGCTCGAGATAACTGGAAGAGGAAGAATAACAGTGTATATGAATTCCAACTTTTCTTAGAGAATCAAGCCAAATTTAAGAAAATGGTGGAATTATTAGTCGAGTTAACTCCCGAAGAATTGAAATCGCCAGAGAATACTACCAATCATATTGTTTTAAAGCGATTATTGACTAAGAATAAAGAGGAAGTTTTGAATAGTAGAATTGAAGGAATACCCGAATTTTATTTTGGAGAAATACCACCAATACCTAAACCGTTAACTGCTGAAAGCTTTGAAAGATATATCTACTTTCTCACTCATCTGAAAATATTATATAAGAATTCATCATCGTTCAAAACTGGGATAATACCTCATATATTACTTCATACTCATAAACTTAGTAATGAAGAATATAAACCGTATAGATCAGCAAATACATTCAATTATTTGATTAAATATTTTGGATATGATAAACATCAAAGTCGATTTGCAAGAGAGTTATCATTGGCTATGAAGATAGATGGACATTCGTTAAATGTTGAGAGCATTAATAATCTTATTAGATTGGTGAAAAAGCAATCAAATATTCGATCTTTAGAAAGTTCATACAGTCGAATTTGTAAATATTTAAAGATTGCTAAATTATTAAGATTACAAGTGAATTTAACTACTTGGAATAGGGTATACGATTGTATTGATAATACAATGTTAAAAGAAGCATTTATTCAAAGAATCATTCAAAGCAATATTCCGATTAATGAAAATTTAAGTTATAGAATAGTTGATGATTATATGAAGATTCTTGGTGGAGATAATTTACCACAAGTGATCAATTTTATTGAGCAAGATTTAAAAATCAAAGACTGGGGGCAAAACAGTGTTTTATTGAATAAAGTTTTATATTATAGTATTGTTAATTGCAAACTGAAATTAGAATTTCGAGAAATATGGGAAAAATTAATAATAAACCCCAGAACTAAAATTGATAAGGATAGTATGAGCAAAATACTATTAGGAATGAAGCAAAATGAATATTTTAACAATGATAAAATAACTTTCATGTTAACAATTTATTGCAAATTGCAAAACAATTCAAAGTTTAATAAATTAGATACCTCTCCCTACGTATTCAGGCATATAATAACCGAGATCTGTCGAATTGCTGGACCTTACGAGCTAGACAAATTAGGGAAAGTAATTAGAATTTTAGTTCATGAGGAAGCAACCAAGGAATTGGGATTACCAATAGAAGTAACCAAGTATATCAAGGAAAATGTACCACCACGAAGAGGGGAATTAAGCAAGATTGATGAATTTAATTTTAAAAAGTTTATTCCTGAAGAAGTTTGCGAAAACTTTAAAATTATGAAACGGTTGATTGGATTGAGATTAAATAGCTTTGAAGGAAACTTTATTTACTATCAATGGATAAAGTTACGATTAGATCAAAACAATGGTATAATAAAGTATCTAAGTGATTCATTAACTGAGAAAGAAATACAAGAATGGCAAATTTTGAAAAATCAATTAGTACAAATAAACTTTGACCAAGTTAGCAAATTCAAAGAACAGATTGGTGAAGTCATTAATGAAACTATTTCAATACCTCGAGGCATTGGAACCAAGTATGAAAAAATCCAATTTGCCAAATTGAATAAGTCTGAATTGAGAGATAAGCTATATCAAATAAATCAAGGGCCCAAAGAGTACTTTGAATTACAAATGAAAGAACGAGGGATAATATACTAGTCAGCAACCCTATCGTTAGTTTCCTCTCTGCATATATACAATAATCACCCCATGATCCATCGAAATTGATCAATAAAATGCATTTATTATTATCAACTTAGTCTTATTTTTAGTAAAAACCCTTCGTAATCCTTTTGGACCCCCTTGTCTGAGATATTTTTTTGTAATTTTTTTCACCCTGGGAGCAACTTGAAAGATTTAACTGCAAAAAAAAAGAAAAAGAGATAGAGAGAGAGGTTATCATCAAGAGATGAGTTCCGACCCATACCCGGTCAGGTGTATCCTGTGAGGTGCATGCGTCATATGCATCCTCGGACAGGTGCATGCAGGAGCTGTTTATGTATTTTCCCAATTGGGGCAGGAACAGACTCAACTCAGCAGCAAAACCGGAGAAGCAGACAAAAAAACGAACCCAGTTGAAATTAGCAATAGGTGGGTTCAAGTAGACCCTATGAAGGTCAGAAAGAAAAAACGATATTATCGAAGATATTGAAATAAGGTTGGTTGCTGATACATTAATGGAGGGTTTAGTATAATGGTTATAGCCGGAGGGAACTTCACGGGACCTGAAGAAAAGAATCAACGGGGTAAGTCATGTAAAAGCTTAAACATAGTCAAGGGACAAAGAAGAAATAAAGCAAATTGAATGTCTGGGTTTGTTTAGTAAATAACTCCTTTAGATTTTTTTTGTATAGAAACAATTACTTCAGCCGAAATAGATATGTAGGTTGGATAAAATATTTTTGACGACAACATGACTAAAAAGACATCTTCTTTACATGAACAAAAAAAGATGGGCCATGGTAATGAGCAGGTGTTAAGTTACCAAAACTGATTTACAAAATTGAATCAGGAATTGCTTATAAAATTTCACTTTTAAACTGAAAAATAAAAAATAAAATTTGGCCTTTATTTTTTTGGTTGTTTTAGTTTTTGCTTTTTTTGCATTTCACTCTAATATCCTAATTACCTATTTGGTTGGGGTTTTTGGGTTCAAGGATTGCTCTATTCGTTTGGTCCTTGTCTTGAATAAGTATCTCAATCTCCCGAAGGTTGCCGTAAAAAACTTCTTTTAGTAAACTTCATTTCAAGACATTGGAGGATTTCATATATATCGTTGGTTTGTTCCTCTGTAGTGAGGACATCAATTTAAATAAATCACAGAATCACAAATTAATTGGTAAGGCTGCATTTTTCAGTACTTGATTCAAGACCTGAAACACTCCAAGTTCATTTATATACTTCTAGTCATCCTTCATCCTTTTTCTTTATACCCGATCCTTTTCATCTGTTATTTTTGTCTATCTTCAAAGTCCTTTTTTTAGAAGCCTTTCCTAACATAAAATAAANNNAATAAAAAAAAAAAAAATCACAAATCATATAGAAGAAAAAAGAAAAACCCCTTTGCTCGCCTTGCAATTAAATTAATTAAATCTTATATATACTTTATTCCATCTCCTTTTAATTCGGTGATTGTTTCTATATTGGTGTTATTCACTAGTATTTAAGGTACTAGTTCACAACATTTCAATATTCAATCCAACAATTCAATATTTCGAACTATAAAACAATCGATCAACTCATCCTTGACCAATTCAAGCTCCCTCGTTTAGTCATCTGGCACATTTGTCTTGACAACTTTTCGTAATCATCTGTTAACTTGTTGTTTTTCTTTTTCTTTTTATACTTTTTTTTTTTTCATCCCTTCTTATATTGTTGATCTTTCTAATTAAAACCAGCATCTTCGGAACAACTTGTTGATTTCTTCTCCATTGTTTCGACCCGTTCTATTCCCATCAAACTCAAACCTCCTTCATATTCTTCGTCTGAAGAGGATTATATATGTCCTTGACCTCTGATATTTGAGATCATCTAAAGAAACGGCTTTTAAAAGGCTCCAAAATAAATCAGTGAGTGAAGATTCCCAAAATAGAAAATGCGGCTCCTCCTACTGCTTTCTCCTTTATTATTATTATCATCATTAGCAGCTGCATCTTTGGACTACTGTTCATCTCAGAATTTGGGTTCTGATCAGACTACCTCTATCTACCAGTCCAATGGGAAGTGTGGGGATACTTGTTCTGGTAAAGGGTATGCCCTTGCTATAGTGCAAAATAAAAATTGTTGGTGCTCAAATTATGTACCTGAAGATACGGTCTCTACCGATAAATGTGATAACGATTGTCCCGGTTATCCTAGTGATAAGTGTGGTGGTGATGGTTATTACGGTTACATTTTGATTAGTACTCCCAGTGGTACTGAAGGAGGTAGTAGTGCTAGTTCTACTACTTCGTCGACTTCGTCGACTTCAACTTCTTCTACGTCAACTTCTGAAAAGTCTTCGGTGATTGACGTTGAAACAACTGCCCAAATTTCTGAAACCATACAAGTGACCGAGACTACTCAAATTACGCAAACTCAAGATCATTCTTCGTATGCCTCGGAAACTTCTTCTTCTTCTTCGTCTTCTTCGTCAAAATCGTCTTCTTCTTCTTCCTCTGCTTCTCCCTCGAGTTACCAACCAACCACGATTTATTCTGTTCGAACAGTTAATGGCTCTCAAACTCAATTGGTTAAAACTCAATACGTTACTGCTAATCCGACATCGAATCAAGCTTCCGCTTCGGCAACAAGTGAGTTGTCTTCTAATCCAAAAAACAAAGAAGATGATTCCAATAATAAATCTTTTTTCGATTCAAAGGGTAAAGTAGCTGGTACTTTTACTGCAGTTGGTATTGTTGTGGTTGGTCTTGTTGCTAGTATTCTTTACTGTTGTTGTTGCTGTGCTGGTGGTGGTCGTGATGGATCTCATGATGATTTCACTGATGAAGAAAATCAATATTCTTCTGATGAACTTTCCATGAATAATGAAAAGGCTGCAGTTCCTGCTTCATTCACTAATAATGACCATTCTAAAACTCCATCAACTGTTTCTTCCACTCATTTGAAACGTAATAGTTCAAGTAAGTCTATTCTTTCTTTATTCAGTCCTAGTGGTGCAGGAGTTGCTGGTTCTACTGCTGGTGGTATGATGGGTCGTAGTTTATCTAAAAAACGGTTGAATCCAAATAAACATTCTAGAAATGATCTGAATGCAAGTAATAATGGGAATACCAATAATAATGAAATGATGTTCCCTATTTCTGAATTCGATTCAAGATTAGATCCTCATACCATGTTCCTAAATACCAATGAATCAAATAAAACTTTGGCCGATAATCAAGACTACTCAAGAAGAATTTTGCATATAACTAATCCAGAGTAATATCTTTACTTTTATTTTTCATTTCATTCAACTCTAATTCATTAATTTTTATTTTGCTTTTCATTCTTTTGCCAACTCATTCGTCATTCATTACATTCTGTCATTTCTAAACTTTCTTCTCGTTAATCTAAATGCTGTTTTAGCATTCTTATGCTTATGATTTTCTAATTGCTTGTCTTTCCAGTCTTATAAACTTTTTATCAATCTTTTTAATCTCGGTCATTTTTACATATTTTAACTGGTTATAATATAAATAATACCTTCTGTAATTTCCGTTTGTAATTTCTTATATCTATTATACATATATACATCATTTACTTTCTGGAGGTACTTTACTCATATTCGTATAATGAGGCTGTTTCTCGTAAGCATTGGGACTTGAAGACCGTTGTTTCGACTTCTTCTTCTTACTTCTATGACTATGATCACAGCAATCATGCTGTTCTTCTTTCCGTTCACTACCTTCATCACCGGACGAATCACTCGAATCACTAGATGAATCACTTGATGATTCCGATGACAGCTCTCCGAATTCTCTCTGGGGGTGGAATATGCAACAAATCTTAGTCTTCTTCTTATTCATATGTTCATTATCCACAACTTCTTCGGTCCATCTTACACGAGGTTTCTTCTTCTTCTTTTTATCTTGATTAGAAGAATCTTCACTGGGCCGAAGATGCAAAACTGGTGGTGGTTGTGGAGTAGACTCCACCGTCGTCGTCGTACTGGAAGACTCGCCTCCTCTTTGAGCCGGCGGTTGGTTATTCAGCATGTTTTGTCAGCTTCAATGCTTGTAATTGGCTTCTCCTGATTGAATAATTTGTATTTGTAAGGCCAAAATAACTGAGCATTTGCCAGTGTGCAGTACAAATTGCTAATATCATGAGCTCTTTTCGCTGCCTTTTGCTCTTCCTTTCTCCAAAAGTTGCAACCTTTGTAACCCTGTATTCTCGTATTAATGGAGAATTGTAAGGGTACCAGGTGAGAATGGGAGCAACAGTTTGGCGGGGGGGTTAAGCTTGAGATGTACCTGTATATGCAAGGTGAAACTTTTGTAGAATGAGACCGATTTGAAAATTTTGGTCTTGTGATTAGCAGGTCAAAAGGAAGCCGTGTTATTAGCAAAGGTTTGGGGAATCTGGCTATTTTCATTTGCTCTTGATGATGGGCGTTCTTGTGAATTGCATCAAGGGCCAAAATTCCGGAAAACGAAGACTCTGGCGAATCAAAAATAGTAGCTGTTCTCAAAAGCAGTAGATCGTTGCATTAGCTGGATGCATTATTTGTAAATTGTCTGCATTCAAACTCTAACCCGGTTTATGTTGAACGATTTCAAAACCGGTTGGTTAATTTCATCTAGATTAGCCTAAGTTGCAAATTCCATTGCCTTACCTGAAGAAGTAAAGTTATGGCTAATCCTGGATGCAGCATATTTGTACAGGAAAACGTTTGAGTTGCCATGTCATTACTTGGAATACTCAGGTTCATACCGGGTGTTGATCGGGGCTTGATCGGGTCGTTGGTTTTTTCAGAAAATCTGGAATGTCACCTTATGGTGATTCCAAAAGCCTTGGGAGTAACCAGGCTTACATGATTGCAATTCTCGTACGATGAAATTGCATCTGGAACAGGTAATTGATCAGACTGCCATTCCGAGAGTGTCGAATACATAATTTGTCTAATGGCTCTTATATAAGCTTGCCAAGGTGGTCTTGCCTAATGCAACCAAAATGAAGAAACAAATGACAATACCTTCATCAGCTAACAACATCTTCTTTTGCTCAAGCGAAAATCTTTCCTTTAAGATGCAAATCTAGCCTTTAAAGTGTTAGCTGCAAAAAAAACTGTGACGGGAAAAAATCAGAACTTCAACTACACAAAAATTTAATGATAATTCACAAAAAAAGAAGAGTCTACAGCACGATGGTTTCCATTATGGTCTCCCACTAACGTACTCAGCATCGCTCTCAGCAGCTTAATAATTATTGATCGGACGGGTAATCATGCTTTATGCTGGATATGGCCGTAGACGTTGGTAATTTTATGCTAGACTATTATGTCAACGCTTTTTTTGGAGAATAATAATGGCAAAATTTTTTTTGTGGCCCGCAAATCTTGGGATATACTTATTAGAACATATTAGAATACTATATAAGAATACTGACTCGATCTATAAATCGAATACATGTATATTTGTAAAGAAAGTAGCCACAAAAATGGCTATTTCATGCAATTTATCAATCGTTTTTCTATACCAGGAAAGATCTCAATCAGCCAACTCATTGGTAAGAAGGCCATAAATGTTGTATGGATATCCCTTTAAACTGGTGAATAAATTAATTTGGGAAGCAACTTTTTTTGCGGCATAAATACTTTTCATTGAAAAAAGGGTTAATTGAGGCTGCAATTTAGATACATTGATATTAATTGAAGAAAATCATATATGAAACAAGGCTAGAGAAGTTGAAAAGTAGGTGAACCTACATACTCTTGAATACGGCACATTGTGGACCGGTGTGCTCCAAGCTAGAGCAATATTTGCACTTTTGTGAAGGACAATCAAAGCTAGAATGAGTTTGAACCGAACATCGAGAGCATATTTGGATAATATGTTTGATGATTAACTGAGTTGAATCTTGTGGGATTTTCTCTTTTGGTTCTGTAGCGGAATGGAAAAACATGGCACCTTGAATTTCAACAGTAGGTGCTCGAGAATAAGGAATTAAAGACTCTTTGAGAGGGATCATTTCACAGAAAGGTTCTCGACACAGGTCAAGATGGTTTTTCAAAACGGTCGACGGACTAATTTCTATCGTGGGATCACCCCTTAATGTGAAAGATGCAAAAGGTGCAGTCAATTCCCGAATAGTTAAACCCGATTTTATCGTAGGTGACATGTGAATAAATGTATTGTTGATAAGATCAAAATAATTATTTAACTGATCCATACGTGAAGGGAAATCGCCTTTGTTTTGTGGGAAGTACCTGAAAGTTTCGGAAAGTGCTGGACGAAGAATGAAACATTTGATGTCAGGATTGAATTCAATTCTTTGAGTATAAGGAAACGTTACAACCAATTGTTTAAGACGGTTAAATTTTTTCCTTGTTACGTTCAATATTTTATCCATAGATAACATCATATTTTTTGAATACCTTATTTTGTCATCCTCCTTAGTATTGTCTTGTCTCTTCATTAATTTACTCAATTCAGCAGAATGTGAATTTTTAGCAGACTCTGTAGCGGGTATTGTTAAAACCAATTCATTCAACTCTTCTTCCTTTTGTTCGATGATTTTATTCCAAGCTGTAATGATCTTGGCAGTAATCTCACTAGGTGTAAAAGTATCATGTAAACTATTATCAACCTGGAAGTAAATTAAATCCCGGTTTTGGGTATCGATTGAAAAAAAAAATTTTCTAGCTTTCAATGATAAACCTTTCAAAGTTCTAAGAAGATTTATTCTTTCCTGTTGATCTGTTTGGTAGTAAAACAAAAAAAACAAGTTTCTTTCGTGATTAAATTTTCTCCAATGATCTTCGTCTTCACATAGTTTCGATATGATATCTCTATCGGGATCTTCTCCGGTGTTGTAAAGTGTCTCAATGGCAAATGAAACCACATTAGGATACTGGGAAGGTTCAAATCCAAAAAATTTACCAATATATGAGTATCTTTCGCAAAGTTTAGCGAAAGGTAAAATAGATTTACCTCCATCATGGCCATTACTTCCTTCTTCTGTTAAGGTGCCTGCAGTCAGGGTTGGTAAATTAAAGAACCGAGAAGTCTCAGCTAGTGCCTCAGAAATCCCAGGGGTTTTCGATGGACTACTCTCAACTGAAGTACTCGTCCTAGTTGAATTTGTATCTAGGGACTTTTGTTTTTCAGGGCTACCGAGAGGGAATGGACTATAGGTACTTGAAACTTTTGAACGAGATTTATGGACACCTTCGGTTGTAGCTCGACCGTGCTCTAACTCTTTTGGAAGCTTCTGTTCGGGCTGTTTGTCTTGAGAATATACTGACCTTTCGGCAAGCTTATTCTCAGGGGCCGGATTTGAGTTCGCAGATGGACCCTGTTGTTTAGGGGTCTTGTTCAATGGAGCCTGATTGGGGCTAGAGTCAACTTTGAGTTGTAACGTTTTGTCACTCAGTTCATTGATAAGTAAACCAGTAGCCATTTGTTCCTTTGTTGTTTTCTGGTAGTTGATAAATAAATTGGACTAGGAATTTTTTTTGTTTTTTTTACTCTTCTTTTAATACTGAGCTACTGAGTTGAGAGGTAATTGTTGCCATCCAAAGAAGCATATCAGCTCTCCCGGAAACCATTCCTTGAGAATAAGATCGTTGGAAGTATTTTGGTGAAGGTTGAACTATTTTTTTTTTGAAATTGGCTTCTTTCATAGTTTTTTGTGTATTTTTTTTTATTTTGCAATAATAATTATTCTGTTGGTGATTTGAAAATCCTAAACTTGACGTAGGTAACTATGATGATTAATGTCGAATGGATAATTGACATGGGTGCTTCACAAATGATTTCAACACATGTTTTGGTTATGAGTTTATTATCTTATAAGATATATAATGTATAGTAAAAATTGGACCCGTTTTTTTTTTGTTCTTTTATCTAATCATGGTATTGAAATCGATTCATGAATGTGATAATGAAAGGGATATATTTCCTTTTTACATCTAAACAGGAGTTTCCGATGCAAAAAAAAATTCAACTAAAGGAAATACCAGATCAACTAGGTTAAAATGACACTCTTATTCGTTATAGGTATCTCTTTTGGCTTCGTTAAACGGCTATTTTAGGCATTGTCCGGTTTATTTTTTTTTAACATATAAGAATATATATTTAATAACTATTTACTAATATATACCTAGAGTGGAAAAGACTATGTTTAGTCAAGAAAACCCATGTTGAATCAAGTGATGTGATAGAAATGGCCGGGCAATTCTTTGTCATGAAAAATTTTATTAGCTTACTCTAACGTGGATATGGAAATCAATAAATTTTCTCCTGCATGAAAATTCCTCCCGGTGGCCAAGCTGGCTAAGGCGCGAGACTGTAATGGGTTCTCCTCAAAGTAATCTTGAGATCGGGTGTTCGACTCACCCCCGGGAGATTTTCTTTTTTGCATCATAAATGTTTTTTTTTTCTTTTATTTAGAAAAATAATTGATAATAAATCCTTTGATAGTTCTGATTTGCTTTTTTTTACTTCGATAACATCGTCTTTGATGCTTTTTAGTGTTTTACAACTTCTACAATTTTTATAGAATTTTGCTAATTTTTCAGTTTATGATGTAAAATTCGAGTAATACTTCAACCAAGAAACCCATAACCAGAGAAAAGTTTCAAATTTAATCAGTTTTTGAAAAATACCTTAACAGGTCATAATGAAGGATTTGAGATATCCTGCCATGGAAACTCCATTTTATTTCAATTGCAGTAAACTTGTTAGCATTATTTGCTTGTGTTCAAAAGATCTTCTTCAAAATGGGCTTATTTGATTTTTTCACTCCCAGCATTCTTCTGTCAATATACTTTAGAGAAAAGTGGTAGACCAGTTTACGGACTGGAAAATGGTTATTCAAAGCTTATCAAACCGGGCCAAGATTTGAAAGGTGAGGGTTTATCGAGTATATGTTTGATATTATCTACATTACTTGGTTAATCGACTTGCTAATGATTGTATTTGGTTCCAATAAGGTTTGGTGGTTATACCTGGTAAACTCCTCTCTGTTACATCCAGAACCTGTAATTGCGAATAACTTTGAATACACTAGAAAAGCATGTATTCTCCGTAAACGTGAGTTGAATATATTTTTCAATAAAATACCACTGAAAGACTTGCATTAAGGGTAAACAAGTTTACAAATCGGTTTATATAAACATGATGTCGGTTAGATATTTTCCAAAATGTATTGATCTGAAAAACTCTAAAAGTATTTATACTAATGGGTCAGTCACTAGGGACATGATACGAGAAATTCGTTAATTGAGTAGGGCTTCAAGCGTAGACTTTGGCTGCGAAAATATCGGGTTATGCAGGTAGATCAGACATCTATCGTTCACATATGTACAGAATGAACATAGTTCTCAAGGGGACTAACTCGCAATAAGACATTAGTCAGATACAGACCAATCGATGAAGGTCTAGGGATGATGTGCGGGCCTGATAAATGTCAGAACCGATCCCATACACCATAGAGATGTTACAAACATTCTTTGTGAAATGTCATCGGGCCAGGTATCATAATACATATACATATAAATAAGTAAGTGATTCCATGCTGATGATTATCTTTTAACTCTTTGTGGAGCGTGGACCTCCGTGACTACTCCTATTGGTTAATCGACGGGAGTATGGACGATGCCCATGCAGAGTTTTTGATTCAGCAATATACATTCTACGTTTTATATAATTAATATCTGGCTTCTGTTATATTAGTATTAATTGTAAAAAGTTATTTTCTCCCTTTGAATAGCAACAAAGAGATTTATAATTCGTTAATAGTATGTATCTGGCTACTATGTTACGGAGGTTTATGGTTGTCCATACTGGAACATATGTCTATAATTTTTTATAGATATGTGTGGTCGACAGAGGTGTGATCTACCAAGGTAACCCGATATGGCTTCCCCACCAGTATAAATATAATACTTGAGTTCATCCATGTATCGTTATTAAGTTTTAAACATAATCGTAATGTTTAAAGGAAAGCGCTACTTCATCGATGATATTACTTGCTGTTATAACTTCTTGACGACCATAGGACAAGAACTTATTTATTTGATGTCCAACTTACAATGTTTTAAACTTTAATACTAACTCGAATTTAATTGGTATTTGAAATGCCTCATCGAACTCAGTCCAACAACTCAAACAGAAACTCTGATCCAACCCCAAATGAATCATTAGCGGAGAATCTCAAGGGATACCAAGAGCTTGTGAGTAATCTTACCGATCATTTAGGAAGATTAGCTGATAAGGGTGAAGAACAACATTCGGCCCTAATCAATTTCAGGGAATTACTTTCCAAACAACTTGCCGAGATGCAAAAACAAGCTGAAGCTCTGCAAAAGCGAGCTGAAATTTTTCAAAGACAGGCTGATGACTCGAGAAAACTGATCAAAGAAATGTTACTGGATTTGAAAGAGTTTCGCTCTGGTCGTAATACCTCTGGGCAGCCTCAGCGTTCTCCAACAAATCATCATATTGATGATAAGTTAGATCTGATTTAATAACAGCAAAAAGATTAATCTATATAAGAAATTAATCTTTTCCACAATTGGTTACCTCTTACGGGTGTTAGGTCATCCATACTAAAAAATATATCTATAATAACCCGATAATATATAAATTAATATTCAGCCTCTTGACTTCTGGACATTCTTAAATATGAAAGTATACAGAGAAAACGGCGGTAGCCACCAGTATATAATATTCCCATGCACAAAAGCAAAAAAAATGAGTTTATATGTGCACAAAGCCCGGAAACAGCCTCAGGTCAAACCTGCCTCAAGAAACAACTGCAACCCACACCATCCACCCATTCAAGCCTTGTATAATGCCTTTTTCAAAAAAAAATTGAAAGCACAATTTTTTTGCTTTTCAAAAACTCCACAACAGGGAAAACCATCCTTTTCAGCCAGCAGAAAAATCGCCTTTATGGCCAAGTTGGTAAGGCACCTCACTAGTAATGAGGAGATCGTCAGTTCGAATCTGGCTGAAGGCATTTTCTTTTTTGGTCCCAGGGTTTGTTTTGGCACGTGCGCCCCGCAATTTTAGTTTCTTTTTTCTAGTCTTTTGTTTTCTGCGTGCGCCCACCAAAAACCATCACTGAGATTAAAAAAGCTTGGCACAAGAAAAGGTAATTTCTTAGTATCATTAATTTATTACACTTTTTCTTAGCGTTTTAGTAGGAGTTTTAAAGGTTGGCGTCTATCTTTTCCGATTTTTTTTTATAAAAAATGATAGGTATTTTTTTTACCAACTACTTTTTTTTCTTCAATTAAAAACAACAAGAATGTCAGGTATGAATTACAACTTACATCCCATGTCTTATCTTAATGCCACCACTACTGATAGAATGATGGATTCGGAGATTGATATAGATATAGACGCTGTATCGTCGACCTCGCCAACCAATAGCAGTCAATCGGCCAATGGGTCCCCCCAGTCTTCGTTTACCTCGCAATCGACTGCCAATTCGCCCATTCATAACGATAAACACCAACAGGGACAAGTGGCTGACCAGCGCCAGCTTGAAGCAAAGAATCAGATGTCGGTGCAACAAGCGCCTGTTCAACAGGTACCACAACAGTTTATCCCCCAAGCACAAGCTTTTTTGCCCGACAACAACTTGAATGGGTTTTTTGGGTTGAATGGGAATGCTGGGGTTGTTTCCAAACCAGAAGAGAAGAAACCAGCTAAGAAAACCTATAGAAAGATTAAAGATGAAGATTTACAAGGACCATTTAAATGTCAATGGAAAACATGTAATATCATTTTCGATACTCCCGAATTATTATATGATCATTTATGTGATGATCATGTTGGAAGAAAAGCATCAAATAACTTATCTCTTACTTGTTATTGGGATAACTGTTTAACCACTACGGTTAAAAGAGATCATATCACTTCTCATTTAAGAGTACATGTACCATTGAAACCATTCCATTGTGATGTTTGTCCAAAGTCTTTTAAAAGACCTCAAGATTTGAAAAAACATACTAAGATTCATGAAGATGATCATCAAAGAAAATTGAAAAAATCTCAAAAGAAATTGATGAAGGAAGAACAACAGAGAAGACAACAAGATGATTTGAAGTATGACGGATTACATCCAAATCCTCATCACCATTCTCATCCAATTTATCCTCCTGCTCCTCCTTTACCTTATGGTTATCAATCAAATGATTTGGGTTATAACTACCAACAAAATGATATGGACTTGAATCGTAAAAGAAGATTTGATAATAATTCCCATCATAATATGTATGTGGTGAATAGTATTTTAAGTGATTTTAATTTTTACTCAAATAATACTGCTTCCAATACTTTAAATCAAGATTTTTCAAATAAAAGAACTAAAATTGAACCTCAATATAATATGGATATGTTCAATAAATTGAATCATTTGGATGAAAACTTGAATCAACATCAACAACATAATCCATCTTTTGGTACTTCTGCTACTTTAAACATCCACCCTCAACAGCAACAACCACAACAACAGCAACAACAACAACCTAACTTATACGAAGCCGAAAAATTCTTCAATTCTCTTTCTTCTTCAATTGATATGCAATATCAAAACTTGAATAATTCTACCGATAATCATCATTATTCTCAACATGGTAACTTATATCCATCTGTTCCTCAATTCCCAGCTACCAATATGGATTCCACCAAATCAGATCTTTTAACTAATAACCATGGTATTGGCTATTCTCCAAGCTATCCTCAAGTTAATAGATCAAACTATTTAACAAATAACTCAACCAATTTGACTTCAGAATTTGGTGGCGTTAGTAATTACCAAAAATCTGGTCAAAAATTATCTAATGATGTTGATGAAGAAGAAGATTCATTATTAAACAATATTAATGATTCTTTGAATAAATTAACTTTGAAGAATGATGACAAATTGGATATCAATCTGGTTAAAAAACATAAAGAAATGATTCAATTGGTTTGTGATTACTTATCCTCTTTAAAGAAAGGTGAACATTGTGAAGTTAACAATATTAATGAAATTAATGAATCTGGTCGTAAATTATATCCCACAATCACTGCTTTTTAAAGCATATTAAGACTTTTATATCCTATTATTTTATTCAATTCTGGTTGGTTGGTTGTTTTTCTTATTATTATTATTATTTTTCTTCCCGTTTGTAACGTTATATGTATTGAAATATAAACTATTTTATTCTATTTACAGTTGAAATTAATAATTCCATGTAGATTTCAAAACCCCGGATCCAAGAACCGTATTACCATGATAAAGAACAACGTTTTGACCCGGTGCCATTGCCCGGGCTTTATCCTTGATTTTTATTTTCACTTCATCTTTATCTTGATTAAATTCAAAAACTTGATCAGGTTCTTGTAGAGATCTATATTGCAAGGTTAGCTCTTTTGAATTTGAAAACTGACTTGGATTTTCAATTATCCATTCCCAATCACTAACACTCAACCCATTTTGATATAATTTAGGATTATCTCGACCTTTAACAATCACTAATTCATTTGTTTCAAATCGCTTCTCACTAATGAACCAAACACCTTTATACTCTGGATTACCTTGTGGCAATGAGATCCCCAGTTTTTGACCAATAGTGGCATGCCATAAACCTTTATGTTGGCCCCATATTTTACCATCTTCAGTTATTATATTACCAGGATTTGGTTCAATATATTCATTTAAAAATTCTCGAAAACTTGAAGTTTCTTGCCCAACAAAACACAAACCATCCGAATCAGGCTTTTCAGCAATATGTAATTGAAAATCTTTTGCAAGTTTTCTAACATCTGGTTTTATCATATGTCCAATTGGTAATAATACTTTAGATAATGCTTTTTTGGGGATATTGGATAAATAAAATGATTGATCTTTATTCCCATAGTAACCCCTTAGCAAATGGTACTCTCCTGTTTCTCTATGCTTCATTATTCTTGAATAATGCCCTGTTACCAACCACCAATTAGCCTTTGTATTCTGGAATTTATTGGTTAAATATTCAATCATTTTACCAAATTTAACATACTTATTACACCCAGTATCAGGGTTGGGCGTCAATCCCTTGGAGTACATCGATATCATTGGCTCAAAGACTTGATTCCAATACTCTTTCTCAAAATTCACCCGTTCACAGGGTATTCCAATATGCTGACATATTTTTTGAACATCTTTCCAATCTGCTTCGATACATTTAGCAGTTTGAGTCCAATTTGCCATATATATCCCTCTCACATTACGGTACTTCGATGCATACATTGCAGCACTAACTGATGAATCAACTCCTGAACTCATAGCTATTATAATCTCATCTTCAGGTTTGGGTTCTTCTTGAACATACGTATTGGGTGCTAACTCATTGAAATGGGGCTTCACGTGGAACCGCCTTATACTTAGAGCTCTTGGTATCAAAAACCCTCTCCATCTTGTTCGCGAGAGCATCTGTCTAAATCTTTATGATGATGAAGAATGGTAAATGAATACTGTTCTTAGTAATCGGTTTTTTTTTTTTTTTTTTTTCAGTCGTTTTTTTTTGTTCACTGTAGCAGTTTCGCTCTAAGATACTTATCAGTTATTCAATTATCAATCGAAAGAAGTAAGCATAGATTTTAATAAGCTCTTCGTAACCCTTACAACCACACACGTTCATACACATGGTCGAGGATAAGCTAAAACATGGGAGAGTATATGCCCATTTGAAAGGTCCCTAACTGTCGGCCACTGCTTGTGGCCAACCACCCTTCAATTAATCCAGAAAATACACCATTTATCACTTCTCATGGCCTCCCACGGAATCTCCCAGCCTCTCCAGCCTCTCCCAGCCTCCTTTGGCCGTCTTCTTAATTATATAAATACTTGATTGCAAAAGTATCGTTGTGCAATACCAGGATCAATATCCTGCATGTAAGTGCCCATCGCAGCCAAACAAAAAAAAAGCGATGAGACCAAAAAGATCAATTTGTGATTCAGTCTTTTAAGCAATAAGACTTTCCCTGTCACTGAACACAAACTTAGTAAAGCCAGGTAAAGCAAAGGAAAAAAAAAGAAGGATGATTTTGCCCAGGATCGAACTGGGGACGTTCTGCGTGTTAAGCAGATGCCATAACCAACTAGACCACAAAACCTTTCCTTGTTAAAGGAATTTGGCATGGTTAGTCAAGTTGGATAAACTTTAAGTTATATAGGTAAACTGATTCGAATTGGAAACCGTGAAAAAAAAAGAAACCTTGTATATATGCCGACAGACAACATTCCAGGGCACGATAGACACTCACAGAGCCTTATATCACAGAGAACTTTGTTATCCTATAACCAATTGAATACAACTGAGGGATGTGAACAGTCAATGACACGATTTCAGTTTTTGAGAACCCTCCCACTTTTAAAGGGGAGCTTTTTAGAAAAACCAGCTATAAACATCGATTCAATAGTGCTAGAACAGAGGGGAAGAGCTAGGGTAACTCATGGGTATTGCAACATATTTAGAAGACACTTAAAAGGTTTGATACGTCCAAAACTCTCTGTTTCTCTGGACGTTCATGCCACGATATTCAACTATTCAACCTTGTCTTAAACTCTGGACATTTGTGTAAGCTTGAAATTCTGTTATGCAGCCGTCAGGAAGACTCTAAATTTCCCAGAGACTACCAGAGTATGGTCCTTTTGTCACCAATAATTCTCTTGACCGACTTCGAACTTTTCGGGTTATGTGGGTGGATCAGACCTGTAATTAATATCTATATAATAGATATATGTTGTAGTACATATAATAGGGTCCAGTTAGCCGCCTAGTTAAATGTAATTTATGTTTATAGTTTATTACTGCAAAATCTATGTCTTAATAATGAGATTAAATCTCTTATAGTCATGGTAACTTATACCACAGTCATTGTGCTAGATAGTCTCCGGGTTATTCGCTTACTCCTGTTTTACCCGTGTTTCTCTTACTATAAATTTTGGTCTTAGATCTTCTAATGAGAAAACAAGATAGTTTTAACTTATACTCTGAGTTGTATATACTTTGTTTTCAATACAAACTCTTAAAATACAATTATCGAATATTACAGGTACAGAGTCCTATTACTATTACATTACGGTCGACCAATACACATGTATGATGGTATTAGTCTGATAATTAACACTTGATTAAGCAATGGATCGAATACCTTAGATTAATGAAGTTATCCTGAGGGAGGAAATAACTCTTTACAATTAAGCATAAGTACCAAAGGCCAACTTAGGAATGCGATTGGTGTTCTCATTCGAAGATCTCTTTTATCAATCGATTACTGATAGAGTCATGGTCGGACAATGAATAATGATTGAGAAATTCTCAGACGACGTACATGTCTTCTGACCAGAATGAGTGGAGCCTCGCTAATCACAAGGTATTCGTTTATTCGATTGAGCTTCCAAAAGATTATGCTTGTACATAGAACCTTGGACCAAAGAGAGAGATTCTTCGGCAAAAATACTTTATTATATTATTTGGTTTTTACTATCTAGTATTAGTTGTATCGGGTTATGTGGGTAGATCAGACCTCTATCGTCCTCAAGTATGTACGAAGTAAATACCTGTACCAGACTGGACGACCATAACACACGCAGTTAGCTATTAGTCAGATACATACTAATAACGATTAGTAGTGGATTAATTTACTAACTAGATTAATCTTTTAGCTGTTATTAAAGGGAGAATAACTTTATTACAATTAATACTAATATAGTAAAAGCCATAAATAATATATATATATATATTATTATTGTCATCACCGAATGAAAACTCTCTGTAGGGCATCGACCCACTCTTCAATCCATTAACCTATAGGATTAGCCACGAAGGTCCACCCCCCAAAATGTCTTCTAGACATTTCCATCAGATGAGGAAATGCCTACTTATTTATAAACTTGTTCTCGTAAAAGATGCTCTCTTCCGATGTTGTTTCACAAAAGATGTTTGTAACACCTTTTGCTTAAACCTCAGCTTGATGATGTCTGTGATCTGACTTGATGTAAATCAGGCCCCCAGACATCACCGCCAGACTCTCACGGTCTGACAAGTTGTAATAAGTTATTTTTCACTTTAATAACGACTTGAAGATTGATCTAAGTAATAAATTAATCTACTACCAATTAGACATTAGTTAGATACAGACCAATGTCTTATTGCGTGCGTCATGGTTGCCCGTCTTGGAAACTATGTTCATCCTGGACATATGTCGACGAGAGAGGTCTGATCTACCCATAGTATTAATGTAGTCATGCCCGTATTGGAATCTGAGTCTAAAAGATTAACCAGCTGCTCCATTGGATTTCAGTAACCTCTTATCAACATACGCAAAAAAAATAGTATATATACAAAGAACGAATGAGACACTTGTCTTTGCAGAACCTATAAAATACTTGAGGATTAGTTGTCTTTGCAAACTTTAGTAAAAATGAAAAAGGTTGCAAAAAAAAAGAAATGATTTTGCCCAGGATCGAACTGGGGACGTTCTGCGTGTTAAGCAGATGCCATAACCAACTAGACCACAAAACCTTTTCTTAAAGTAAATTCTGCATTAGATAACTGAGTTAGTAAAATTGAGATTAAAGAGAGCAAATGCAAAAGAATTTTGATCTTTATTTTTTTTATTTTCATTTATTTTCTTCTCATTATTATCATGCTGGCTTTTTTTTATAATCACAATTTAGTGAAATATGCAAGAAAACAGTGAAAAAAAGATTTTTTTCCAATAATGGCGAGGTAATGTTTTTTTTCACTGTAAAACAACTAAACATTTAGTGCTGTCAGGCCGTAAGGTCTGACTGACTGTAATAGGAGATAAGGTCATGAATGTCTTATTTTGCTTAAAGTTCCGTCTTTTTTGACTCATCTTAATTTGAATAAGCATTTCCTCTCTTGAAGATTAATTTAAGTACAAAAAAATGGAAAACTCATCAATGGCTTCCAGGGAATTTAACAACCGTTTTGATTTTTCTCCTTATTCTTATCCTGCTGTGAGACAGCAGGATAAGAATCGGTGGTTGAGTTAGATGTATCAAAAAAATATCAATTCTTCTTCCTAACATTTTCCTTCTTAATTATGAGCTTGAATATATTCAATATGTTCCATTGATTTATAATTTGTGTCATTACTTAATTTGATCGAACATTTATATCATTATCACCCAGCCAAATTAAACAGGTTACTTTGATTAGAAAGGGGAGGAGCATGGTAAACTTTCTTCTATAGAGCTTAAATTTGGTCCGTTTTTCATATACATTTTTTTTTGCACCCGAAATCAACCTATTGAAGTAAAATAGTTTGCAGGACTTATATTCTAGAATGAAGTATTAGATGTTCATCTTGGTACCTTATTTTATGGTGTTAGATAAGATAGCATGTTCTTTCCTTTTATGCCTCTAAACTAAAAGAAAATAAAGGGAAGAGTTACAATGTAATTAAAAATAAAAGCAAAATCTAAAACAAGAATATTTATTTAATAGAAACAAAAGTGATAATAAAATGACAGCTATTCAACACCGTTTGAATCAGATCGAGGAGCAGGATTACAAGAAACGGCAGCTTCTTCACCCATAGCAGACATAATGGTAACTAATAAAGTTTTACCAAATCGCATATCCTCACTCAAATCACCTAATGGAACTTGGATACCATCTTTGGTGCTACCATCAGCGGTCATTAAAGATAAGAGATCATCTTCAATATCAACTAATTGATATTCTCTTTTCATAACATTTGGAACTCGCATATTGTGAATAGATGGGAATAAATCGTTTGATGTTTAACCAGTAAAGATATCAGTGCCAACCAAATGGACATTGTCCTCATCTGCTTTAGATATATCGACAATTTGACATGGTCTTTCCTTGATGACGACATAATCGTTTATTCTCAATTCAGAACATTGTATTGGGTAAGTTAAATCAACACCAGCATCAGAGACAGGGTACTAGAATAAGTTAGTATTAGTTCGTAAATGAATCTCCCCCTATATGTGTATGGAAATGGCAATCGAAAATCCTTTATTGTGATAATAGATGAACAATTCGATCCCATCAACAAACATGGTCCCAAAAATCAATCAATCCGAGTATACTTAGCTGTTAATACACATATAATAGGATAATTTAAGAATTCACATACTTATTCCATTTTTGTATATATTAATGATTAAAGAAAGAAAGAAAAGACTAGAAAGGAAAAGAAGAGACTTTAAGTAATTTTTTGTTCTTCAGCAACTTAGATGTGGCAAACATCCATTGTGAAGTATCATAGGAACAAGTATAAAATGCATTTACATATAAATAGGTAAAAGAACAAGTAGGCATTGTTAATGGTAATTCTTGTATGACTTTGTGGATTGTGAGCTTTCGTTACCAATCCTACTGGTTAATGGATAGAAGCTAAGACAATGCTTACAAAGAGTTCCATGAACTCTGTTATATGCATTCAATGGCCGTTAGTATTAGCTGTAATAAGTTATTTTCCCTTTAATAACAACCAAATGACTAATATATATATAACAAATTAATGCAATCCATACTAAGTATTGGCAAGTATCTGGATCAAATCTCTCTATACGTAGATCATACAAAGAAAGATAGTCTAAGAATCGTGAATTATGATAACTTCTTGAAAGAAGGTTTTGTCGAACAAGACAATAATGAAGCAAAGAAAAACGAAGAATAGAGAACAGGATCAAAGGCTAAACAAAATAATAGGGACATTCATGCAACTACTTGAGCCAAAAACCATATATATACTGTAGGCTTATGGTCGATAGAGACTGATCTACTTATATAACCCAATGAATTGGTCTATTTAGACGAAGTCCAGCGATTTCGCAGCCAAAATCTGCATGTATATAAATAAAATAAATTCTTACTCTTCGTCCATGTGGCGTTCTCTACGGCCCATATTATGGTTTGCCAAACCGTGAAGCCTGGCTGATAAGATCCAATAGGAATCACCAAATAGACGTGCAACCACGTTTGTATAATATCAACCAATGAGGAATTCATGTATATAAGTGGAAAATAATCAAGATTCTTTGTTGTTTAAAGTGGATTCAAGGTTCCAATATTTAGCTTAGTTGGGTTGTTTTCTCTCTTTGAAGAACAATAAGGATTAATCCACTTCTCCTCCTGGATATCAGATCAAAATTTCTTTGTCATGTGTGTCACATCTGACTCAAACACTATAACCAACGAAGATCCAATTACTATGGAGTCTTTGCTTACTTGTATCAATGCTCTTCAAAAAAATTCCAGCAAAACCACTCAAAGTATCGCTGAATTGAATGACACTTTGATCAAATATACTCAAACCAATTGATAACCATCTTCATGAAAAGGAATTGAGAGCTATATACAACGATGCAGCAGGGAAATTCAAAGGAAGAATCAAGCAAGGTCAAGGTAGAATCATTCTTAGATTTCTGGAAAGACCTCAAGTTTTTTCTCTTCTTTCATAACAAACACCATTTAGTCGACTACTTATCTGAGAAGGAAAGCGATGAGCTCACGGAAGCCGAGAAGGTCTTGCTCGAACAGATAATCCTGTCTGCCGTCGACGACAAACTTGAAATGAAATTGAGACTTGATCGCAGACTCCAACGTGATAAAAAGGAAGATGATTACGCTACTAAACTTTTTAGAATTGTTAGGGGAAAGGCATTCGGCGAAGAAGATTTTTGGGAAGGAAGCTTGAGCGATTATGTCTCCACTATAGTTCCTACTTATGGGAAGACGGATTGAATACTTATAGATGTCGAATTAACGAAATCAAACAATTACAAAAATGGTATAAACTTGAGAATTCCGAAAGTTCAGGTGCCCGTATCTTATATAGGAAGCTTCCTCCAGTCTTTAAGTATTCATTCGAAAATGTTTGGAAAATTTCACACCACGTCAAAGATTTCAGAACCCAAGAAGAATTAGAAGATGTCATTAAAGAAGATTTGAAATCTTTAGATATATATCTACAATACCTTACAAGCACCTCATATCCTTACAGGAATACCTCTCAAAGTGACTAGGTAACCTCACATCGATCATCCTATAACCAAGAATAAAAATAAATGAGGGTAGTAGGAACACTAAAGGTAGAAATAGAAAACATAAATCGCATAAGAATAAGGACAGTAGTACTAAGGATACCTAGTTATCAACGATTCTGTATAAGTATATTCGTCCTGTTTGAGAAGTTTTTTAACTCTTATGTCTCATTCGTATTTTTTTAAGTATCTCAAGATAATGCCATGGTTACTCCATCCAAGTCTATTGAGCAAACTTTTTTATATCTATCGACTATCCCCAAGGATCACTTTTAAATAAACTTCTTAATATCTGTATTTCTTTTACAAGCTATTTAAGAGTATTTTTCCAGTATTGATCAACATATTTTTCTTTGCCTAAAGGTATATTTCATTACCAAAATTCCTATTTTTAATCAAAATAAATTACTCTTGAGCAGGACCAGAAAAACTAGTCAACTTCTAATTTCATGCTTTCTACAATTAAAGAAATAATAGCGTATATAATTTACATATTTAGAATAAAAAAGGTTGCAAAAAAGAAATGATTTTGCCCAGGATCGAACTGGGGACGTTCTGCGTGTTAAGCAGATGCCATAACCAACTAGACCACAAAACCTTCTCTTTCTCTCAAAAAAGACCTGGTTTAATATAAGACAAAATTAGTCATCCTAAAGTAAAAGTAAAAAAATAAATTAATCTTATTAATATCCGTGCTTGAAGCTTTTAAGAGTCCAAAGAAGGAAGGCATGGGCTCAAAATAGTATTTGGCTTAGTTTGTATTATTTCAAGTTAAAAAAAGTTTTCAATCACAGTCCAGCATCCATGAAAAATCCATATTTAAAAGAAGTAATAGAGCATAATAAGTTTTTCCGTCTGAATGCTTTAATATAACAAGCAGGGTGATAGAAGAAATATAAAAATTACAGTTCATTTTTGAATAATAAACCTAGACCCATAAGATGTAATTAATATACTTGAATAACATCAAATGCAGAATCTCTCCTTCGCTTTTGGTAAATGTATTTTATCACGCTTGTTATTCTCCAATTCCAAACATTAAGTAGGCCTACAATTTAGGAAGAAAACTTTTAAAAATGTTCTGTATATTAGTATATTTTGATTAAAACAGTACATTTTCAGCTGCAAAAAAAAAAAAAAAATCAGAAATTCCAAATTATGTGTTTTCAAAATTAACTATTTCATTTACCTTCTCAGTTCTACCTCTAACATATTCATTATAGTTTGTTAAAATAGTTTTAAAGGCAAACAGTGGTTATCACAGCTTAAATCTATTCTAATTGCAAATACACTCGCAAAAAGTTGAATTAACTCTACAACATGAATCTTTAGAATGATACAGTAAAATACTAAGACTAACACATATAAAGAATAAAATAGATTAGTTAATATCACGGAGGATTTTCCCAATTGTAATCAATTTTTCCTCAGTGTTTCTTAAACCAACAGCCCCCAAGCAAACAGGAGCATTCTCAAAACTTTTAGCGGAATCGTACTGCTTGTAAGTAAATTCGTCAATGTCATTAAGTGGTTTATATTCAGAGTCTGGGTGATCCAAGTCCAAGTCAACTTTAGTTACGGGGAACACCAAAACTGGATAATCGAGCAAGTTCCATTGGGAAGTATATCCCCAATACTTTGCAGTTCTGTGTTTTGCAGCTGGGCCCGGGAAAACAGGTGCAATAATAGCATCGGCTTCGAATTGATTCCAATATTTCAAATATTCTTTCCTATACTTTTGTTTTTCGATATTCAATTTCCACTGTTCAGGGAAGGTTAAAGGTTTGACATTTTCATTTCCGAGAGCCCATTTTGTTTGCTCACACATTGGTTCACCAGTATCAAGTAACGTATTTTTTGTATCAGCACCGCCATCTTCGAAATATAAAGAAGTAATAATCTTTTGAGCCCTAGCATGATCATAGGGAGTGAATTCAAAAACTTCGACGTTATCTAATTCCATCAATTTTTCTTTGACGAGATTCAAAGCTCTCTTGACGGGAGGATGAGGCGCAACGACTCCATCATGGGATAAAATACCAATTTTGAATTCTTTATCTTTTGGTTCTGGTTTCCACTCGATACTTGCCAAGGTTGGATCGATAGTCCAGGGCTTAGAGTCAATGATTGTCTTGGTGAACAATTCTAGTAAATCCAATGATCGGGTTAAAGGCCCTGTAACCGATAAGATAGCTTCAGAACCCATTTGACAAGACATATAATCCCCAGTTGGTAACCTTCCCACAGTCAGTCTTAAACCATAGATACCATTAAAAGCCGAAGGACAACGGATTGAGCCACCAATATCAGAACCCAATCCAATTGCAGAACCACCAATTCCGTTGAGGGCACCCTCACCACCAGAAGAGCCTCCACATGTCAAGGTGCTATTGAAAGGATTGACGGTTCTCCCATGAGTGTACGACTCACACTCGAGCATCATCAACGATTGTGGATTAGTAGTCCTTACAAATGCATTTGCCCCTGACTTCAACAATATTTCAACTATATCGGCATTGTAATCGACAACTCTGTCTAAATAACATAAAGATCCATGAGTAACTGAACGATTGACAAAAGGAATCATTTCTTTTATTGAAAATGGTAAACCAAAAAGCGGTAATTTATCTTTAAGTTCATCAAAATTATCATCGAGGTATTTTGCAACTTTCAAACTTTCTTGAGGCAAAAACTCATAAACGCAATTAGTTAATTTAGAAGCTATTATTGCAGCATGGAAATATGCATTCAAGACTTCCATACATGAATACTTTCCTTTCTTTATCAATTGGACGAGGTCATACGGATCCGTTTCAGTAATTTCAGCTGTTTTATTGGGTAATACTCGTTTATATTCTTCAATAGGACTCGAGGCCGGGGCCCCAAAATCAGTAACTGAAGTACCAATAGCAGAAGGAAGTTTTTGAAATTCTTTCAACGTTTCTTCATCAAAGGGAAATAACTTCAAGGTTTCGTGTAAAGAGTCTTCGTAAATTTTTCTAGCTTTTAAGGAAAGCTCCTTCCAATTGTCTTTGAGCATTTTTTAAATAAGCAAACTAGAAAGTGATCGATACTTAATTGAGAATAAGTGTCTTACTAGTCGGGGACTTGCCAATTTATATATGATTTTGATATCTCCCTAAAAATAAAATTCCGTCCTTATCAATTTGATCTCTTTTCGTCCCTTTTAGTAATATGCTTTACCTATAGAATTTTTCACAGATAAGTTTCTTTACATAGAAGAATGTTCAAAGCTTAACCGTGACATGGAGGATTCAAATGAGACTATCCCCACATTGTGCCTTCAATTGAATGACGATGTCTTGCCCTTCAACCTTGAATCTTTCTCTCAATTGCGCGTTTTCCATTTTCTCTGCAACAACTTTGAATAGACAATTCGTAGGTGATGAAATTTTGTAATTGAGAGCGAGAGAGCAAGAATCACGTTAAGCGTTGTTGGTCCAATGGAGAGGGTGTTTTATAGTTTTCCTAAGTCATTGTGATGGAATCAGAATTAAGCTTTCGTGGATATCTCTCCTCGATTAAATTTGTATACCATCCCGACATAAGTTAACCAATTTCAATTGCAGCCATACTCCCCAAAGATTGCAGCCATAATTCCCAAAGAAATTTGATGAGCTTGACTAAATATAACTTCACAAAACGTATTCACAGCCTAGATTGGCGGACCAAAGTAATTATTCCCGTAACTTTTACCTAATATGAGTCATCTAGACGACTTATTGTTATTTTTGTGAAATGAGTATCTTATATGCTTGAGCTGTGCTCATGATCAGAGGTTATTTTAAGATTTTGAATGACCTTATTAGTCATAATGAAAGATTACAAGATTGAAAAATCAAGTATTTAAAGAGGTGGGATTCTACCAGTTGTTGAGGATTCTTCTTTTTTATTCATCTACAATGAGGTTAGCTGAAGCCTTAAGGCTTAGAAAGGATTCTGAAAATAACCTTGGGAATATGTCTAATCGTATAGAGCAGAATTGTTTGGTACAAGAAGGTGGTAAACCAGCTGAAGATCCTAATGAGTTAGTTGAGATTTATCTTAAGAGATCAAGAGACTTGAAGGAGTTGATTACGAGAATTAACCTTACCAATTCTTCAGTGAAGTTTGTTTTTGGTACCCAACTGGAACCTCGAACTTTATGTGAAGCATTGGCTGAAAGAGATGAATTGTCACGTGCGGTTGATATTCATTTAGACGTTGCTAGAGAAGGTGTTATAAGAGGGAAACATTACTCGAGTCTGGAAATCAGATCAGAATCAGTGGTGAATGTTTCAAAATATCAAAAAATTGCAGATAAGTTATCTGCTCAACTAAGGCAGCTAGATACTAAAATCCAAGAACAAAATTGGACTGTGGAATTAATATAACACCAAGTATGACTCATTTCAATATGCTGGCCATGTTATCGAGTCTTCCACGTTGCTATGTATTATAAGTATTTGTTAAGTTGAATCGGTATCATTTTTCAAGAAGGCGAATAGAATCAATTAAATCCTAAATTTTACGCCTTGTCATTTTTATCATTTATTTTATTTTTTACACCAGTATGTTAAACGCCTATATAATCATTTATTACCATCTATTGATTCTTGGAAAATGAGAGGGAGGGTTTTGGGGATATCAATAAACAATCAAAATAATTAGTCACTTGTAGTATCTCTTCTAGTGTAAATTTTTTGCAACCACAAATATAATTAGAGCATATAAATTTACAATCTTATAGAAGAATTTCACAACTAAAGCAAACTGCTTTTCAACCAAACTAGCTTCTTCTATCGCAATGCCAATCGAACTTATTCTTTCTCCAGTCATGAGACCTTTGGTCATGGCCAAAGCAGTCCTTTTCCATCCACATAGAAGAGCATCTCGTTATGTTCCTCATATAATCGAGCTCCCAGAAGAAAACGTTTCTGAGTACGTTTTACTTAAACGTTTCGGGTCTGGCTCAAAGATCTTTGATGTTTATGATACGGAAAACGGTTCTTTGCCTCTTGGTTCAAATGATCCAAGCAAAAAGCTATTTTGGTTCGTCAGATCGCGAGCTGTCAAAGGTGCTTATAAAATGTATTCTAGTTCTATTACTGGAACTGGACCAGAGGGAGAAGATGAGCCTGTGGCAGCCATTAGAGCCGGGTTGAGATCTAATGTTCTCTTAATTAGAGCACCAGGAGCACCAGCAGCTGAACTAGGCTGGCATATAATTGGCCATAGAGTCGATGCAAATGATAGTTATAGAATGTTTACCATGGCCGATGGCTTTACTTATCAATGGACCAGTAAAGGGAAATGGTTAGAAAAAGTTCACAATGTCGGTGAAAAAGAATCTGAAGTAAGAGAAAGAATTGCCCAAGTTATTCCAAATGGGGTCAATGGTTTCACACTTAGGGTAGATGAAACTAAAATTCCCAGAGAAATGGCTTTGGGTAGTGCCTTGTGTTCCCACATTGATCAATGGAATACTAATATTGAAGTTGGTGGTATTTATTATGCAAGACAACCTCAACAAGTTCGTTGGAAGAGAGACTAAGCTTAAGGTTTCTTTCAGTTCATTTACCTAGATAGTTCTATTTTCACTCTCTAATGAAATTACTTTTTTATAGTTCTAGTTTTGCTAAGGATTATCAAGAAGGTCTTTGTTTATTTAGAATTTCTTTGCACGGTACTTTCCGTGAATGCTTCTTAGAATAAGGGCTTTGAAGCTTTCATGTATCTCATTCTTATTAGTTCCATAAGTAAACATTCAAGATCTCTACCTAAATTCTGTAGACATCAAATAGAATATTCGAAAATATGTGCTTGTTCACAGATACCTAGATTCCCATCTGGGAAAATAACAACTGCAGCATGAGATTGTTTTGAGAAAATCTCTCCTTTCGTCTTAAGTGTGAGTTTCAGTATCATTTCTTCGAGTAACTAAAAGTATGAGTTTATTTCAACTGCAACACTGTCGGTGCTTCTGTCATTGTCGTGGCCCAAGAAGGAAATGCTGCAAAATTTTTTTCTGTTGGAAACTCGTACAAATTTTCGAGACATGATTGAACTATGGAGTTGAATAGTGGTTAATTCGGACGGTTATAGAAGATGAGGTGTCAAGTGGCAAAGGGGTTTCGTTTTCGTTTTGGATTCAAGAGTCATTAGGGTCAAAGGTAAAAGATATAAGAGTTGGTGAGATTCTACGGATTGCAAAATCGAAGATCAAGCTATTGAACGACAATGAGAATTTCTACAGTCTATTTGCTGTTTTACTTTTTTGCTAAAATCAAGGCATTACTGTCGCAAGACGAAGAGGATGATGAAGATTGCTTTGAGCTTTCCATTTCGGTTTCGGACGATTTTGACGTTGTTACGGAGTATACCACTGAATCGTGTTCTTCAACTACAGATGCTACCTTCACTCCAACCTCAGATGATGGCTACGATGTTGTTACTGAATACACTACTGAATCATGCTCTACTTCAAATACGGACGCTACCCTCACTACAATCTCAGATGATGGTTACGATGTTGTTACTGAGTATACCACCGAATCATGCTCTACCACAAGCTCTGAAACAAGTTCTTCTGTCGAAGCTACCTTAACAAGCGCTTCTACTGATACTACTTCTTCTACTGCACAAAGTTCTTCTTCTATTGAAGCAAGCTCTTCTACTGAAACCAGTTCGTTTACTGATATTAATTCTTCTACGGAAGAAAGTTCTTTCACTGATGTTACTTCTTCTTTCGAAACGAGTTCTTCTACTGAAGAAAGTTCTACAGAAACAAGCTCTACTGATATTACTTTAGCAAGTTCTTTGGGTTCTAGCTCGATAGTTTCTTCTCAAACTTCTTCAATCTCTGGAAGATCATCTAGTGAAGTTGCTTTGATCACAAGCTCAAATATTTCCCAAACAAGTTCTTACGAAAGTACAACATCAGATACCACTGAAGGTAAAATTTCATCTCCTACCAGCTCAAGTTATGAAATAAGTTCTTCTACTGATATGTCCAGTATTTCGTCAGAGGCTGATTCCACCACTACTACAGATGACCACGATGTTGTGACCGAGTATACCACCGAATCCTGCTCTACCTCAAGCTCTCAAATAACTTCATCCTCTGAATTGACTTCATCTACATCTTCTAAGTTGACCTCTTCTGAAGTGAGCTCCTCTAAGTATTCTGACTCAGCTGCAACTCCCTTCTCAACTCTTGTACTTTCTTCTTCTGTTGTTCTCTCGAGCTCTCTGGAAAAAGTGTCTTCTACTGAAGCTACATTTTCCTCAGCTGCTTCCTCAACTGCTTTATCAGCTGCTTCATCTTCTGTTACTCCAACTGCTAATGAGCAGCTGTCAAGTATCCTTGAATCTTCAAAAACAGCCGAGTCTAACCCTACTGACGCTCCCACCACCCCCGTTCCATCTACATACTCCTCAAGAAGGACTACTAGCGATACATCGTCTTCTTTAGTTTCTTCAGCTGGTACTTCAACACCCATAAAGTCAAGTGAAACCCAAACAGCTAGCATTCCAGTGGATGTTGTAACAAGTTATTATTACGAAGGTTTCTCGACAGATGAAAGCTCAACGAAGGTATCCACAACACCCTCTATCGTCCCTAGCTCTAAATTTTCTAGCATCGCCTCTACCAATAGCCAAGGTACTGCTACAACAGAGACAACTCATACTTCATACTTCACAGAAGAATGTTCCAATTGTGCAAGCTCTCCGAAATCTTTCAACGAAATAACTAAACCAGCTCCCTCGGGAACTAATCAAAGGGAGAGCACTCAATTGACTTCTCTGAGTTACCTTGAAACAAGTTTAGAGCTGTCTGGGACTTTGACTTCTTCGGTTGAAAGTGAGACCAGTGGTTTCACCTCACCAGTGGATATCTTTTCCACATCACTTCAATCAGAACCAGAGGCTACTTACACTATCACCGTTGTTTCTGGGTCAACAGTAACTATAGAGTGTAGTACCACTGCACCTGCCTCTTCTACTGAAGTTGGTAACTCCGAGGAAACGGGAACCGTCACCGAAGCAAGAAGCACTACCACGAACTTTACTTCAATTGAAGGGTCTTCTGCCTCACCAAGCCCTAGTATGGAAGCTTCCAGCTTCTCTTTGCCAATGCTGTCTGAGCTGGCCTCTTCAACTCCTCTGTTATCCTCTCTCTATGAAGGTTCTTCACCCAAAGTCCACAAGGGAAGCTTCAAATTTTATATGCTCTTGGTGCTCACCTTCTTTATTTAATAACCTTCCTCTTCTTCCCACCATATTACTTTCTCTATGCTCTTAGAATCACTTTCTTCCTAATAAATGTTTGTTCTTTAATCTCTAATGTAGTTTTTTTGCAATCTTCATGTGGAGGTAGTGTCAGCACCAACTTGTTTCCAGTCTCTTCTCATGGTGAAAAAAAAAAAAGCAAAAAGCAAAATTCAGAAAACACAACAACTTACACAACCAGCTAATCTTTTCATTATATCCAACTAGACAAAGTCTTTAAGTGTTTATAAATAAGAACATAAACCGCAATGTCTGATCAAGAACAACAACCACAAGAGTTTGAACAACAACCAGAGTTCGAACAACAACCAGAAGAGTTTGAACAACCACCACAAGAGTTTGAACAAGCTGAACCGGAATTTGCCCCAGGTCCAGAAGGTCCAACTGAACCAAATAAGCTTTTCGTTAGACCATTAGACTTCAACGTTGACCAAGGTCAAGTTGAAGCACACTTTGGTGCTGTTGGTCCAATTGTTGATGTTCAAATGATGAGAGGTTTTGCCTTTGTTACTTTTGAAAATCCTGAAGATGCTCAACGTGCCGTTGAAACTTTAAACGAAAGTGACCTTAATGGCCAACCTTTACAAATTGAGTTTGCTCGTGAAAAGAAGGAAGATACTAGAGGTAAATATAGAGTTAAGGTTACTAATTTACCAGATGGTACTGCATGGCAAGATTTTAAAGATTTTGTTAGAGAAAGAACTGAATATTCCCCATCTTTTGCTAAGGTTTTCAGAAACTATGATACTGGTGAAGTTATTGGTGCTTTAGAATTTTCATCAGCTGAAGAATTAGAAAAATCTATTCCATTATTAGATGGTGCCGAATTCCAAGGTGCTGCCATTGTTGCTGAAGAAGATACTTCTCCATTTATTCCACCACCACCAAGAAGAGGTGGCTTTAGAGGCCGTGGTGGATTCAGAGGTGGATTCAGAGGTGATTTCAGAGGTGGCTTCAGAGGCCGTGGTGATTTCAGAGGTGGTTTTAGAGGTCGCGGTGGATTCAGAGGTGATTTCAGAGGTGGATTCAGAGGTGGCCGTGGTGATTTCAGAGGTGGCCGTGGTGGATTCAGAGGTGACTTCAGAGGTGGCCGTGGTGGATTCAGAGGTGATTTCAGAGATGGTGGTTACAGAGGTGGCCGTGGTTACGACCGTGACTTCCGTGGTGGTAACGATGGATATGAAAGAGATTCATATGTCCGTGACAGATCCCCAACTCGTTATTAAACTGACGAAGCCGATATAATAATCTGATCCAAGTTTCACTTTTAGATTCATAAGTGGTCAAACATGAAAAAAATGAAATAAAAAAAAAAAAAATTTTTTTTTTTTACCGAAAAGATGACAATCATTTGATTTTTGTTTCTTGTTGTATATCTTATTGTATTTGTATAATTATATTTTTTAAAGTATTTCGTGGGGAAAGAATGTGGAACTTACTTTGGATGTTTGACACCCTCCTCCAAAATAAAAGATTGATATATGTATATGTGTATTATTGTGGACCCATGTTTTCGTGGATTCAAGGAACCTGTTTCAGTTAATGCATAGAGAAGTATAAAAAGCATCCTTGAACAATGATTGTCTCGAAGTATTAAGAAGTATATGACTAACGATTTAATGAATTGACCTGATTGTATTTGAATGTTTGATCCAATTGCATTTATTCTTTGCAAGAATAAGCACCCCCCCCTTCACTTCTTCCGACTATTGAATTACTACTCTCTTATCTCTTTGTTTATAGATGATAATCACTGGTTTTATTGCATTCATAGTTCTTTGTAGATTTTATCCTGCATACATGCTCTTTAAACAGAGCCCTTCGGGTACTAATTGTTTAACATTTAACCAACCACCGGGTTTTTAACGAAGATGATAAGATCAGGAGATACAGTGAAGTATGGGGAGCACGAGCTACAGCAAATAAAGTTCTTTAACTATAGCGAAAACAACAAGAAGTCGGTTATATTCATTCATGGCGGTGCTTGGAGAGATCCAAATAATACCTATGACGATTTCCAGGAGATAATTGGGAATATCTTATCTAGAGATGGATCCAGGGCTAACCTAATAGGCGTGAATTATCGATTATCACCCCAATTTAAACATCCGTCTCACCTTATCGATGTTGTAACGGCATTGAATACTCTAAATGTGCATTATTCCATAGATAATATCATCCTAGTTGGACATTCAGTCGGAGCTACGCTCCTATTACAATTGCTCAACTATAAGCAAATCATTGACTTGGGAGTCGACAAATCAGACCCTCGCATCACAACCAATCCGCCCGCTTCGCTTAACGTATCTTTGAAAGACTTGGTCTTCGTAGACGGAATCTACGATATTGTTGACTTAATCGATGAATATCCTGGTTATGCTCTGTTTGTCAACGAGGCCTTCAATTCTCTTCAACACTACAAAGACTCCTCCCAGCTTTCAAGCACCGTCTTTCAACAGAACCCCCTGTTTGCACTTGCTGGAGAAACCCCCAGGTTCACCGTAGTACAGTCACTTCAAGACGAGTTACTCTCCGCAAGACAAACCCATGGATTCGTCAAGTTTTTAGACAGCTTGGGCATCGTCCCCCTGGTCTTCTTCGGCAACTATGGACTCCACGAACAAGTGTATAAGCTGGACCAGCTTGCCAACATCCTATTAGAGTTATTAAATAGCACTAGTCAATAGTTTTATATACACAAAATTTTTCAACAGAAGTAGTGCGCAGACCAGGGAAATTTTTCATTCAATTTTTTTTTTTTTTTCAAATCGAAGAAGGCAGCATAACATCGGAAGGATATACTAACGATAAGATCTTTATTAATAGCATAAATAAGACACCGGTCTCGATACATACAGTTGTCATAGAAGAGAAGATACACAGTATGTCTGCGCCAGTTTTGAAATCATGGGCTGATGCCGAAGATGATATTCCCCAACCAGAAGTCACCAGTAATCCAGATGGAACTAAGACTGTGATTAGTTATAGATTAAATGCTAAGGGACAAAAAGTTAAGATAACTCAAAAAATCAAAGAGGTTAAAGTTCAAGAAAAAGTACATCCATCGATTGCCATTCGTAGGAAATGGGCTAAATTTGGTAAAGAAAAAGATACTCCACCAGGACCAGATACCAGAACCACTCAACTTGGTGAAAAAGTTGAATTGAAATTAGGTGCAGCTTGGAAAGAACTCGAAAAGAAAGAAGAAGAAGAAAAACTTCAAGCTAGACAAAACTTGGTTTCTAGTCAAAGAATCAGATGTAGAAGATGTAAAGGTGATCATTACACTTCTAAATGTCCATTTAAAGATACTCTTTCAGAACAAGCTACTCCAGCTGCCGCTGAATCATCTGAATCTGCCACCGGTGGTAAATATGTTCCTCCATCGTTAAGAAATGGTGCTGCTAAAGATCTTACTAGAGATGATTCTACTACTTTGAAGGTTTCTCAATTGAATAGCATTGTTGATGAAGATATGATAAGAGATGAATTATTTGCAAGATTTGGTCCATTACAAAGAGTTGCCTTGGTTAGAAATAGAGAAACTGGTGAATCTAAAGGTTTCGCTTATGTCACTTTTGCTACCGAATCCTTGGCTCAACAAGCCTTGGATAGCTTGAACGGTAAAGGTTATAACTCTTTGATTTTACACATAGAATGGTCTAAAAAGAGAAAGTAATCGTAATCCGCTTATGGTCTCTTCCATCCATTTCTAATTTTTGTATTTTAGTTATTTCTACTGCTTTATATAATAATATATATCCCTATATATACACACACACACCGTTTCTTCTATTAATTTCTTCCCCAGTATCCGACTGAGACTTCCGACTTACCCTGGAATGTCCATACCCCGATTTGCTTCATCTTGGTACGCTAATGATGGATTCCAGTTTTTTTTTTACCCTAAAATCATTGCCTGGTGCACGGGTGAGACATCCATCATTTTGGGGTAACTTCGGTTGTTTTAAGCAATCAACAAAGGGCAAGTCCTTCAGCTTTTTAAAGTCCATCTTAAAGCCAACCCGAAATTGGATATATATATAGCTCTTAAACTGTTCAAAGGCTTAGCTTAATAAACATTCTACTTAGTGGAAGACTGGTTGTCTAGTTTGTTGATTCTCATCAAAAATGTCGAACTCACCCGTTACTACTCCAAAGCACAAGAAGACATCAAGCTTAGACATTGGGAATTCGAGTGGCCGAGTATCTCGAAGCGGCGGAAGCGCTCATTCTAGCGGGCGTAAGAGTTTATTCAATAAAATACTTAGGCGAAGATCCGATCTGATTCCAGAAAGTATTGGCTCTTCAAGTACCAAAGTTAGTCAGGGTAGTATAGATTCTCCATTGGCCCAAAAAACCAATTCTGGCGATAGGAACGGGAGTGTAAGTAGAAAATCAAGCAAGAATAGACGTAGTAAAAGATTCAGTCTAGGTTCTTCAAGTTCCATAATCGCAGATGATAATTCGAGTGTTTATGACTATCATGAAGGAGATACTAGAGAAGGTTCAATACATTCTGACATTTTATCTTCACAAACGTCTTCAATCTCAGATGAATCTCTAGATGCTGCTATTAGATACTCAACCAATTTTGAAAACCACGATTATAATGAAAAATTGACTTTCCCTACTGTTGATGCCCCTGAATCGGAATTAGTGGATGACGAACCAATATGGAGTGGATTGACTTTCGAGTCTTTAGTTACCCCAAAATATACCAAGGCAGCCAGAAAAAACAAACATGCTCCTCGAATTGTGAATAACCTTTTCCTTGCACAAGAATTGAATACGGAAAATCTTTCATTCGATCATGAAGTTCAAAGTTCCGACGAGGAAGCTGACCTTGAAAACAATGAAAAAGAAACTGGTGGTTCTGATGCCAAAGCATCAAAAACACACCTTGGTTATCCTGGAATAGATGAAGAACATAATGAGAAGTCTGATCCAAACAAAAACACCCAAGCTGAAATATATGTCATGGAATTTAGTAGAGATGGGAAGTATTTAGCAGCCGCTGGTAAAGATTCTACAATCAAAATTTGGAAAGTTATCCTGTCTCCATTGAGTCGGCTAGAATCGAAAAATGTTGAACAAGATGGTGGGAGTACTGCAAAATCCTCGAATGCTAGAGATAAATTATTCACGTCAGCTCCAGTTTTCCATCAAGAACCTATGTGCGTGTTTGAAGGTCATACAAATAGTATTTTAAGTTTGGATTGGAGCAAAAATAATTTCTTGATCACTGGTAGTATGGATAGGACAGCAAAGCTTTGGCATGTTGATAGACCCAATTGTTTACAAACATTTCAACACGAAGACTTTGTCACTGGTGTAAAATTTCACCCTACGGACGATCGTTTTTTCCTTAGTGGATCGTTAGATAATGAAGTAAGGTTATGGTCAGTTTTAGAAAATAATGTTGCATTCAGCAAAAATATTGGAGATGATGTACTTGTTACTGCTCTAAGCTTCACTCCGGATGGTTCTCATTGTCTAGTTGGTGGATTTAATGGAACAATTACTTTACTAGAGACTAGAGGCCTTCATTTCATCTATAAATATGAAGTAAAAGAAAAATCAATAGTGCATCCTTTTATTAATAAAAATGGTAATAAAATTACTGGGATCAAAGTTTTTGAAAATGAAGCGGTGTCAACAATGTCACTAAAAAATGATTTATTCAAAAAATGGAATGTGTTGATAACTACGAATGATTCAAAAGTAAGATTGGTCAACTCAAGCCTGAAAAAATTGGTTACTAGGTTCAAAGGTTTATCAAATAATAGTTCATCCATTGTTGCATCAATGAGTGATGATCATCATTACATTATATCTGGTTCTGAAGATCATTGGTGTTATATTTGGGAAAATAACAACTACATTATCAATAATAAGTTAAGACTGGCTTTAAAGGATCTAGTCTTAGAAGGCAAACATCATATTAATGATTTGAATAAAAAACACAAAATTTATAACAAAATAATTAAACGGAATAAGTTGCTAAAAAAATTAAATTTTCAACAGTTTCTTGAAGATGATGCTTCGGCTTACGAATATGTCTCCAATGAAAATAGTAGTTATACTACTTTCCATGCTCATCACTCTAAAGTGAATGTAGCATTGTTCGCTCCTGAAAGCACGAAAAGATTGTTGGAGTTTTCTGATGATATTATATTCGATTTGGTAAAGCGTGGTAGAAAGTTCGGTTTGGATGAACCAAAGGGTACAGTTGATGGCACAACAACGAATAGCACTCTTAGCTTGCAACCATTTCAAGATAATGCTTTGGGCCATATAATAGTGAGTGCAGATCAACGTGGTATAATTCGTATTTTCAGACAAGATGCCGCTCACGAAGTTAGGAAAAAATTGATTGACATGCAGAAGCATAATAAATCTTACAATCGTTCATCTAGGTCTAATTGCAGACCCAACTCACAGTCCAATGGATCCCTGGCCCTCGAGTCAAGAATAAGTCGTACTAAAGGCTCGAACTTGAAGTTAGACCTCTCCAATATCAATAAAAAGATGCAAAATAGAAGCTTAAGTCCTGGAACAGAAATCCAATGCTCTTTTAAAGATAAGCTTCATAGTAAATTTAAGAATAATCAAAATGGATTGAAGCCTAGCAGAAGTAGAAATAATACTGTTAATGACTACAGTAGCCGTTCATCTTCAGCTAGTCCAGTGGCTCCTCGTTCAAACCTGACATTGAGTCTGCCAATAATACCTAAAATTGTTTCTTCAAGTTCTCTCATCAATACCAAGCACTACAATGCACATAATGTTTCTGGTGGTGTTTTTGAAAATAGCGGGTTGAATGTTCAAGTAACGTCTGATAGCGATGAAACCCACAGCCAGTCCGAAAAATCAAATCTTGAAGAGCAAGCATCATCATCCAATACTTTAACAGGCTCAAATAATACAGAAACACCTCCGAGCACAGCACCTGCCTCAGCTGCCCGAGGAAACCATCGCCCATCATCTTCTGATTTAAGCCCTGTGTTACCTCATCTTGATCACCTGTCACGCAGAAATAAAGAGAGAAAAGTTCCGCTCATAATCAATACAGAGACCGACTCTCTGCCTGATGATCCTAACAAATCAGAAGTCATTAATTTTGAAACTCCAATAGGGAAGCCAAAATTCAAAAATGACTTTTCTCCTTCCATAGATAATGCAAAATTCAAACCTCTGCGGTCAAGGAGAAAATTATGAGCTCAAGAATAATAATTCAAATATTAAAGGCTTCGGTTCATAATCTGAAGTATGTACATTTAAAGAAACTTGTGCCTAATTTTACAATAATGAATATATATATATATATGTGTGATTAATAATAGCCAATAATAATTAAATAATGGGTAAATATTTGTAAATACGTTATACGTCTGTTTCAATATCACCTTGTTTCAATTGTGATACTTCATCGAATTCATCTGGTGTAACTGATAATTCGGTAGGATTTGTTGCTGGGCTTTTATCTTTCTCAACAGCCATAGATAAATTAATACCCGAGTGATCATTTTCAGAAGCAGCATTTATACTACCAATAGGTTCAACATTGGCTTCCTTCATGGATTTTTCATTTTGTTGAACAATATTATAGTACAAACCTCCAATCTTCTCGCTATTAAGTTTTAAACGATTAACCACAGTACTATCAACCATACCAGAATTCACAAGACTGAAAATCTTGATGGAATAAACACACAAATCTTTCTCTGCTTTCCAAACTTCCAGTTGTCTCTTCTGCTTAATTTTCAGTTCTTTTATCTTTTCTTGAATGGCAAGTTCTCTTGATCTTTTTGAATTATCTTCTTCATCACTTGACTCGTCATCAAATTCGCTCTTCTCTAACATCTTTTCACCGACTTCAAAATCTTCTTCAGTGAAATCCAAATCGTCAAAGTTAACATCTTCGTTGTCAGATCTATCCAATTGAACATTTATTAAAGCGGCAAGTCTTGCTTCTTTTTGTAAAAACACGTTTAGAAATGCAGTTTGAAGACTTTCAGGTATTGCCTTACAAATGTATTTGCCGACACCTTCGTTATCTGTGAAAAATTCATTGAAACCTTTGAAATTGTTTTCATCTTTGAACTTCACATAAAACACTTTCAACGAAACCATCAAGTCAATCAATTTTGCACTGAATAGGGTTTTCAACTCACAGAATTTGGACACGATTTTAGTAGAGCAGGATGAGAGGGATTCAGAATATGACAGTAGATTTTCGTTGATATCACTAGTTGCTGCATCCAACGACAGCACTAACTTATCTAGTTGATTCATAATAGTACTAACATCATCAAACAACATTTCGATATCAAATGATGATTGAGTGGATTGTTTTTCATTGACAGAGGCTTGAATAAGAGTATCAAGATTCCAGCAATTGGAAATTATGGTAGTATCAATCACGACTTTGAAAGCTTGTATGAACTTATCTATTATTTTGAGGAAATTGTTCGGCCAAAGTTGATATAAAGGTTGCAAATTTATCTTATTCAAAAGTTTAATGCTTATCAAACCAATGACGGATATACCAGAAGATGATCCAATTTGACTAACATATTCGTTTATGTCTATGAAGTTCCCCAACTTATTCAATTTTAAGAGAGGTTTAGCCACCTCAATCAAGGAGTTACAAACAATCTTTTGGTCTTCCAAATCATCGTCCTCTATATCGTCATCTTCCATACTGCCAGCAGTGCTGCTGGAATTGAAAGCATCACGAGCTTCAGCGACCAACTCCTGTAATAAGTTTTGAATCAGTAATCTGGTCTCACTATTGACAGAGAAGCCGGAAGAGGTATTTTTCAGAGCATGACTTATTGGATCATTATTGGACATAGATAATTCATGGGATGCAGAAGTAACATTATTATAATCCATCAACAACTTATCAAAGAAATCGTCAAAGCTTTTAAGGAGAGGGGAATCATAATAATCATTGATTTCGAAATTACGATAGAAGTCGATAATCTTGTCCATGATATCATTGAAAACAGCAGATTGGCCTAAATTATTAAATTCAGCATAAAGATTACCATCATGGGAAGGAATATCGACAAGCAAATTCCATAATTTTAAGAAAATATGGAATTGTTCCGTAGATTGACTCATAATTTTGGAAAGAGAAGGTAAATAATTAACTAACTTAGTAATTGTGTTGCTTGGAATATCGTCAGTTTCATCTCTGCCCGTTTTTTTACCAAATTTCTTATCGAATATGGCAGAAACAGCACCATAAAGTAGTTCAAAAAGGTGACTTCTATCATCTGCATTTAACTCTAAAAGAGACTTCAATTCCGAAATCTCTATATTATCTTCACCAAAGTTTTCATCCTTAGGCAGGAAAGTAATTGATGATAAGTCGTAAAGAAGATAGCGAGCAAGAAATTCCCAAGAACCAGTGTAAGAGGGAAGTCCATATAAAGTTTTGAATGCAATGCTGATAGGAAAATCCTGACTTTTTGGAAAGTTATCTATAATATTATTATTTTTAGGTTTATGATCTGAATAAGTTGATGATGACGTTTTCAATATGTGAATTAAATTTTGAACTTGAAAACAATCTTTCAAAGTTAATTTACCAGGCTCGTCACCGAATTGGGGAGAGTCATAATTATCCATGAATATTGTATATTTTTCAAGTTGATTATTGACTTTTTCACAGTTAGCTATATAAATGAAGCGAGCCAATTCTTGTTTCATCTTATTATCATTAGTGATACCTGATCCCGACCCATTTTCTATAATGTAGAAGATATTCAGAGCCACATCATAAATATCAGATTCATCTAAGAAGCCAGCTCTTAGTAATTCACATAAGACATTAACCAAATTGAACTTGACATTAAAATCTTTATCTTTCTTAATCATATTTATGAGTTGTTTTTTAAACCGTTCAGTAAATTGTCTAAAACTGATACCCATATTTTGATCATTTTGATTCGAATTTTTATATAACTTTAGTAGAACTTTAGTTACTTCTGATCTTACTTGTTCGGAAGGATCTGATAAGAGCCAGCCAAAGTAACGGAGGAAAGATGACTGAAAGAAATGATCGGGATAAGTAATCATCCAATACCCAAGGCATTTCAAGCATTCGGACCTGATCAATGGATCAACGTCACGATACCTATGGATAAATACCGTATCAACAATATCGGTAAAATACTCTAAAATTGTTTCTTTTTGATTATGATATAATTGAATACTATTTGTGATTACTTCGACTTTCTTTTCATGAGCTTTTTTGTTTTTTTTCGATTTAGAACTTGATTTAGTATTTGAAAGCTGGCGTTGTTGTTTTTCCAACGAGCTAGTGACATTGAGGATCAAATCACATAACTTACTATGAATATTCAAAACAATAACCGTACTCACATAGCGGAAAGGTCTTATATTACAAGAGCTTAACGATGAGAGCCACGTCAAAGCTTGAATCATAAATGAAGAAGCCAATGACACCTCTTCATTGTCATCCGCGTCTGCATCATCCTTGATAGCATTAGGATCTTTATATAATATTCCCTTTTCATGAGAAATATCAATCAATTTATCGAAAAATTCAATAACGTTTTTTTTGAAAAACTTCAAGTTTTTATTATTAGAAATGAATGGATACTCATGAAATTTCTGTTTTTCAAACATCATAGATATTTCAGCAATTGTTTCTGAAGCCGAGTCTAGATTGACAAGATCATGGGATGCTGCAAGTGATACACATCCACAACATCTTAACAAGAGATTGAATAGACTTGTGAACGCGTCATTCTTGCCCTCTTCTTCATCCTGTCCAAATTCTTCCACCCACTCGAGCGCCAAATCGTACACAGAGATCTCTGGCTTAGATAAAGCTTTATACAAACCATTTTCTTCAAAATCATCTCCTAAATCACGCAGCGAAACTGGTATCCTGGATACTCTGGATTGAACCCTTTGCTTTTTGTTGGTCTTGCTTCTACCAATCGGTCTCTTACCGCGTTTGTTATTGGATACCACGTATTCCTCATCACTCTCACCGCTTTCAAACTCCAGCGCCTCCGAGTCGGAGCTTGCTTCACGGTATCTGGTTTGATCCTCTTGATTCTGAAGCCTAGATGACTTCCGTACCCTACTGGACATGTTAAGCGCCTGCTATTCAGATCAGTATTCGGTAAATGTTATAGATCACTTTAAGAAACAACAAAATGAGGAAAAAACAAAAAAAAAGGCCTCCTGAAGGAGTACGCGTCGCAAAAAAAGTATCATTGAAATGTCGCACGCCGACATGCGATATTTCAATTTTTCAAAAAAAAAAGATGCGACATCAGTCGTGCGAGAAACCACAAATTTGTGAGGAAAAAAACAAAAAAATAACAGGAAAACCAGGTAAAAAAAAACAAAAAACAACTCGAAACCGGTGTCGATACCTAGACTTTGTATTTTGAATATAATCTCGACGGAGTATAGAATAGACAAGGCAATTAATTGAAAGCAGATTACAATAGATGATGTCAGAGAAAGAAGAGACACCAATAAAGAATAACTCTGACCAATCAGTTGAAGGTTCAGGTTTGAAGACTGAAAAACTACCAGAATCTGGAGCTCAAACACCGGCTACTGAGAATGCTACCAATGACGGTACGCCAGCAACCGAGTCACATGAAGCTGCTGGTGATAAACCAGCTGATTTGCAAAAAGAAAGGGAATTGTTTTCCGAAAGGGTTAAAACTTATTTGGTTGAGCAAACCAAGCATGTTGTAATTCCATCATACTCAAAATGGTTTGATTTAGATACTATTCACCAAATTGAAAAGAAGCTGTTTCCGGATTTCTTCCCAAATAAGCTTCATTCTGAAACCCCAAGATCGGTGTATAAGACACCAGAAGCTTATAAACATATAAGGGATTTTCTTGTCAATGCTTATAGGATCAATCCTATAGAGTATTTGAGTGTTACTGCTGTTCGTCGTAACCTAGCGGGAGATGTTGCTACTATAATAAGAATTCATAAATTTTTAGAAAAATGGGGGTTAATTAATTATCAAATTGATCCTAGAACCAAATCTTCTACAGTCGGCCCTCAATATACTGGACATTTTCAAATAACTTTGGATACACCCAAAGGATTAGTTCCTTTAATCCCAGAAAATGTTCAAGATACAAAGAATGATTTACCGTCCCCTTCTGCTTCTTCTGTTGAACCAGAAGAAGAAACCATTAAAAGTGAAGCGGGTATTCCTTTGAATTTAGAACTTAGACGTAATGTTTATAATGATATTTCATCAAAAGATAATAATAATACTAATCCAGTTCAATATTTTTGCAGTATCACTAATAAAGAAACTGGAGATGTTAGATATCATAATTTGAAAAGTAAAACTTATGGGAATAGTGCTTTAAATCCTGCTAATGCTTCTATTATAAGCTCGGAAGCATTCGATCAAGGTTTATTTCCTTCCAATTTCCAATCATCGGATTTTGTTAAGTTACAAAATGAATCAAGCTCCTCCAATTGGAGCGAACAAGAAGTTTTACTCTTATTAGAAGGTGTGGAAATGTTTGCATCATTTGATTCACAAAATCAAAGTTATTTTGTTAATAATAATGGTCAATGGGATAAAGTAAGTGAACACGTTGGAACCAAAGATAGAGAACAATGTTTGATCAAATTTATTCAATTACCAATTGAAGATAGGTACTTGAATAAATTGATCAATTCAGGAAAAGATGAATCAAGTTCTGGGTTTGATAAGGAAACCATAATACAGGAGGTTGTTAAAAAACTCATAACAACTCAACAAGGGAAAGATTTAGTTAAAGAAAATTCTGATAAGAATTTAAAAGAATCGATAATCAATCAACAATCTCTTATTAACCAAACTATTGAATTAACTTTGGAAAAATTTCAAACAAAACTAAATTTGATTGATAATTTAGAAAAAAATTTAATTAAAACTGAAAATTTACTTAACTTACAAAGAAAACAACTTTTAATTGAAAGATGGCATAATTTTGAGAAGATTGATAAGTTTAAAAAGCAAAATAACAACCCAGAATTAAGTAGTCTTTTGGACGATTTATTAACTCCAATCAGCATTAATGAAGTTAATAAGACTTTTAATAAAGTTAACTTGGATGACAAAAAAGCCAACTCCAGTGAAATGGAAATTGACAAGGATAGTGCTGAAAATGACTCTAATAGAAATGAAGATGAAAATTTACCAATCAGTATTACCCAGCCAAAAAGTTACCAATTCTGGTCCGCTTAAGTTAAGTCTGCTTAGTCTTGTGTATTTTATTATCAGGTGATTTCATGGAAGGTTCGTCTTTCTCTATGTATGATTATTGAAGTGTTTATTGTCCTCTTCTTAATAATTTGAACTTCTGGTGATTGGCATAGCCATGTCTTCTAACCGGTTCTATTCTCTTCTGTATACTATAAAAAATATAATATTTACTGTTTTATAACATCAATCAAACATTTTGTAGTCTAATGTCTCCGCAAGACTCATCGAATCTTGAATTGGAGTGAATGAACTTTGAAGGCTCTCTGAAAATAGATAGACCTAGTTATACTTTTTCACGATTCTCTAACTTGTTCCAAATTCAAGCCCTTTATGTAAACCCGAGATAGCTAGTTGTTGCAAAAAAAAAAAAAAAAAAAAAACAACGTAAAGCAAACCCAACGGCGAATTCTTGTTTCTATCCACTTATAAAAGGTACTATACTTCCACTATACAGATAGCGCATGTTCCTAACTCTCACTGAAATCACTGAGATGGGTTTTAGACCAGATCGTTGCGCTCTTATAGAAAATGCATCAGATCGGCATCGCGCAAGCAAAATTATATTAGGACAAAAACCAAAAAAGAGAACATTAAGAATTTATACTTGCAAAGCAAAAAGATTGTGATACTTTATCAAGTATCAAAAAAAAAGAAAACAAATGATTTTGCCCAGGATCGAACTGGGGACGTTCTGCGTGTTAAGCAGATGCCATAACCAACTAGACCACAAAACCTTTGTTGAAAGGATATTTTGGTATTATTTAACTGGAATAGTCATTTTGCTTTGAACTTTATAGTATAATAATATTTTAACGGCCGTGAAAAGGCTTCTAAAGCTATTTATTTTACTTTATAAGCATTATTAAAAGAATAATTTCATACGAGCTTACTTTGAAATCCCTTTCAATCATTGTTTACTTGTTGGGTTACATTTCATCTCTTGTAAAGTTTTCATCTTCATTGGGTTATATGAGACCTCTATTACCCACATATGTCTAGAAGAAGAACATAGCTTCCAAAAGGGGAAACCAAGTTCACACGCAATAAAACATTAGTCAGCTACGAACCAATATCTGGTTGGTAGTGACTAATTTATTATCTAGATCAATCTTCACTTCATTATTAAAGGGCAGAATAAATTATTACAAATGATTTTTAGTCATGAAAACCAAATAAAAGAATATACGTAACATAAAGTATACTTACAGAAGAATCTTTCTCATAGATCCATCAGTGGGAATGAAAAGAATAGATATACGAACGATAAATAGGATGCCTTTGCGAAGGGGTACCATAAAGTCTGTACTCTTTATAAACATATGCCATCGATAGAGGTTCAACCTAACATAAACGATATGGAACAACATAGCGTTCTTTCAGAAAGAATATTTTACATGGAAGCATTTCTAGTTCACCAAGAGGCTGTCTCTTATTTTACCGACTTGATTCAAAACAAGGTAAAACCTTCTGACAAATTACAATGGACGAAGCCATGAATTTGCTTCACAAATAATAATACAATATTTCTCTGCTTAGGTTCAATTTTGAGTTTTTTTGATGGTGCTTCGAATTGATTAGCAAACAAAGAAATTGATCAATTCGAAGTATAACAATGTTTGTGGCAAACTATTCTTTGTGATTTCTACACAATAACCTTTTATATATCACGCTTGTACAATCAAATAGATAATCTCTCCTCAGTATCCCAGACCTTAGATAGAAGCCTAGCTCTATGAATAGCGCTCTTCGGTAGTTTACTTTAGTTGCGATGAGTAATTTCACCAGATAAACTCACCCACAAAACAACACTAGTCTGTATGTGCTACTGCCGCCAGTTTCCGCGGCTATGAATATTAATCTGACATATGGTGAATATCCCCACAACCCTATTTAAAGAAAGCCTGATTCATCAGTAGCACTAGGGTTTTTCTTTCTGATTTAAATTTACATTCTCAAAAATTCGCAGCGTATTTTTGCAGCAAAAAAACGCTTCTTGTAATGTTAAAGTGGCAATGGGCTGCTATCTTATACCATTGTCAGACCGTGAAGGCCTGGCGGTGATGTCTGGGGGCCTGATTTACATCAAGTCAGATCACAGACATCATCAAGCTGAGGTTTAAGCAAAAGGTGTTACAAACATCTTTTGTGAAACAACATCGGAAGAGAGCATCTTTTACGAGAATAAGTATATAAATAAGTAGGCATTTCCTCATCTGATGGAATTGTCTAGAAGACATTTTGGGGGGTGGACCTTCGTGGCTAATCCTATAGGCTGATGGATTGAAGAGTGGGTCGATGCCCTACAGAGAGTTTTCATTCGGTAATG